AGGGCAGGAGGGCCAGGCTGTTGTTGTCACGGGAGTTCAAAGGTGCCACCCAGGCATTTGTGAGGCTGCGTGGGCAAACCTGGGCCTCACGTGCCAGCCCCATTCCCGAGCTCCTAACTGCAGGGTGGGCACCTGCCGAGCAATGGGCCTGCTCGGCAATGTTCTTGCTCTGGCCCACACCGCCCGCCGGGCTCCAGGCCCGGGTGCCAGGCCCAGAAGCCGCCTGCACGCGGGCACCCTGTGGCCGCCCCAGCCTCAGCTGCTCCATGCTGACCTCATCGGCTTCCAACCCACGCTGCCAGTGCCCTGCCCAGTTGCGCAAGCGAGAAACCCAGATGTCGCCGTGACCCCCACTGCCAGAGAGTCACTAAGTCCAGCTGGTCATTGTCCTAATTACCTTTGCAGCCAGCTGACCGCTCCTTACCGGCTCTGCTGCAACCCTGCGCCTGCAGGTCCCCTACCTTCTGGCCAGCGGAACCTCTCTGCGCCCTTAAAAATGATCGAGGACCCCACAGAAATACCCATGTGCACGCGTCCTATCAGTCAATACAATCACATAATCAACGCGTGCGTTGAAAACTAAAATGTGGGGAAACTTTTTAAGTAACGACTAGTTCATTTAAAAATAACAATCTGCTTTTAGATGAATCTGAAAGCGGACTAGCAGGTTACACTAGCCATCCCTCTTTGGGGTGGATGAGGTTAACAGACCACATACAGAATGGGGGGGAAATTGTTTTTGAAAATCATGTATCTGAAAAGTATTTTACAGCTCTTACAACTCGATAACAAAAGGACAACAAATGGATTTTAATCACAGGCAAAGGATGTAATGCACAGACATTTCTCCCAAGTTACAATTAGAAATGGCCAAGAAGCACATGAGGAGATATTCAACATTAGTGGTCATTAAAGAAATGCAAATCACAACCACAGTGAGCTACTCCTTCACCTTCCCTAGCGTGGTTGTGATAGAAATTTAAAAAGTAAAAACTGAAAAAGATACTTTCCGCTGGGGAAAGAGGAAGCTCGGCATTGCAGGTGGGAGGGCACAATGGCGCGGCCGTTGTGAAACACATTCTGGCAGTTCCTCAAAAAGTCGAACACACACGCAATCAGCGTCCAGCCCGGCAATTCCAGTCCCAGGTATGGAGCCGGGAGGCCTGAGACCCCGCGTCCACACGGGGACCTCCGCAGCGGCGCTGCTCGTGCCAGCCAGGGGGCGAGCACAACCCCCAGCTGGCGAAGGCGCAGCCAAGACGCGGGGTGTGTATTTGCCACAGAACGCCGTTCAGCTGAAAAGGGAACAAAACACCGGTGCAAGCCATGTCATCTGAACGAACCCTAAACACGTTATGCTGAGTGGAAGAGGCCGGACACGGAAGGTCACCTGTGAAACACGATCCCGTTGGATGAAAAGTCAAAAAAAAAAAAAAAGCAGATCGGTGAGGGAGTGGCTGCTTCATGGGTGTGGGGTGCTCTTTGGGGGCGACTGGCGTTTGCAAGTCAACAGAGGCGGTGGTTGCACAACACTGCGCATGTACTCAGGGCCCCAGAACAACCCAAAATGGTCCATTGCACATCAGGTGACATTCACCTCAAAAAAAAAAAAAAAGGGAAGGAAAGGAAGGTAAGTCCCTGCTCATTGAGAAAGACTTCAGAATGGTTACTTGTATGATACCCTGATTTTACTCCAGTTTGAAAAAAAACCCCAGTAATACAGGGGGGCCTGGTCAGAGGAGGTGCCTCAAACAGGCCTCAGGGACAGAGTCGGCCACGGGTGCTGGCGCAGGAGAGGGGAGGGTGCCTGGGACGAGTCTGAGGGCGGGGTCCCCCGGGGGCCGCGGCCGGGGGCAGGGCAGGCAGGCAGAGTGCCCGTGGGCCGCCCCCGGAGGTGCCGGCGCCACGCCTGATGGTGCAATCGCGGGCTCCTGCCCGGCCCGATCCCATTTCTCTCCAGCCAGCCCTTATCAGCCCTTATCAAGGCACAGGTCCTGGCTCCTGTTTACCAGGCAATTATGACCCGTACTCAGGTCAGGAGACTCATGACCCAGAAACCGCCAAGGCCCATTTCCGACAGCAGGAAGAGAGGCCAGCGCTCCCTGCTCACCTTGGGCCGGGCCTCCCAGAGCCCCGCAGCTGCCCGCTGTCCCCGCGGCACCAGAAGCCTCCGCCCGCCCACGTGCCGCGCACGCCCACCCCGCGCCTGTCCAGGGTCCCCTCCTGGTACCCACAGGCCTCCTTGGGGGAGGCAGAGGGCCTGCGCCCCGCCCTGCCCAGGACCCCAGCCCCTTGACTCACACCTTCAGCCGCGCAGCCTGTTAGCCGTGGACTCGGGACAGCCAGCCGTGAGGATGGCTGCTACCCACCGCGGCCACTTCTGTGGTCCCCTGGGGCGGGTTCCACGCTGAGCGCTCGCGCCTGTGAGAGTTCTCGCCCCCGTTTGTCCTGATTTTCACAATATTCAGCCGCCAGGACGGCAGGGGCACTGACCGCGCAGGCCGACTGCCCAGCGGGCACTAACGGGTGAAGACAAGCGGCTCCGCCGCACACGCAGGAAGAGATGGAGGCGGCAGCAGAGCACAGTGCAGAGTGTGAATGCGGGGGCCCAGGAGGAGGAGCGAGGACCTGGCAGGAGAGGAGGGGAGGGGCTCTGTGCGCCCCCCCACCCGGGGCAGGGAGTTCCCCTGCAGGCTGATGAGGAGGGCAGGGTGGCGGACACTGCACAGGGGGCGGGGACATAGTATAGAAGGTCTTAAGTGACAGACAGCCTCACGCAGCATCTGCTATTCGCTGCCTTTCTGACTCTACAAACTCCCTGGTCAATCATCCGTCCGTCCGTCCATCCTTCCTTCCCCGGCTCCTCGTACCCACCCACCCCTACGTGCCTCGTACAGACAGCTGTCGAGCACCCGCTTCGCCCGTCCTCGATGATCTACTACGGAAAGCCAGCCCGCGGGGGCGGACAGTGCCCCACCGCTGACCCGCGGGCTCACCTCACTCCCCAAGTCTCCGTTTCTTCATCTAGAAAATGGGTCTGTGTGTTCTCAGAGCCTGCGCGGGGCTGTGGTGAGCACTAAATAACAAAGCTCCTCTAAATGGTAGCTATTATCTCATATTGTTATTGCTAGTAGTATTATTAGGATCATCATTATCATCATTATCAATTGCAAGATGTTGGCAGAGGAGCACAGAAATGAATGTGCTTACCTGCTCAGATGTTGACCCTGACAGGTGATGTGGAAAACCAGTTAAACCTGTCGGTGCCAGCTGGGGTGGGGATAAAGCTGGGGCGGGGGGGGGGGGGGGGTGGCTAAAGCAGCAGATGGAGCCTAAGGGAAAAGGATCGGGGAGGCGGGGCAGCACCAGGCAGGCACGCCCCAGGGCCCGCAGGCTGGGAAGGTGGACAGGCCTCAGGCTCACCTTCATCCACCTGCTCCTCAGGGCCGCGTGGAGACCCCCGGCCTCCCATGGCCAGGGGTTCAAACCCCAGGCCTCTCCCTTACTCACTGCGCGGCCTTAGACAAGTACTGAAGCGCCTCGGTTGCTTTACCCATATAACAGGGTACACAGTGAGAATTAAGAGTCTATTCACATAAGGTCCTGGGGGCTGCCTCTAAGAGACCCCTGAAGCAGGGGCGGTCTTCTGAGTGTGAGGGGAAGAACGGCTCTCCCTCCTCAGCCCCCCAGCCCCCACGGGCACCAGAGCCTGACAGCACGCCCGGCCTGCGGTCACCGGCGGCGCCCATCAACCTGGGCACCTCGGCGGGTGGATTAGCCTTCCAGGGCTGAGCAACAAAGCACTACCCACTCAGAGACTTAAAGCAACACAAACTTCTCATCTGAGGGTTGTGGAGGTCAGAAGCCCGCCCGGACTCGGCTGGCTCCTCGGCTCCGGGTCTCACCGTGGAGGCCGCGGGGCAGACCTGCTACCAAGCGTATTAAAATGGGCGTCCCTGCTGCTTGTCACCCCCAGAACCAATAAAGAGAGACCAGGATTGAATCTCTACGGGGCGTGTCCGTTCAGCCTTGATCTGAGAAGGCGGCGAGTTACGTGGTTTCAAATCCGTCTCTGGAATAAAGGTTAATCTGGAGATTTTCCTACTGTTTCTTTATCTGCCTCATGGACCACCCCCACCCATCATCGCAGAGGGGAGCGCTGCGTACAGGGAGGGGGCTTGGGGGGCGGTGCCCGACCGGAGGGCCGGCGTGCAGTGTCCCGGGCGCGCTGCCCCGCTGGACGCAGAGGCGGGGGCACGAAGGTCGCCTGCTGGTGCACCTGCTGGTGCACCTGCTGGAGGCCCATGCGTCCCAGCTCCTGGAACACCCGCCTCCCGCGTGCAAGCATCACTTACGCCCCCCAGCTGTGGCCACAGCTGAAATCTTCAGGGCTCGAGGCTCCCTAGCAATAGTCCTCCTTTCTTCAGATCGCAAAACAGAGAAAATGACCCCGCAGCTGCTAATAGGGCTTCCTCAGCATTGGGACTAAAATGCCTGGTTTTTGGGGGGGGCAGGGAGGGGAAGCTCATAAAGACAGCCGTCTACCCCACCCCAGGGACACCCTCTGCCCTGCCATGCGGCTCGTGAGTACCCGAGGAGGGGGCTCTGGGGGTGGGCGACAGGCGGCGCGACGAGAGGCCAGCTGTCACTCCCCGCCCCCACAGTCAAGCCAGTCCGGGCAAGTGTAGGACCCGCAGACGGGCGGTTCTGCTCGCCCTCCTTGCAGAGAAAGGCCGGGACGAGGCCTGGGGGGCGGCGGGCTTTGAAGGGGCGCGGAAGGAGGTGGCAGAGACCTGGAGGATGGAGAGTCGCCCCGAGTGCCCCGCGGAGCTCCGCCCATCCGCCCCCGCCCCCGGGCCCGCCCCCGCCCACCGAGGCCCGGCCCCGCCCCGGTCCTGCTCCATTCAGGCCCCGCCCCCTGCGCCGTCCCTTTTCTGTCCAGGCCCCGCCCCCGAGCCGCCGCCCCGCCCCCGAGCCACCGCCCCGCCCCCGCCCCCGCCCCCCGCCCGGCACCGCGCTTTGCTCGCAGCCGCCAGGCGCTCCCAGAGCAGAGTCCCCGCCGACTTCGCCGCGATGTGGGCCGCGCTGCTACTGCTCTGCGCAGGGGCCTGGCAGCTGGGACCCCTGGCCCGCGGCGTAGCAGGCCTCTCCGTGGGTTCCCCAGGTACGTGGGGAGCAGGGCGGGGGGCCGGATCCGAGATCCAGACTCGGAAAACTTGGCAGGGGCGCACCGCGTCGGGAGGGACAGCAGCCCAGGGCTCTGGGGTCGGGACCGGAGGGAGCGCTGCGTACCGGGAGGGGGCTTGAAAGGCGGCGGTGCGCGACCGGAGGGCCGGTGTGCAGGGTCGCGGGCGCGCTGCCCCGCTGGATGCAGAGGCTGGGGTCCCAAAAGAGCCCGCGGCGGCTCTGCGTCCTCCACCCACCCGAGGACACGCAGCGCTTGGATCGGAGCCTGCGGGACGAGCGCGGGGCCTTCCCAGCCTCTCCTGGCAGCCGCCCCGGACCTGCAGACGGGGATCCCCGGTATGCGCCGAGTCCCCCAGAGAATGGGCGGGACAGCTGTCTGGAAGAGCGACTCTCCCGCCTCGAGCCGCGGCACCTCCAGCCCACAACACCCGAGGGTGTTTGTTCCGAGGGCTCGCTCCGATTGAGCCCCACGCCCTCCCTCCTTCCCAGCGGCTCTGACCTCACGGGACACCCCCGCCCCTCACCCGGGGGACAGAAAAAACAGCCTGGGGAACAGGACCAAGACCGCTGAGGCTAGATGTCGCCTCCTCAGAATCTTGCCTGATTCCAACCCCCACTTGTACAAGCGCTGCCCCGCCCTGGGCTGAGACCCACAGGGGAGGGTGGTGAGGCCTCCCAACTCCAGGGCAGGGCTGGGCAAGCTTTTCCCGGAAAAGGCCAGAGTAAACGCTCGGGCTTTGTTGGCCACATGGTCTCTGGGGCAACCACTTAACTCTGCCCAGGTACCGGGAGAGCAGCCATAGTCGGTAGGCAAAGGACGAGCGTGGTGATGTCCCCTGAAACCACGATTTGTGGGCACCGACACTGGCATTCACGTGACTTTCAGGCACTACACTTGGTAGTGTTTTCCCAGAAGTTCAAAACGAGGGAAGCCATTCTTAGCTCGTGGACCATACGAAAACAGCCAGCAGGCCAGTGTGCTGCCCTGGTTCTAGGTTCTCCCCACGCGGCCGCCCAGGCGGGGCTCACAGGACGTGTGGGGACTTCCTCCTGAGATCACAGTGGGTTGAAGTGGACCTGGCCGAGGCCGGGGGGCCCACCTGGGGGTCGTCTCTAGCTTCTCCTTCCACTGACCCCCAGTAGCCCAGTGTTTTCACACCTTCCTGTTGCTGGTGACACCTCCCAGAGGCAACCAGTCACCAGTCGGTTGTCCCGAGTTCCATCTGCTTCAAACCCTGGTCGCGAGCTCCCTTTGAGACCGGCTGCTGCCTCAGGGTCTGCAAACCTCTGAGCTAACCCCTCTCATGGCCCCCGACAGGGCCCGGGACTGGGGTACGGGCATGTTCCCCGAGGCTTCTGGAACAGGTCTGTGGCCCACAGAGAGGTCTCAGTCCTGTACAGCAGAGATCTTCAAACTGGGGGGTAAAGACCCTCAGGAAATGCAAAGAAATCCCAGGGGACTTGAGCACAGACTGGGAATCAATTTCCAGACCCTTCCCTTCCATTCGTCCTTAGTCAGAACCCTGGAGGCAGCAGACAGACAGGCTCATGGGAACAGATCCTTCAAGGCCATGTCAGTTCTTCATGGAAATTGAAATTGAAAGAGGGAGGACCTCCCAGGGTGTCTGTCAGCTGATGGGCTCTTGGGAACCGTGTGCAGTGATCGGGGACCTTGTGATTCGGGCGTGGTGAGGAGGCCAGGAATTGAGTGGCACTGTTCTAAAACTGGCCTTCGGGCCCTGGCCGGGTGGCTGGGGTGGTCAGAGCATCGTCCCAGTACGCCCAGGGAGTGGGTTCCATCCCTGGTCAGAGCTCATACGAGAAGCAACCAAGGAATGCATAAATGAGACCACAAATCGATGTTCCTCTCACTTGCTCTCCTTTCCTTCCTCTCTCTAAAATCAATTTTTTTTTTTAAATTTAACAATGGACTTCGCAGTCCCAGAAGCAATAACCAATAGTATTTTATTGCTTTTTATTAAGTAAGCAATACGTTTATTTGAGCAGCATTTCTCTGTCCTTTCATCTATAAAAGAACAAACACCAGAAATCACGCAGACCCATTGTAAAAGTCAGTAATACCCATGAATATAAAAATCTGTGTGGGGGGATGGATGGTAAAGTCTCGTTTATCAAATTAAGAGATGCATTTTTAATGAAAGTTAACTTCCTGTTTAACAACTGCTTGTCATATTGGATAATATATGTTACATGTTTTAACCAATCGGTTATTAATAATAACCATGGTGATTACTCACTCCAGATGTGTATACTATTCAGAGAGGTGTGGGTAACAGGAAGTGAAAATCATTTATATATTTTGTTCTTGTGGCACGAAACGACTTCGGGGTGATCAAGTATGAACATGTACTCCCTAGGGATGAAATTCTGTGAGGTATGGGTGGAGGCAGAGGTTCAGGAGGGAAAAAAACTATGTAAAGCGCCTGACTCTTCGGGAAGACGCTGTTCACGGCACACAGCTCCTGTCCCCGGCCGAGGCCTGGCCCTGCGTGGAGCCGCCTGGGGCCAGCCCTAGTGTGTGGGCTCGTGACGTCGGGCGGGAAAGATTTCACAACAGAAATCCAGGCGACTTTGAGGGCGCATTTATTAAAGGTGGGGACAGTGAAACAAGGCAGGGCTTAGCATGGAAGCAGCAGGGTAGCCCAGGCTGGGCTGCCGTGGCTCATTGGGAAGCCAGAGAAGAGGGGGCCTTGGGGACGGGTTCGGGGCATTAGCCAGGACACGCTGTTGCTGACCATTGCCTTAGAGTTAGGGGACACAGGCCTGTGGGGGAAGAAGAAGGGAAAGGGTACGGTGCTCGTTGGGTCCTTTGTCGTGAGCGTTTATCTTTTCTCACACGTGGGCCGGCCTGGGTCTTAGGGGAGGTCTCAGGGGAGGTCCCAGCGGAATATGCCTCAGTTCTGTAGCTGCGCCCCGGCAGGGTCCTGGTCTCCTCTGATTGGTCAGCGACAGGACAGGGGGGCTCTAGTCCCTGCAGCTGGTCCTGGCATCACCCACCTGGTTACGCTGCTTGTCTGGACCTGGAGCCGAAGCACCACTGAGGCCTGAGTGTTACCGCCAGGGGAGAAGAGGTCGTTGTTCTCCCAGTCCTGCCGCCCGGGTGACCACCTGGCTGTCGCTGCTCGGCCGCTGTGGTCACCTCTCTGAGGTGACATAAACATGTGCGAGGGGGAGCAGAGCGGGGGTCCAAACAGCTGGCCAGGCTGTCGTTGTAAATACAGTGTTACTGGACCACAGTCACACCCCGTCGTTGCCCCCATACAAGACGGCGTGGCCGCGACAGAGGCCGCAGGGACCGCCAAGTCTAAGGTATTTATTTACTCTCTGTCCTTCTCATGGAAAAGCTGCTGACCGTCGGGGTACATGGGTTATTCCATTAGCTTCTTACTGATATATAGCATCATGCAGGAGAGCACACAGATCACGAAGCGTGCATTTCGATGGATTCCCACAACCCTAACAGTCGCGTGGGCAGCCACCCCGGGCCCCGCCGAGCCCCGCGGAGCCGCGGTCCCGACTGTCACACCGACGTCATGTGGGCACCAGAGCCCTCAGAGCATGCGCTGGACCCGGTTTCCTGAAATGCAAATCAGTTCTCAAGTGCCTCCCTGGGAGAGGTGCCCACGCCTGATTTCTTTCTTTCTTTCTGCAGAGACGTTTCGCTTTAAGTCATGGATGCTGCAGGTCAGTGCCCGACTTCCTCTTCTCCGAAGCTTCCTCCCTCCACGCTTCCTGGCCGCAGGCCGCACTGTGCCAGATCCGAGAGCACGAAGCGGGTCTTTCCACACCAGGGGAGTTTCTCAGACGCCGTCCAGGGCCCCCTGGTAGTGAGGCGGCCCTCACGCCTTGGGGTTCAGTCCATATTTTGTATTCAAATCACATCACGGGCCGGCTGTGAAGTCAGAGAACATGGGTGTATGTGTTTTTCAGAAAAATGGCGATTTTTGCCATAAACATGGCCCAGCACCAGCTGCGGTGTCCGGGGTGACCTGCACTCGGCGGGCGTCTTCACTGGCCTTCAGAGGCCGCTGGTGGACATTCAGGCGCTCCGTCCCCCCACGGGTCCCTGGACGCAGAGGGTTGGCTTTGTAGTTTCCTGTCACTCACAGCTGAGACCTGGGACAGGGTGACACCCACTGCCACAGATTCGGCCTGAGAATTGCTGGCAGCAGAAAAGGCTCTGTCGTCCTCGTAGAGAAGAGGACATGCGTCACGTTCCCAGGACTTAATGCTGCTGTGTTTTGTTTCAGCACCAAAAGACCTACAGCACAGGCGAGTACCAGCACCGGCTGCAGACCTTTGCCAGCAACCAAAGGAAGATAAAAGAGCACAATGCAAGGAACCACACGTTTAAAAGTACGTCGGGGACACCTTCGCTGCGGGCTTCTCAGTGCTTGGGAGGAGGGAGAATCTCGTTGCTGCAAAGAAATCACATAGGGACACCCGAAGGGCCCCGGGGAGAAGGGTGGAGCGGGCGGCCCAGAGTCTGAGGCTGCACCTGGCTGGCTCAGGCCCCGCTCTGCCTGCATTTACCCCCCATGAAATCCAAAGGGCTGCAGATTTGGGACCGTGCTGGCGAGCCGCCCGCTCCTGCCGCCCAGAGGCAGAGCCCTAGCAGGCCCAGGTACAGCCTCCGGGGACATCCCTCCCTGGCAGCGTCACTACAAACACAGGCACACAGAGTGTCCACTGGAGACGCTGCACGCTGGCAGGGTCAGCTACGCCGCTGACATGGGGGACAGGCCCGTGCCGGAGGGCGGCCTGGGTGGGACCCCGCTTCTGCTCAACACTGGCCGTGCGACCTGGGTGGGGTCAAGTTCTCTGAAAAGTTACTCGGCTATAAAGCAGAGACAATGCTGACGCTGAATGAGGTGACAAGGGGGCAGGCGCCCGGTGCCGGGACAGTGCTTCCCTCCGAAAGGCTCCCCCGCGGGGCGTCTGAGACAGTGACTGCCCCACCGCCGGCCCCGGGCCCCAGGCGTGGGGGAGGCAGCCCGCATGTACGAGGTCCGTCCGGAAAATACAGCTAGCCAGGCTCTCCGCAGCCGGAGAAGGCGCAGCAAAGCTGCGGCAAGGTCAAGACCACGTTAGCTGTGGTTTTGGATTGGGAGGGTGTCGTACACCACAAGCACGCCCCTCCAGGCCAAACAATTGATGAGGACTATCGTTTTCCACAAATGTCTCTTTTTCATAGCGCACGGCGGGCTACTCTCTGGATAGACGTCCCCTGCTCTGCCCATAAGCTCCCCCGGGGACTCTGAGTGCTTGCCAGGGCTGACCTTGGGGCACTGAATTACATGACATTTAACAATGCAAAGTGGCCGAGCTGTTGTGGCCTTAGGACACAAAAGAATGTGGGGTTTCATCCTTTTCTCTGTCTCTTTATCAGGGACTTACAGGGTTTCTTTTTTTTTCAGTTTGGTTTTTGTTTTTCCTTCTCTTTTTCAGTGGGAATAAACCCATTCTCAGACATGACGTTTGCTGAATTTAAGCGCAAGTATCTTTGGTCAGAGCCTCAGGTGGGTGTCACTTGGCCTTGGGAACAACCCCACGGTCCGCCCTGCTCCCAGAGACGGTCAGGCCAGACGCAGCCGCTGCTGGGGCCCCAGCCGCTTGGGGCGCCGAGAGGCCAGCGCCCCACACCCCACGCACGCAACCTCACCAGTGCGCACCCTGAACGCAGGGTTGCCAGGCAACCCAGAGATGCCCAGTTAGAATCAAATTTCAGGTCAACAACAGAAATATTTTAGCATAAACATACCCTGACCTTGCTTGGGACAGACTTAGGTTCCACGACAGTCACTCACCATGCACCTGAAACCCAGACTGAGCTGGAGACCCGTACCTGTCCTTACGACACCTGGGCGGCCCGGGCTCTCCGAGGGCGCGGGTGGCAGTCGGGGCCCGTACACGAGGGGCAGGATGGTTTGACAGCGGCCTCCTTTCTCATCCTCTCTTGTGATTCCATTTTAATTACACATACTTCTGTAAAAAAAAAAAAATGGTTTCTTTTCCACCAAAAAAAAAATTCTCTGTGTTGCTCCAGAACTGCTCAGCCACCAAAGGTAACTACTTTAGGGGCAACGGTCCGTACCCCTCCTCCGTGGACTGGCGGAAAAAAGGGCGCTTCGTCTCGCCAGTGAAAAGCCAGGTACGCCTGACAGCCCCCTCCTTTCCCCCCAGAAATACCCACGTGGGGGGGAATCTCAGGAGGCACGACCGAAGGGAACGTGGGAGACCGAACCCCGGCGGAGGGAAGGGAGCGACGAGGGAGGCCGTGGGGGAACCGCGGGGCAGGCACGGCCTTATCGCCCTTCTAACGGCCCCGTGAGGCAAGCTCTGTCCTTCCATCCGGCACATGATGAAATAGGGGACGCGGCTGCCTGGGGCGTACAGCTGGGGGTGCCCGGCCTGTCACGGGGGGCAGGCGCCGGGAGCGAGGGGGCTGGGCAGCAGCAGAAGCTGCTGGAATGGACGATGGGGCAGGACAGGCAGAGCCGGTGTCGGGGTGTCCGGCGGGGACACCGGGGCCTGGGAGGAGGTCAGCCTGAGGGAGGGTTGAGGGAGTTGTTAAAGTTAGAAGTTAGGATGGTGGGTGGAGGTGGAAAGATACAAGAGAAGGTTCTAGAAACAGGACTTTGGTGACGCCTTCTGCTGGGAAATGGTGGGAAGGAGTCGGCACAGGATTGAGAAGCAGGCGAGCCGGAGGCCACGGGAAGGGGCCGCACTGAGTGTCCAGCCCGGTGGCCCAGTGACGCCCGCCCACCCCTCCAGGGCGGCTGTGGCAGTTGCTGGACCTTCTCCACCACGGGGGCCCTGGAGTCTGCAATCGCCATCAAGACGGGGAAGATGCTCTCTTTGGTAAGCAGTTGGCCACAAGGCGGGGGCCACTTCCTGCAGGCCGGCGCTTCGCCCAGAGGGCCGGCGGGGAGCAGGGCCTGGCCTTCAGGCCGCGCTGGGGCGGTAGCTGCCGATGCCCAGGCTGAGAGGGAAGGACAACTGCGGCTGGGGCGGGGCGGGGCGGGGGCGATGGATGCGGGCAGCCCCGGGGACCAGCGGTCAGCTCACGAGTGTGCGTTCGCGCCCGCAGTCGGAACAGCAGCTGGTGGACTGCGCCCAGAACTTCAACAACCACGGCTGCGAAGGGTACGCCCCCGACGAGAGGGCCCTGCGATCGCTCACGGGGGACCCGGGGTGCCGGGCGCTGCCCCAGACACGGCCCCGCCCACCGCCGCGGCTGGGAGCAAAGGCGTCCCCAGTGCCACGGAGGGAGGGTCACCTCGCAAGCGCGAGCTCCCTCAGGCGGAGCGGGGCCCCGGGACACGGCCCAGCCCTGGCGCGGTGGACGCCCGCGAGCGCCGGCTGCGGGGCCCAGCTGCACCTCTGCTCCCTGCAGGGGCCTCCCCAGCCAGGCCTTCGAGTACATCCGCTACAACAAGGGCATCATGGGCGAGGACACCTACCCCTATGAGGGCAAGGTAGGCCCCTTCGCGCCCCTGCCCCGCCTCGGAGCGCCCCCTTCCCCGCTCCCGCGGCCGCAGGACTGCGCCTCCCGACTCAGCGCCCTCTGCCTCCCCGGCCCGCGCCGCCCCTGCCCCTCACCTCACCCCGCCACCCTGCGGCCCGTCAGGCCAAGGCTGTGCACACAGCCTCACGCCCAGGACACGCTCCTGGGCCCCCACCCGCGGCGCCCAAGGCCTGCCGACTGCCATCACCGCACCCCGCGGCCGCTGTTGAGATAGAGGCGCATCTCCTGCTCCCTGAAGTGACCCCGGCGCCCAGCACACGTGGCTTCTGCCTCGTAAATGGTGTCAGGCTGTGCGGGCCGCCCTCACCTGCTTGCCCCGCTCTTTGCCGCCCTAACAGGATGGCCACTGCAAGTTCCAGCCTGAGAAGGCCATCGCCTTTGTCAAGGACGTGGCCAACATCACCCTGGTGAGTGCCGGCCCCTCCCCGACGCGGCGGCCACGGCTGCCGCTGCGCGCTGCCCTTCCAGGGCCGTGGACCGGGGTCTGCGCAAGGCCGCACACTCCGTTTCCTCTTTCTTGGCTGTGAATCGGCGGTCGCGGTCCTGGAAAGCGGGGCACGAGCGCGTGTGGCGTCAGTGGGCGTGTCTGCGAGCGCGAGCGCGCAAGCCCCGGATGAGCCCCCCCCCGCCCCCCCCCCGCCGCGCCCTGCCCCGGGCGAGGCTGTGGGAACCAGGCCTGACTGCAATGGCGCTCACGGCGCTGCGTTGCCAGTTGTGGACACGTCCCACGTGCGAGGCAGGGCCTCTGGCTGCCCTCCAGGCCCCGGGCAGGGCGAAGGAGGGTAAACCATCACCGGCTCCGAGGTCAGAAGGTCCCCAGTCGGGCCGAACCCCAAGTGGGCAGGGAAGCGCAGGCGTCCCGCTTCAACGCGAGAGCGTCCGGAGCGCGGCCGGCCCCCCTGACTCCCAGGCGTGTGAGGGCGCGCGGAAGGCGTGAGAGCCTCTCCTTGGGCTGTGCAGGGTGAGGGGTGCTCATGCGAGCGTGCGGCCGCGCACGCGCGAGCCCAGACGTGTACGTAGCTGGAGCACGTGCTGGCGCTGTGCCACACACTCAACACACGTGCCCTTGCTCGGACCACGCAGCCCAAGGACGTGTCACCAGTGCCTCCATCTCTCAGAGCAAGGAACGGCCCGGCGGCAGTGACCCACTTGCCCAAAGCCACAGAGGCCTTAGCGGAAGCTGCACTTGAGCTGATACCGTGTTCTCCCCGAAGCTACACCCCAGGACAAGGACGTTTGTGACAGCCATGAATTTATCTTAGAAAACAGCCGCCTCCTTAGGCACACCCACCAAGGCGGGGCGGGCTGCGTGCCGTGCCTGTTCCTTCGAAGGATTCCCTTTCGCCTGATCCCCAGGAGAGCCCTGTCAGCAGCCTGCAGGGCCCTGGGGAGCGGCCAGGCCGGGTGTCCAGCCCTCCCGGCAGGGCCGCGGGCGCCCGCGGAAATCCAGGCAGGAACCTGGGCGCGCCTACTGGGGGGGCCTCCATCGGCCCCGCCCTGTCTGGGCTCATGGGCCTTGTCTGGGCTTGGATGTTGGCTCTTTGCAGACGGGTCGCTGCCCAGTTCTGTCGGGAGGCAGGACGCAGGGCGGGCTGGCTGCCTGTCCCCTGCAGCACTCCCCTCCCTTCAGCGGAGCCCTGGCCTCAGCGCACCGAACCTCCACCCTCAAGTCCGCTCCAGAAGGTCCCCAGCCAAGGGAACGGCCCCTTATAGCTCATCTACGCCAGTGGGCTCTAGCTGGGGGGACGCTTTCAAAAATTCCTGGTGCCTGGGACCCACCCGAGAGAGGCCGATGTCGCCATCTAGGGTGCAGCCTGGCAATGGGACTTCTTAATACTCTCCGGGGGGGTCCCCAGTGCTGCGTTCACTCAGCCCCCGCCAGCCTGCTCCGGGCCGCACCTCTCGCTTCCACCAGAGGCAGGTCCTCTCTGCTCCTGGGTTCATAGCCCTCTGTCCTATCTGCCATGAAGGACCCTGAGCGTGGCTGTGGGGGAAGTGGGGAGAGACCCATCATCGCTGCCTCATGAGGGCCCAGGGAATGGTTACAAGTGACTGAGTGGGTCCCTATCCCAAAGGAGTAGGGTTCCCAAGGAACAGCGCAGGGAGGTGAGAGATGACCAGCCAGACAGTCAAGGGAGGGAGGCCACAGGGGGCCAGGTTTGGAAGGAGGGACTTGTAGGCAAAGTAGAAAACCCAGAGGGTCTTGGCCATTCAAGCATAAGATCGTGGGGGCCCCCACTGTGCCCCCAACACCTGTTCTGAGGGCGCTGCGTTTTGTGCTAAAACAGCCTTGTCTTCCTCCTGGGCATCCACTCTGCCCAGGACCTGTCCCCAGCTTGGGGGCAAAGGGCCACACTTTGAAGGTGGGTGGGGAGAGGACAGAGGTCACGTGTGTCTGTCCATCAGTCAGTCCTCCTGCCTGCCTGCAGAACGACGAGGCGGCCATGGTGGAGGCGGTGGCCCTGTACAACCCCGTGAGCTTCGCCTTCGAGGTGACGAGTGACTTCATGATGTACAAGAAGGGCATCTACTCCAGGTGAGGCCCGCCTCCACACCCTCCACCTGTGTGGCGCCTGCTGCATGCCCACCATGCCCTGCGCATCCGGTCCCCACGCAGATGGGCGGCCAGGCCCAGAGCCTGAGCTGTGTGCTCCTGCGACAAGAGCTGCCTCCAGTTAAGAAAACCCAGCTTGAAAAGTCGGATACTGTGAAACAGGAAGGCCGGGCTGCCGTTCTCAGACAGAGCCCCAAGCCGGGCCCCCACCCCCCCCACACACTGTCCCAGCCCCCCAGTGCACTGACGTAGCTGGCACCTGGCGCTGTGGCCCAGGCCCTGCACGGCACACGTCAGCTGAGTGAACACACCGCCCTGCAGTCTGTCCTCTGGATTCTCTTAGAATCTCCTCATGGAAACTAGTTTCCTTTGACATTGGAAAACCTGTTATTTGCCCTGAATACAGGTAACCTTAAAAATAAGTACCGGGGCAAGAAAGCCATTGCACGTGCGCCCTCACTGGGCTCCTCGCCGGGTGGAACCCCCGTTCCTTCACGTTCGCCTAGGAGTGAAGGGCTTAGCTCCCTTCTGGGACCCTGCCCGAAACACCCGGAGACGCTGGCTGCGACCAGCTCTTCCCGCCTGCCCCTCCCACACTGTCCGACCCCTTTGGTTTTTGTTTTCCAGCACTTCCTGTCATAACACTCCAGATAAAGTTAACCACGCAGTACTGGCTGTGGGGTACGGAGAACAAAACGGGACACCCTACTGGATCGTGAAGAACTCCTGGGGCCCCTCCTGGGGCATGAACGGGTAAGTGGCGCTCTGGCTGCCATGCAGGGCAAGGGCGGGGCTATGCAGGCCTGGCTTCCAAAAAACGAGCTGGTCGGTTGAGCCCTAGTGGGGAGCGGGAGGGACACGCGTGGCCATGCACCCCCCCCCCCCCCCCAGCAGCCCCCTCTCTTGCCCTGGGCCTCAGGTCTTAACTTGGTCAAAACAGAGTCTGTCTGGCTCCACCAGACCTGGGACCGCTGCACGGAGAGCAGACTAGGCCCACCCCTGGGAGGGTTTGTTCACGGCAAATCCACGAGACAAGTTTGTCCCTGAGGTTGACAGCCGCACCCCTTTCTCCGGGAAACCCAGCGATGATTAAGTAACTATGTGAGGACCCTTGGAATTCCGAGAAGTGAGAAATGGATCGAGTTCACAAAGTCAGGCCTGTGATTTCCTGGAGAGTGTTATGAATATAAGTTCAGGGGGCCCATCCCTGGAGTCAGATCCTGGTGAGCAGCCAGACACCGTGGAAAGGTCTGCGACCCGCCAGGCCTCAGCCTGCTCGCTCTCTCTGCCCAGGTACTTCCTCATTGAGCGTGGGAAGAACATGTGTGGGCTGGCCGCCTGCGCCTCCTACCCCATCCCGCTGGTGTGAGCCCGGATGCGGCAGTGACCCGCTGCTGGAAAGAGAGGAACGCTGGGCAGCCTGGGCCACCGGCGGAGGCCCTGCTCTGGAGGAAGCGGTGGGGGAGCCACCCGGGCCCGCCCTCGGCACCCTCACCCCAAGCAAGCAGGGCTCCAGCAAGCCGCAAGGCCACGTCTCCTGACCAAACCAGCCACGTGCCTTAGGCCGCGTTTCTGACTCACACTGATCAAGAAACTTCTGTCTCCAGAGGGGTGCACCTCACCTCCTGAGCGCGCCCTGATGACTTGTGTGTGGCCTTTATTCAATAAACTTTCGGTGAGCACCTCCCCAGGCCAGGCCTGTGCTGTGTGATGGGGACCCAAGGTGACCCAGACTGGGCCCGCCCTCAGAGCTTGGGCCTCCCAAGGCGGTGGTGGCTGGGGGCGGCCCAAGTGTCTGCTGGGAGGACAGATGGTGTGGGCGCTGGTGTCAGGTCTGCCAGGTGGGGGACCCAGGCGAACGAGCGTTTTTTGATGGGATAATGGGGCATGGCCAGGGCCCCGGGCTCAGGTGAGTCCCACACGGCCCCCTTCCCTCACACGCGCGGCCTCAGCAGCAGGCCCGGCCCGGGTCACTCGCAGACGCGGCGCCTGTGTCCCCACGCCCCGTTCTGGGGAGCAGGAACCACATCCGGGCTCAGCGGCCCCGTCCCCCACAGGCTGTGCTTCGAAGCCTCACCTCTACTTTTGCTCTCATTTCTTCTTCCTCATCTTCAATTCCTGTTTTTCCATTAGTCTGAATGTTTTAGATGTCGAAATACAAACAGGCAGCACACAGAAAAATTTTTCACGTTCGGCAGCCTGGCAGGGCACCCCCGGTCCCCCGCCCCGGCCCCGCCTGCGAGTCGGGCTTCTCGGCTGGAGCCGGGGCACGGCGGCCTCCCTCCCCGCGCCCCACAGCCACGGCTGTCCCTCCGCAATGTGCCCTGAGAAAAGGCCCCTCGTGGTCCCAGTCCTCACCTCTGCGCTCCTCACAGGCTACGGCTGGTGTGAGACCGGCCTCGTCCGTTTCCTTTGCTCCCAGCCAGTACCTCAGCTATCGTTCGCTCCTTTGGCCTGTGTCTGCCCTCAGTGGCCCTACCTGTTTTTGTCATTTCTGCGGTTTTCTAGTAAACGCTCCTTAAGGGTGTGTAAGCACCAAGAGGGGCCCCGACAGGGTCCCCGCTCCTCGGTCTCCAGTCCCCGCCGGGCAGCGCAGCCCAGCAGCTCTGCGAGCGCCGCATCCGAGGAAGCCGGTGGGTCCCTCCGGGGGGCGTTTCTTCCTGAGAACCCGTGGACCCCCAGCCAGGCGGCGAGCGCGGCGCCCTCCGTGTGCGAGGCCACGCCCCCTCGATCGGGAGGGGCCGGTCCTGAGCCGGAGTGTCCTGGCGACCCCAGAGCTGGCGGCCCCAGAGCGGGCCTTTCAGGCCGAGCTCAGGCCACGCCTCCTGACGAGCAGCGCAGGCCCTTCGGAGCGAGGCCCGCTGGCACCGCCCCTGGGTCTCCGACCGCTCACTCCTCCGCCCAGGCCGCTCACTCCTCCGCCCAGGCCGCTCACTCCTCCGCCCTGGGGCCGACAGAGCGGGTCAGAAGCCACGGGTACTGGGCACCAAGACGGCAACTAAACATTCCCGCGCCCGCGGGTGGTGCTGCGGGCAAAGGGATTACAGAGGCGGCAAACCCTATCCAGACAGCTAGAGGCGTACCTGTTCCTACACCGCTACCAAGCAGGTCTCCGGGTCCTTTGACGAAAACCCGGACAAAGCCCCTGAAGTATGTTATCTTTAACATACTGCGACGCTGTTGTCCACTAGCTTTTTCCATTCAACATGTGGAAGCCTAGAGGCAAACAAAAATCAACCACCAGCCCACTCGACGGCAGCAGGACGACCGGAGCAGCTGCGTCACACGAGAGTATGGACCGTAACCAGCCCTGGCTGGTGCGGCTCAGTGGACCGAGCGCCGGCCTGCGAACCTCAGGGCCTCTGGTTCGATTCCCAGTCAGGGCACAGGCCTGGGTTGCGGGCCGGGTCCCCAGAACAGGGCGCACGAGCGGCGACCGCACACTGATGTTTCTCTCCCTCTCTCCTTCTTTTCTCGTCTCTAAAAATAAAATTAAAAAAAAAGTTTGGACCTTAATCTAACCTGACTTCACGCCCATCATTCACACACTATGAAACAGAACCAACTGTTTTAAGGAGGAAAGCGCCACGATTGTTTTAAACCGATTTGTTTTAAACAAACAGCGGCAGCAGTAGGAGAACAAATGAACGAACGGAGGATGGCAGGAAAACGTACAGACTAGAACGCTATTAAAATGCACTCTCCGTGCCAGACACAAAGAAAAGACGGAAAACACAAGAATTAATAAGACTCGGTGACAGAGAATGGATGGCTGTCCATCCCGCTGAAGGGGAAGCTGGGGGTCAGGGGAGCAGTCTGACTTCCCGTTCGTGACAGACACTGCAGCACAGGCCCGCTGTTAGTGACAAGTGACAAGTGCCTATGAGACTGGTAGCAGTCACAGGGCTGCACAGACACGCTCGGCAAAGCCAAAAGGAAGGAAAGGGATAAACAAGACCAAAGTGCCTCAATTTTGAGAAAATGGTTTCCAAACCTGGAAAAATCTGACTAAACAGGACAAAAATTTTTTACAGTGCCTAATATGTAAACAAGGCACCAGTAGAGTGATACCCACAAACATGACAGATGCATCAGAGGTCAAGGTCTATTCTACCTCACCCCTAGCAACAGCCTCAGAGCCCACCTTCAGAAGCCTGTCCCCCTTCACAGGGACATCGAGCGCCACTGAGACAGCACTAAGCCTTCAGAGTGTGCCATTCTGCCAACAATGATTTGAAAAGTTAACTTCAAAAAAACCGTGTATTAACATAAATACCAAATCATCATGCTGTATGCCTAAAACTAACGCAATGGGTATCAACTATACTGTGTGGGACAGAAGGAGGTTTACAGTGGCAGTGACAGTTTGTTCTCGTATCTTTACTTATTAATTACTGCTTCATTTTCCCTAGGGACAACTGCAGACCTATCACCACCGCCCCACCCTGTGTGTCAGTGAAACCACAGAACAACGCACCGCCGATGAACAGCCCTGTGCTCTCCCCGCGGCCCCATCAGCGGCAATCCCCGGGCCGGTCCTTCGGGGCCACGCCTGTGACTTGGAGGAGCCGCCTGCTCACGGACCGGAACTGGATGAGACTGACACTCCCGCGTCGCGGCACGGGAGGCAGCGAACGCGAAAAACGCCTCGATCACGGCCGGGGCTCCAGCGGCACGGGCTGGTTCCACTCACACTGGATGCTGGAAGTGCGAGTATCCATAAATAAAGACCTATGTTTTTAAAAAGTATTAAAATGGTTCAAAAATTTTTAAATAATTAATGGGTAATTAAAAATGAACAATGTATGGTGATGATGGATGTTAAGACTTTTTGATCATTTTGCAATCCATGTAAGTATCAAATCACGTTGTGCACCTGAAACTAACATGACTACAATAAAAGATGGTTTTAGCATTAACCTAGTTCCAATTTTTGGTAAAAGCAACATTAACTATAACCATCAGCTCAGAACCATCTTGACCTATATTAACCCCAGCTATCGTTACTGCATGTTATTCTGCAGGAACATTTAAAATTACTAGTAAATAAAATACTACTGAAAAGTACTGTATAGATTTAATGCTCATAGAAGACACTGCCTTGGTCACCATCGGTGGGCAAACCTGTCGGTGTTCTGTTCTTATTCTACATTTAAACAGGAGGGGTCTTGATAAATAACCAAAACCCCAAATTTCAGGCATTTTCAATGTCAATAAACACTCTAGGTAAACAGTTACAGACAGCAAGCTGTCACACAGGTAGAAACCCCCTTAATCCTCAGTTCATGACACTGTAGGAGAAAGAGAGCCCTGTGAATCTGACTCCGCAGCCAGAACGCAACGGCACCCGGGAGCCACCCGCCGGCGCCGCGGTGGGTCCGAGGCAGGCCCTCAGCCTGAGCTGCTCACTCCATGAAGCCACACCAGACGCAACGCCTGAGGGCCCACACTACACAACGCATCCACACAGGCACAGCGCTCTTTGAAATGTAAAGAAAAAATTTATTGAAGATCTGAAAAACAATTCCTAAAAGATTGGCTTTTCCAGAAAACGGTAGCTACACAAGGCATGGCGTCTATCGTGTTAAAACGTGCATTAGACACAAATACAAAAACCATTAACAAGCCACCACGCTTCCACAATCTGAGCAAAGATGAAACGCCTGAGGAACAATGTGGACGACTTGCAAAGGGTAAGCTCTTTACTTTAAGCACCAATAAAAAATAAAAGGAGCACAAATGGGTGAGTGTGATCAGTTATATACACTGAATCGAACCTTTGGCACTAGGAATCAGAGCATTTGTCATATAGCATTAACACATATTATAAAAGTGCGTAGTGTCAAAGGAATAGAACCACCAGCATTCAAAAGCAGCTTTGTCAACTAGGCAATAGAACACTCTACAGTATGTCTCTCCATTGTCCATCAATACACTGGCAGCAACTTTAAAATGATAAAAAAAAGAAAGAAAAAAGGAGCTGTAACCCCTTTTATTTTCTCTGTTTAAGATCAAACAGAAAACAAACATCAATTCTGTTATACACTAACATTTTCAAAGTACATCGTTTGTACAAGAGGAGGGACTAAGAACAGGAACGTGTCACAGAGATCCACACAGAGTGAGCGAGCGCCTCACACGGCTTTCCGGTGGTACTCGGGGGGGGCCACTTCGTAGTCGCTCGCACTGAACAAAGTCGCAGAATTCTTTGCCAGGTACCTGAAAATAAAATGTTATTCATTATGAATGAAAAACAAAAATATCTTGACCCAAATCTCTTCTCAGTTATTATGTGCACAAGCTGTATGTACAAAACGCTTTTTCATATATACTGTACTAAAATAATCACAACCTCACAGCAGCATCATAGAATCACTACTTGGGTAATGGGGTTATATACCAGGTAACAACGCGTAAAACAACGAAGTTCACAATTACTCCTCTTATTTCAAAACAGGAGTAAGAGCTGTCTGCAGAATACCAACGTCAGAGCTTAGACTATTATCTGTCAAGAAACAGGTGGTGTTGGTGTTTTCTTTAGATCTTTAAAACTCAATTATATTAAATATATTCAGAAATTGACAAACTTGAACACCATAAAAATCAAAGCAAGCTGAAATGTCAAGTAGTAGGGCCGTTTCATGTCATAAAGAAATTGAGTTAAAGAGGGATATTTATCACAGGCAGAGTGAAGAATAAAAGCTGTTTAGACTGCCGGGCTCATGTTCTGATTTTAAATTTATTACAAAATATATTGTCGTACTTTAAGAATCCTCAATTACAGAAATGTTAGGATTTCTGTAGAAAGGTAGAAATGAAAAACTTCAATCTTTCCTCCCAGTACTATGTCCAAGAAATAACCCACTGTTAAGTATGAGCCAGACTTCGTATTTTTTCCAAAAATTGAAAATACTTCTCTACACATGAATATCTCTACACACACTCTCCATTACAATGTGCTTGGGCATCTTTGTGCATGTAAGTAGGGTACATTCCCAGGAGCCTAACTTTCCAGTCAAAAAGTAAGCGCATCTGAAGTTTTAATATGCAATGACAAAATCCTCCACAAAAATCTGTAGAAAACAGTACAGCCTCTCCCCCACTTCTTCAATCTTTTTATTCTTAGCCAATCTGAAAAAAGGTATTTTGTCATGATGCTGACCCTGTTTTTTGTATTTCCATGCCACTGAATTCCCAATGTTCTCCTTACCACTGCTTTGTTCACCCTTTCCTTACTGCAAGACTTCTTCTTTGCGTACTGAAGGCCCTTTACTGTACATGTAACATCTATTCCCTTCATCTTCATGACAAAGGATTTTAAATATTTGTAGTCAAGCACTAGCCTGGTGGCTTCTTCATCTCTTGCTCCAAAATGTTGTGGGTTCAATCCCCGCCCAGGACACACACAAGACTCAACCAATGAATGCGTAAGTAAGTAGAACAAATCTCTGTCCCCTCAAAATAAATAAAAAATTTTTTAAAATATCTACAGTCAAACTTACCTGTCACTTCCTATATTATTTGATTTTCAGAAAGACCATTCTCACTACAAAAATCATAAAAATACCACCTACATTTTTCCCTTCGTAGTTTTTAAACTCCCGAGTCACCTAGAACGTCGGTGCATGACAGAGCGTGCACTGGCTGTTTCCTCCCAAAGGCCGGCCCGTGGCTCCCTGTTCCCTGAGCGCTCCGCCTCCCCCATCCCCGATAAGCCACTCTATCTTGTGTGATATTCCCACACATCTGCACTTCCTTTGTTCCATTAACATACCTACTCCTCTACCGATACCACTGTTTTATTTACTTCAGTTTTATATTTTAATACCTAGTGCCAATCTATCAGAATACTTTTTGGCATACTGTATTAAGTCATGTTTTTATTTTAAGCACACCCTCCAACTTACTTCAGGAAATCGTGCAGGTAATTCAGCAACAGAGCAAGGCTCTTCTCATCCAGAGGGGTGTAGGCCAGCATCGCCCCGATCCGCACTGCGTGAAGGAGACAGGGCAGAGCCCCCGTTACAGCCAGGGGCGCGGGAGCGCACTCCGTAACGCGAGCAAATGCAACCGCCACCAACTCTTCTCACACCCATGACTTTGGAAACTAGACTTTTTAAACAAACTTCGATATTTATCATTTCGAGATAAAAAGTTCAAATCCAAATGAAATGTTTGAGAAAGTTACGTGACCCCTTGATACCGATGAGGAAAGACAAAAATGTTAAAGGCCCAAAGGAAAAGGGTAAAATTTTGTTGTCTAAATGACATGTATTACCAAACAATCTCAGTAGATGCGGCGCTCCGTACACCTGGGACATGGGTGCGTCAGGGTGGTCCGCGAGGATCTCGGCGTACTGCGGCCTCTCAAACTTGTAGAGTAGCTGAGTGCCCAGCATCACGTTGAAGTACTCCTTTATCCCTGCCACAACTTCATTGACAGCATACTCCCTGACAAATGAGCAAAAATAATTTACTTCCAAAACAGGCCGCTGAAAAGACTGGAGAGATGGGGATTAATTAAACCAACCCGAGCATATGGGACTAAGATAAAGGCTGAACTAATAAGAAGAAAGCTTTACTGAACACGATCTTTAAAAAAAGGTATTTAAACAAGACCCCAAAAAACCAATTCCACAAAGAAACCAATGCTGAGCAAATGAGAGCCTTCAGGCTAAAAGTGGTTTTTACATTTTAAGAGAATTGTTTCTTAAATAGTATATATTATATTGTCACGTAATAGCTTCAATTTTACCTACAATATTTATTATACATATGGCCCTGTTTAAGAAAAAGTTTGTCAGCCAAATAAATCTGTGTTAAACCACTAAAATTCTATTTTGATAGTGTTTGATGGTAGTGTTTGAAAGTAGGTACGTTTCAGATGATGTATTTGGAAATAATATTTGGGGTAAAATGTCTTTAATTGTTACTTTAATAAACAGTACTTCAGCCCTGGCTGGTGTGGCTCAGTGGATTAAGTGCCAGCCTGTGAAATGAAAGGTCGCTGGTCCATTCCCAGTGGGGGCACAGGCCTGGGTTGCAGGCCCGGTCCCCTGGTTGGGGGTGCGCGAGAGGCAACCACACATGGGTGTTTCTCTCCCTCTCCCTCCCTTCCCCCTCTAAAAATAAACGAAAACTTTTAAGATAAAGAGGTAAATGTACTTCAAACATGTGTATGTGCCTACTTGTTATCTGTGTTTCCTCGAGATTTCTTGTAATTTGCATAATCCTCCAGAATGGAATCCACATTCTTCTTGGCAGGAAGATAAAAGAGCTGTAAAAACAAAAATGCACTTGAATACTAGTATTGTCTTTTTTAAAGAAAAATTACTCTGGCAAAGTTGTAATGCTTTAACATAATTTTTCTAAACCTTTAACGATAAAGGATCGATCATTACTATCACAGCAAGGAAAAAGCACTGTTCAGGCCCTGAAACATCTAACGTGGCCCAGGAACTAAAATCTGAAGCTTGCTTAGTTTCCATCAAGTGGCCGCACGCGGCCAGCGACTGCACAGCCCAGGCCCGAAGGTTGCCGACCTGCGGGACGCACACCGCCTGCCCCTGCAGCGCAACGCCCACGCGCGCCTGCGCCTCCGCGCCCTCCGGCCTTTCCTGCACGCAGCATGCATGGGGCCTATCTGAAGCACTAACGGTTTCTTTCCATCCTCATGTCAACTATGAGGCAGACGCCATTACTCCACTAAACGTGGAAACTGAAACACAAAAACCTGTGTAACTTGACCCAACTCAGGCTGGAAATGGTAGAGCTAAGGTTTCAACCCCAGTTTTGCCAAACCTGAACCAAGAATCAAGCCAAGCCCACGTATTGGGTGTGACCAATGCCTCCTAAGCCTCGCGATCCTCAAGCAGCCCCTGCCCACGCCATTTCTTGTAAGACCCCGATTCACTGGCCCGGTGAGCGCCTCATTTTGGCGCTGGATGCCTGTGCCCTCACAGTGTTACACATGTGCCTCACGATGTCCCCACTTCCTAGATGCCGGTGGGGTGTCCAACACGCAGTCTGGGGTCCACACGCAGCCCGGGACGGCTGTGAACGCAGCCCAACACAAAACTGTAAATTTACTTAAAACACTGAGACTTTTTTGTGATTACATGTCGCAATTTATTTAATGTGCGGCCCAGGGATGCCAAAAGGCTGGACGCGCCTGGCTGTACTGAGGAACGTCGCTGGGCTCTGCTCTCCTGGAGGCCCCGAGCGCCCGCTGGCGGCGCTGGGCGCTTCAACCACACTCCACTGTTAGGGATGTGAGCGAGGGTTTCCCTTTTTTTAGTAACAGTGAAACTGGAAATACATGCTTGTCTTTATCAATTTTCAGAATGACTCCTCTTCTAGCAACCTCCAAAAATGAGTTATTTTCCCCCCTTTTTAAATCATTAGAAATTTTATACATGTACTTTTATTCTTCTTCAAGTCATTCCTTCTGATGATCAAACTGTTCAGCCTCTGAATTAAAGCATTCATCAGTCATACCTTCAATATTTTAGTCTATATAGCTTTTTCCTTTGGAAGTTTTTTTTTTGCAAACTAGAGAGAACGCACACAGATTATAATCAGTGTAGCTTTCATGTTACCTGTTTCTGCCGGGTAATTAGATCCCAGTCATCAACAAGCCATGGTTTTAGTTCTTCAGGAATCTTGACTTTCACTTCAACTCTGTTCATGAATGTTTCCTCCTGAATGGAAAAAAAGAAAGTATTTAAAAATGTATTTTCTTGCTGAAATAGCTACGCTAAAAGACGGGGCTTTTCCCGACCTTCAGAGGCACTGGGTATAAATTCTTTCAAGTACACAAACAGGCTGCCAGATCATCATTTCAAAAACCTTAGTCTGAACACCTAGCCTTGTTCACCTTGTACATGAAAGACAAGCCAGAGTGGGGGTAGAGGGAACCTAGCAAGGCCCCCCCGGCAAGGGCGGGAAAACGGAGACAAATGTGTTTGAACAACAAAAAAAACTTGTGTATATGTATATAAAACTTGGGTGTATCTATGTATATACATGTGTTATATATAACTTGTATATGCATATAGGTAACTTGTATGTGTTTATGTATATACGTGTGTGTATGTTTCCCGTATCAAAAAAAGGGGGAACACTTTCATTTCAGTAGCGACCCATGTTAGCAATGCTCCTGAGACTCATGGTTCTATCTGAACATGTTGTAACATGAGCGAGACTGAAAATTCTAACACGCTATTCATAAACTTAAGGGAAAACCCACGTTTTCAACAGTAGGATCTACTCGAGCCCTCTTCTTGCGAGGAGGCTGCGGGGTCTCGCTGGTACTGCCACCATCTCCATTTCCAGGGGCTACAAAAAGTCGAGGGTGAGGGAGAGATTCTTAACTTATTAAACGAGAAATTCTTAAGAAAAATAATCACATGACATGCGCTTCTTTTAGTTTTTCCATTTAAGTGTCACTTCAGTCTGTTACAGAATCACATTCTGACCAAAATTTTACAGGCTTTTATAAACAACTCTACCGTTCAGTACAAAGCGAAACTGAACACCACCGCCTCACCCCTCTGGAAGGGGCCTCCTCAGGGTTAGTCATTAAGAACAAGTAACATGGAAATAAATGCTTCTCCTGTATAGAAGAATACAGGAGAAGGTTTCTCCGTGGTAGAAAGAATACCAGAGTTAGGTTTGCACCACCGTGTTCCTATAATAATGATGCAATTCATATTGGAGAACATCAATAAACATAAACTTAATCTAAAAAGAGCTTCATACTTTTAAAATTTAAGTCAATTCAAAATTCAGTACTGTAAAGGTAAAATAATTCCAACAAAATTAATATGCTTACTTTTCTGTTTGTTCTTTTTTGTTTTCCTGAAGAGGGGAGAAAAGAAGAAAGATAAAGAATTACTGCCAGTAAAACTGCCTCTGTTTCAATTCCCTTTTATCACGGGTATGTCCCTAGAGAAACAATGCCTTCAATGATAAAAATCAGGCAATTTATAGTTTCCTGCTCAGGCACAAGGATTTTTATTGATAGCCATTTAAATTCACATCTCCCTCCACATAACAGAAAAATGAACCAAGAACATGTCGAGAGACTTCCATCCGAGATTATATTACGAAGTTGTAAGGTTACTACAGTGCCCAAAGCCCTACATACAGTTCATAAAAATTTACAGTAGTGCCACCAAAAATAAAGTTCCAATGAAAATATCTTCCCCAATGACTTCAGTACCAGCATCACTTTACTGGATCTCTAGGTTTCCCGACCTGTCTGCTCATCACTCAACTCTCAAAGCTCCAAATTCTGATTCACCCCTTTTTCTCTGAACTACACGCCCTCCTTTCAACACCTCACACCCCCGTCCCGCGCGTGCAGGATAGAGTGGCATTTCCTGTCTGGTTGTCATCTCTAACAGCCACTTATATCCATCTATATGCTGCCAACAGTAAATCACTAATTTTTATTTTATTCACATTTATTGACAGAAATCAAATTTGCAAACCCCATGATCAGGGGTCACACTTACTCTTCCTTTTCTGCATCTGGGAGCGATGCATTTACATGTGTTTCTAACCTAGGTCTGATTATAAACACCGGTCTCTGGCCGCCTGAAAGTGCAGGGGTTTTCTGGTCCTGCTCCCACGGCGCAGCCGGCCTTGCACACGCTGCTGGGGTTCCGACTGTGTCCCTATTTCTAAGCCCTGACTAAATATTATACAGACAAATTATAAGCTCTTACGATCAATTTACTTTAAAGAAGAACTGAAGTCCTAAGCCATGGTAAGAAAAATCGCTTTATTAAATAATTAACAACCAAAAATAGGCCAAGTCCAAACAAAAATTCACATGTATTCATCACTATTTGTTTACGGTAAGCAGCACCCAAGCTTAAGGACCTAGAGGTCAACAAAGTGAAGGTAGGCCTGGGTGTTCCTAGTACTGCTGACCCCCGACCAATGGGGGAGGGAGCGGGGGAGGGACACCAACCCCTCAGCACAATCGAAAGTCCTCATGTTAAGTTCTGGCCCCCCAAAACTCACCTACAGCCGCATGTTGGTAACCTCCAAAGACGTAGTAACTCCAGCTGTCTTCTGGCATTAGAGGGGGACTGGTTCCAGGACACCCCCCAACACCCAAATTCAGAATGCCAAGTCCCTTTCATAAAAGGGCCCGGGACAATGAATGCCGCCGGCCCTCTACCTTCACAGAGCCCCAGGCATGAAATGAAAACACCGCGGCCCTGGCTGGTGCGGCTCAGGACCGAGGGCCCCTGGCTGGGGCGTGAGAGAGGCGGCCCGCTGATGCATCCCTCACATGATGAGTGTGTCTCTGCCCCTCTTCCTCCCTCCCCGCCCCCTCTCTAAAAAATAAATAAAATCTTTTTTAAAAAAATACTGTGGGTATTAATTTTTCCTTAATCTGCATATAGGTGGACCCACACAGTGCAAACCCATGTTATCCAAGGTCTGCGGCATTTTCGAACCAGCAGCATTTAGGCACATTCAGAGAATGCTGAAGACCAATTACCAAACAGTAAAGATGGAATATGGTGACGCTGGACGTTAAAAATCTATCAAAACCTCAAATCAAAATGTTGTTTTTACACCAGGTTTAGTTATTCAATATTTTATTCAAAAGAAAAAAGACCTCCTATTCTAATGGAAAAAGCAGTGCTTTATACGATGCCTTCTAAGTACTCAGATTACGATCTCACCAAAGCGCCCCTTCCCCCCTAGAAGAAAGGCTCCAAGGGGAGTGGCCGCCGGTGACTGTCTTGGGGCAGCAAATGGACAGGGCGGGTCTGCACCGCCGCTGCCGCCCGCCGACGGGGAGCAGCCACTGTCGGAGCCTCCCTGTCCGGGGATGCGGAACCCCCGCTTAAGTTCACACACCTACTCAGCCATTATTTTTGTAATCAGAACTGTACATTCAAACACACATACTTCTTAGGCCTACTACCCAGACTAGATTTCTATACCCGTTGCTAACACAGTGATAAAGAATTAGCAATAAACCAAAATATTATTTTATTGATAAAAACCCGTATTTTCCTAAATATTGAGGAAACTGCTACTTTTTAAGGCTCAAATGTTATTAAATCTTAATAATAAAGCTATGTAACAGTTTTCTAAAGAACCAGCTCATGAAAATATGCTACTGTTTGTAATAAAAGCTATGAGCCACACACCTAATCCTTGCCAAATCAGCTAAGTATCTTCTCACCCAAAAAGGGTAAAACTGCGAACGTTTCCAAGTGCATGGTTACCATCATTACCAGCACATAACTTCTAGGTAGTAAAATCAGACCTGGAACTCTAAAAGCAACAAAATGTAATTTTGAGAAAAAACACACATACTTCTTGGATAAATCGTATTTTAAAGCATGTTACTTTTGATCCATTACCAAGAAGCACATAACCAGTACTCATTGAAACTACCTGGTCGTAAATAAAAATACTCCAGTGGAAAGAATGAAAATCTTTTAACAAAAGTTTTGGTCCTCTCTCTCTTCTCTAGGTTACGGTTCCTACACTGGCCTTCAGGTGCGTTAACCGCAGACACGCACCCACGGAGAATGCACAGGACTTCCACCCCCGCCTCAACCCAACACCCAGGCGGCCTAATCTTAACATGAGCAGGAAATGATCTTCCTTCTCTACGGGGTAAGGGAGTTAACTGGAAACCTTAACATCTCACATACTGTCACCTTGGGTTTCAAGAGACAAATTAAACTAAGATAAATTTTTAGCACTGCTGAGAAATCTGTCCCCCTCCCCAATCTCAAAATGCCCTGATAAGTCAATCTGTGTTTTCAAAAGAAAGTCCATCACACAAAGAAGTGAAAAGGAAAGGGCTACGAATATACTTAATGTCAATGAATGGAACACATCCTGAGTGAGGGCTGAATGTTATGACTATTTTACAACAACTAAAAGGGGGAAGGATTAAAAACTTGCTAAGGAAAATTATTGAATACACACATTTTTCAAATTTATTTTAAACAACCTGACACCGGAGAATGGAATCTCATTAGCATTTTTCAAGTTACAGCAATGTTCCAAGTTTCCGATTTCTTTTCTTACAGATTTATTTATTTTTAGAGAGGGGAAAGGAGAGAGAAAAGAGGGAGGGAAACGTCCAAGTGTGGTTGCCTCTCTCACACGCCCCGCTGGGACTCGGAGCGAAACCCAGCCCTGTGCCCCGACTGGGAATCGAACCAGCGGCCTTTTGATTCACAGGCCAGGGCTCAATCCACTGAGCCACACCAGCCAGGGCCCAGTTTCTGTTTCAGTAAATCATGGTACAAGGTAACGGGTATTGAGGTTGAATCCCACTTATAAAACAGTACACAAAACAAAGACAAGAGTTACTTACACTTCAACATTTTTCTGTTGCAGACCAGACGTCTTCTTCCCCGGGGCGGCCCCTCTCATCTTCCCCTCTGCATACTGCTCCCTGCAAAAATCATTTCAGTAAAGTCATCATACAGTAAATACGTAGAAAAGTAAATTGGGACGTGATTCCATTTTGAAATTTATATTCAAATTGAGGTCCCAGGCATATATTCTTTTTCTTCACACACGTATTATTTTAATCCTCACCCGAGGACATGCTTACTGATTTCAGAGGGAGGGAAGGAGAGCACAATGATCAATTCCCTCCCACAGGCACCCCAACCAGGGACGGAACCTGCAACCCAGGCAAGTGCCCCAACTGGGAATCAAACCCGGGACCCTCTGGGTTTACGGGATGACGCTCCAACCAACTGAGCCCCACCAGCCAGCAACCAAGCCGACACATACTCTGATACAAACTTTTTAACAAGTTGGACAAATACATGACATATTTATAAAAATCAAACAATTTCAGAAGAGTAAAAGGTCTAAGATTTTGCTCTCTGTTATCTCCAAAATTAAAATAAATCTAGTGAAAGGTAACTACAATGGACTGTGTCTCACGTCACTGAAAATTCCGTTTCTGTTTTGGAATTCAGTAACCCCAATGTTTTCTCCTATTTGATCTCTTTTATCATTTCAATGTTCTTGACATACATTTCAGCTTTGAAATCAAAGCAAAAGCCAACAGTTACCCTTCAGACCCCCTCGCCTTTCTGGGTTCCTTCTCCCGACGCGCCTCCAAAGACGGAGAACAACGGGACGCCCCTCCTCCTTGCCCCCCGTCACAACTGCACCTTCCGCAGAGGCCACAAGAGAACGTAACATTCAATCTGCCCACTCCAGAGATTTCCAGGAACATCCCCCTGTTCTCCACCTGCCTCTCAGGACGGGCTCAAGCCATCACACCTATGGACCTGTTTTCCTGGGAAAGCATCTCTGGTTACTTGAGGTCAAAGCTGTCACACACAGCTGACAAGGACCCAGAACCGGTTCCAGAACCAGTTTACAGGCACGCAGCCAACGTGATTTCCATCGTTCATGCTATTTCCAAAAATTAATTTACAGGCATTCCTCCTTACAGTCATACTGCGAAACGCACTTACTGATTGGCTTTTTGAAGTTCTCGCTGTTTCTGCAGATTGGTGTCCACGTATTTGAGAACTCTGCTTTCTGGAACCCATTCATCCCAACTGAAAAAGAGAAAAGTTAAAATGTCAAAAATATTTTCATTTTTATTCAAATTCTGTTCAATTATTTTTTAGAGATCCACAAAGCAAGGCTTTGGATTTTTCTTAAATAATCTGATGAATGGAGACTACAAATCCATTATCTACTAAAGTGAAAAATCTCTGTTCTGTAAAGGAAGTAAACTTCATATTCTCAAAAGCAGCATTTCCAACTCTAAACTGTCAGAGTCCAAAAACAAATCATTCACATTTTTCAAAACTGAAGAGTCCTGGTTGGCGTGGCTCAGCCGGCTGGAGCATCGTCCCACAAAGCGAAAGGTCACTGGTAGGTTGCTGGTTCAGTCCCTGGTCAGGGCAAGTACCAAAGGCAACTCACTGATGGATGTCTCTCTCATGCTGGTGTTTCTCTCCCTCTCTTCCTCCCTCCCTCCCCCTCCCTCTAAATAAAGTTTGGAAAAAAATAGCAAAGAGTCCCTCAACAATTATCGTTCTAGAATAATACCTTAATTTTAATTTCAAAAAAAGGAGGACAGGAGGCCATAAGAAGCTGACTTTTTGAACAACTAAAACTAACTGGCTACTCAGCTGTGCGTAACAGCCAAGCTGTAGAACTCTCTGTGCCTTATTTATCGCCTGTAAAACGGAGAACAGTGCCAACGCCACTGGACTGTTATGAGAATTACGTAGTCCAACCAACATTCAAGGTGTGTCAGAAACATTAGGACGTCTACAATACTCATATGCCATCTGGACGGCAACGGCTACGACTGTAAATTAAAGCCTCACCATGGCTCACCCAGACTACCCATCGCTGACCTTCCCCAACTCACAGACGAATGCACTCCCTGCCTACGCGTCAGCGGAAAGACGGCTCTCTGAACGTGGACAGGCAGAAGCACCTGCTCGTCAGGTGCGTAACTGCTAGGGTACTCTGGCATTGCCAAGGGCGCCTTCTAAACGTGACTTCTGATGTTTCCCCCGACGGGAAACAAAGCCAGGCGCTTCTTAGGGAACGCTGCACCTCCCGCCAAGCGCCTCTCTCCTCCTGCTGACGGAGCTCCTTCAGTGACACAGTGAGATGTCTCCCTGACTTCCCACCTCTGACCTCTTCCGTAAGATAGCCAAAAGGAGAATTAAATAAAAAGTAATCCTCAAAATGATTTCCTAGAGAAAACTTTAAAACATGCATTTACCTAGAGGTCAGGAGGGGGTGGTGTACTGAGGGAGCTCCTTCAGGAACAGGAAAAAGGGCTACAAAATCCTCACGTGTCTTCAAAGTTTTTTCAGAGCGCCTGGGCCTCACAGCACTTCTGATACAGACAGCATAGTACAAAGTAATCTCAGTAACTAGGTGCAGAATTTAGCTTAAGTTTCAAGATTTATTTACAAATGGATTATTTAAATGTCTGTGTCAACAAATTCCATAAGGTTTTTTGAAAATTTAGAAATAGCTTACCTATTGCGCTTTTAAAAACCATATATAATATTTACTGAAGTTCAAGAAAAATTTCCGTTTGGAGACTGGTCTTTTGTTGTCTGATTTCCTAAAAGTAAGGTATCCTTCAAACCATTATCAAAATGAGGATTTTGTTTTTATTCGTCTACTTATATCTAGTCCCATTCTCTCAATTCAAGGGGGCTAGTCAATTTCTACTTCCGGCAAAGCTCCATGTTAGGACCTTGCCAATCCCTCCCCCTGATATACAATGCATCTCAATAGGCACCTTGATCTAAACCCACAGCAATTCTAGTTTCTTCGCATGTCAGGAGCTGAAAACCCTTGCTGCACAACAGGGCAGTGAAATGGCATCTTTTGTTCAGAGAAACATCACTACTAGGGTAGTAACTAAGGGCTGGACATTCAGATATTTTTACATATAGATTAACCATAAAAGGATTACAGAATTTTCTAAAAGTAGCTTGTAACAAATTCCCAAAGCCACAAATCCATGGCACTACTTATACAGCATTAAATAAAAACAGCACACACGCTGGGTATTTGAATAACTCCTCCCTCTTTCAAAGTGGGGTTATTTAAAGGCTTCCTTAAATGCTAAGGATGAACATTTTCAAAGTTACATCTACTTATCTACACATCAAATCAATGATAAAACATACATCTTGCTATATTAATGTTCCTCAATATAGCTACAAAGATATTAGTAAAGATCTCTAATATTTAATGGCATTTTTCCCAAGGAGCAATATATAAAATTAGCTGAAACAAAACCTGTGCTGCCTTTCATTTATCTGTACAACTGTACTATAACAAGGGAAAATGTTATTATTTTGAAGCAGTGAAATAAGAAACTAAAAGAATTTGATATTTTCACAATTGCTTATAAACTACACATGTCACTTAAAACCCAGTCTTTAAGCTATACACATTTACATGTAATTTTATGCAAAATACCTATTACACATGAAAGAGTTAAACCCAAAGCTATGTTCACAGCTCCTAGTATTGAGTCACTAGTATTACCTACCTATGATTATTAGAAATATTTCAATTGTCATTAACTGGGGGAAAAGATTTGTAAGTTGTCAGAACATGCTTTTACACATTTAGATTTCTATCTTTGTACAATTATACTAATGAAAGAAATATTAAGGATCTCGTATTTCTTTTCGGCTGAGAGCATTCGCTTGTGGAAGCTTCCTTCTCACAGGCAGAACTCCCTGAGCGGCCGGTGGACGGGGAACTGCAAGAAGCAAGCCCCGCGCCGGCGCGCGCCCTCGAGACGCTTCCCGACAAGCCGGCCGCCGGCCTCGGCTGCAGCAGGCTCAGCTCAGGCAGCGCAGCGCGGAACCACGTGCTAAGAAGCAACTCCTGAAGAACTACACTTTCTGGCAGTGCTATCTTTGAAGGGTAAAAACACCATTAATAAAAGTAATTTCAAAAATCCTCTCATGGTAAAAACTGGGCTGTTGAATACAAGCACCAAAAAGTGCGTCAGTCATTGGATGTGGTGGTTGTGGGCACCACGATGCTCTCGTCACTGAGAAAAGAGCTCCACGAGCCGGACGGGCTGGACGCGCCCGACCTGGGCATCGTCCACTCCCCGCGACTGGTCCATACACCACTGCTTCGAAAAGGAGTCTAGGTCTTCAGGATGGAACACTACGCTTTCTAATTAAATTCCTGTTATCTGTATTAAGCCATATGGTAAACAATGAATCACAAGAAAACACTTTGTCAACATTTAATCATGTTCCCAAAGTTCAGAGCAGAAGTTGGTCATTACTTCCAAATCAGACAATCTTTATCCTCTTCCCTCTTCTAGCGGGAAATATCCAACGAGTGCCCTGGCCAGTGCGGCTCAGTCGGTTGGAGTGTCGTCCCTTAAACCGAAAAGTGCTGGGTTCGGTTCCCGGTCAGAGCACATGCCTGGGTAGCGGGTTCAGCCCCCGGTCAGGGTGCACCACAGAGGCACCCGAACCCACTGACGCTGCCCTCCCTCTCTGAAGTCAGTGGGCATGGCCTCAGGGAAGGATTTAAAAAAAAAAAAGGCATGTATAAAAAATAAATTTAAAAAAAGACAAATACAACTAGCTTTGAGTGTAACTGCTTGACCTCTGTACATAATTAATGAGCTTGCGCTAAGGCAAAAAGGGAAGAAGACGGGGCTGGCCGGCCGATCATCGGACACCGCGGAGCACCAGGCACACTGCCGCAGCGCCCCTGTCCCCGCGGCGGGCCCGCCACACCCCGATGGCGCGCCGCTGCTGCGAACGCACAGCGTTAAAACTCTACGAGGTTTAGGAAGCGTATGTCTGTGCCAGTCTATGACACAGCTTACTCTGTAAATTACAAAAAACAAACCAAAAGATTGCTTTTAAAGATCTAATACTCACTTTTTATTCCAACCACTGTAATGTATAAAGTATTTCACTTGTTTGTCCTTTATGGCAACCTTTACACACTGAAATAAAAAAGAGAGATTTTTCACTTAGAAATATTAAAGAAGAAAGAGAGGCTACCTACGTGATTTCGAAGTATCTAATCTTTCAAACACTTAAACCTCTCGGTGACCAAAAAGGACCCCCAAAAAGGTGACTTTCTAAGAGAACGTTTTATAAGTTTTATAAGTATTTAAACGTTTATAAGTATTAAGTTATAAAATGCCGAACTGTCACAATTTGTTGGAGTCAGTCCAACAAAGCAAAGAACCATAAGCCTAACAGGTCACCCTAACCCTAAAAGCGACAGGCCAGATAAGCTCCCCGGGAGAAGCTAACGAAGGCTGTGCTTCCTCAAAGTCTAACTAGTCAGACGCTGTGCTTTCAAAAACAAATTCGGCTAAAGAAAAATATTTACAACATATTTGGAAGTTTTGTTAGTTATGAAAGGCAATATACTGTTTTGTTGCAGAGTATCAGTAACTAGCAAAATGAAGATTAAAAACGTTTTCTGTTTTTCAAAGCAGCCAAACAAATTAAAATGGACAGGGGAGGTCATTGGCTATGACATGTGATAACTATCATTTAAGAATTTAAAGTCTTTACCAGGAGAACCACAAAAATTTAAGCTATTCCAATAGCCATTTAAAATTTGTTCACTGGAATGTTTTTATTGCTGGGAGAAAAGCCTGCCATTTTAGTAGTCTGCCAGAAGCAGATACAACGAGAATTACATTCAGGGATATAAATGATCAACAGGGCCCATAATGTACTTATAAACTGTATTATTAGCATTATGTGACTAAAACATGTATGTCCGCATGCGTAAAGTGCCTGACCATCTCCATGAATCCAAACTCAGTCATTTTAGAACTTTATAAATGTACATCTATGTTTTGAAAACAAGTAGTCAAAATGGTTATTATTTATTCACACTATCTGACATTTTACCATTTTAAGACTATTTTCATAGACAACCTATTCACCAAGAACTTCTGGAGAAATCATCTTTTTAAAAAAATCACACTGTTCTGTACACTGATTCATTTTGTTAAAAAACTAAACTTAAAAAGTCACATCCTAATATTTGTCCTAAAAAATTTAACACAAAGAAAATACTAGAAACAAATTTTACTTTGGAATGTATTATCCTATTCACCTTTGCCCAAATATAAAATTAGTTTTTTATAATCTGAGCACACACTGATCAAGGAAAGGGGGCCCTCGGGATTCCAACTCTGCCAAACAAACCAACAAATAAAAGTCAAACCCACTCATTTTCAGGGTTAGCATTTACCTTTAAGGTAATTAGCGTGGTACTTACTCAGCATATTGCAATTGCACGTAAGATGGACCTCGGCCGGTCCCCCCACAGGTCACGGGTTACCCAGTGCTACTGCTCCCGCCAATAATCAGCCTTCTATCCCCCCCGCAAAGCCCCCTTCCAACTACTGGCCAACAGGGGCGAGGTGAACGCCCTTCATTTGACCCACTAAGCGCGCAGTAAACACCCAGTGAGAGAAGGGGAGGACCTCCACAAACCTACGAAAAAAGTAACTTATAAAGTCAGAGCTACCCAGTCGTTTCAGGGAACTTCTTAAAGGAAAAACGGTTCCATACCTTTGCTTCATAAAGAAGAGGCCCATGAAAGCACAGCACTCTCTCTCCTGTAAAAGGAAAGGGACGGGTTAATGGCAATGCCCTTCACACGGCAGGTCCCCACCTGCTCAGGTGGCAGCCCCCCCCCCAGCTCAGGAAGGCGGAAAGGGCTACAGACGACACTTCAGATCAACTCCACCAGCACCCCACAGCAGACACGCCTCAGTGTCTGATGGAAACACCAGAAACAACCCGCTGTGCCGACCCACTTAAACCATCAAACCAGCTAGGACCTACCACAGCCACCTACTGGCCGGGTTGATTTTGTTTTCCAATGCATATCTGCAAAAACAATGTTAAAGACGCATCCCAAGTTTAGAGGCATACGCTCTATCTGTAGTTCTGCTTCCAATTCTTACTAATGAAGTCAAATAAGCTATACATTGAAATTTCAATGTGCCTCAGAAATAGCTGAATTTTTGCAAAAAATTACTGCTGCACTTAAAAGTTTTCAAAACTGACAACTTATAAACCTTCAACCTGAAAAACTGTTACCACACAGCAAATCTGTATATTCATTTTCAACGTATGTACCCAGTCTCTGTCGTGTGCCTGCCTTTCTAGGCTGTCAAATGCATGGAGGGCACCGAAATGTAAACAAATAGTTTTGCACGATCCCCTGGATTTCATATTGTAAAAGTGACCGATGAAGTACTGTGAGGGTCACAGGGAAGGGTACCAGTGGAGGAAAACACAGGTTAAAAAGCAGAGACACATGTTAAGATGACATTTTTATTTAAATATAAACAGCGCACCATCCCAGAGCATAGGAGAAACATGTAACAGCAGAACTACAAAGCACGCAGATGACAGAACGCCTTACGTGTCACGTTATAAAATCTAGACTTTATTCTGTACAGAAGGATCCCCAAATCTGACCAAGAATCTCTAGGAGCAGTTTTTAAAACTACAGATTTCAAGCCTCATCAGAGAACTGCATTAGCAGCTCTTCAAGTTCGCCCAGGAACGTTATGCTGCGACCACATTCCTCTGCGTCCACTGAGGAACCCCTGCCCGAGGCTGCTGGGCTTGGAGACCGAAACCGGGGCGACCAGTCCAAGGCCCCGCCCAACACCCAGGGGTAAGCTCACGAGGCCCGAACCGCACGGTGGCGAAGGACGGCTGTGCAGCAGGACCGGCCCTCAGAACGGCCTCTAGGCTTCCGAGAGCACTAACCGCGAGAGGAAATGGAGGGAGGGGGTTCAGCTCAATCTTGGCACCTGCGGGGGATCCCGCACGTAAAGCGCCGGGAGGCGAGAGACTGGGGCTAGAGCCCCTGAGCCCTGCGGGCCGGGAGGCCGCGGCCGCGGAGACACCGCAGCACCGAGGGCGGCCGCGTCTCCTGCTTCCTGCCCCGGGGAACCCCCAGGGCGCCCTGAAAACGGCAGCAAGACAACTGCAGGCTCGGGGCAAGGCCCGCCGACCCCCGTTCTAGCTCCACGGCCCTAGCGCGCGGTCCGGGAAAGGGTGAGGCCGGCTGAGGGGTGCGACCCGGGACGACGACTGCCCCATTTCCGCGGAGATGGAGAGAAAGACTGGGGACTGGGGAGGAGCAAGCCACCGGTCCCATTTTTTAAAAAGCTCTCTCCACTCTGAAGTCTTCCGAACACGAAGCTACAAAGGTGCGTCTGCCCCGGGCTCTCGGACGCCAGGTGAGCAGGAGTCCAGTCCCGCGCCCCCCGCCCGCCCTGGGAACACCCGCGAAGGCCGGCACCGGCCGCTCTCCTACCCCGACGGGGCCCGGGGCCCGTCCCCCGGCTGCGCCCCAACAGGGTGTCCGCGGGAAGACCCAGCCAGTGCCGCACAGTCACTGTGCTGAAACTGCTTGTACGCACCGCACGTTGTGCTATTATTCAATGAGAAAAACTTTCAAGTTCAAAAGAATTATGGGGAAAAAAATACTGTTTCTGGTATCTCCACCAGTACACGAGCTCAATTCTTCTGCAGTGTTTTATTACAATTCTGTTAAAATATTCACTCTTCCTTACAAGGTACTCTCTGAACAGGTCATATCAACAATTACAATTTGTTATTGACGGTCATGCAGCTCGGCTTTGCCAGAAGAGCGGAAAGCTCTCCCGGGGAGCAGTGTGGGGGCGGCGCTCTCCAAACCTTGGGGGGGGGGGGCGGGGCGCACTGTCGCCTCCCCGGCCTGGGCCGCCGGCCTTCTGGCTCACCTTTCCAGCACTGTCTCCAGAGCGATCCCAAACCTCCGAGGACCTGCAGGAGGGACTAACTTTTCGGGTCACCCCCCCGCCCCCGCCCCGGGACAGTCTGGGAAGGCGTCCGGGCCTTTTCCTAGGATGCGTTTATAAATGCATAAAACAAAGGAAACCAGCTCTACTGAAATAATGAGCGAAGCATTTTAAATAGCATGTTTTATGATAGAACACGAACATCCAGCTGCTGACCCAACAGCTACCGTGGCTCCGAAGTCCTGAGCAGCACGCACCTTCCACGACTGCACGGCTGGACCATGAAAACATACTGCTGTAGCAGTGGGGCTTTTTTCGGGGGCGGGGGGCGGGGCACGTTCCTAATTAAAATACTGCACACCACTGAGACAATAAAAAAAAATTTTTCCCCAAATTCACGAACCCTCTCACTGTAGATCAAGAACCTTGGCTCTAAAACACCTAGTAAAAAAATGACCCCCCTATTAGTCCCTGCTTCTCAAGGTGGAAGAAAGCTATTAAGAGTCGCTTATAATCAAAAATACCCTAAACAAGAAAAGTCCTTGACTCTCCCATAGTTCCAAAATACTCGGGTTTTGGATATACGGTTCTCCAACGATTTCTAACGCACAATACGATTGGAAAATCCCTTCCACCAAACTGTTTTGCAGCCGTCGGGGCACCTACAGCAAGCAGCCCGAGCATCCCCGGCAGCGACGGGGATGTTAAAGCGCTACCGGGCCCACGTCCGTCTCGGCCGACGCCGGGCCCTCCCCTTCAACACCCGGTAACGGACGCGTTCATTGTGACAGTCAGGAGCCGTCTTCCCCCGGGGGCCAGGCTCCACCGTCGGCCGAAAGCCTCGCCCAGCAAAAACCATTTATTAACCGCAGCTCACTGCGCTTCCCACCCTCTCTTCGTAAACGTTACTGCAATTAGTCCATCAACTGCGGCATTTACAGGGTGGCACCGAGGCCACGGGGCTTGTAAACGGAGGGCTCTTAACCCTGCGTTCACTCGGCTTTATTTGTCTTTTTACGAGCAGCCGCGCCGCGAACGCGCCCTCGGCGCCTGGAGCGCAGAGCGGTGCCCGCAGGCAGCACAAAGCCGCCGCCGCCGCCCGCGAGGCCGCGGTGGGCGCGGGGAGCCGCCGGCGGCCATCTTGCGGCGGCCATTTCACGGCGCGGCCCTCCCGCCCGGGCGCCGCGCCCGCCCCGCCCGCCCCGCCGCAGCCCGACGCCCCCACCCCAGGCCGCCGCCCCCGGCTCTCTGCGGCCCCGAGCGCCGGCCGCTGTCCGCCCGCGGCGGGTCCCCGCTGCTCCCCGCCGCCCCAGCGCCGCCATGGCGCCCGGCCCTCCCACCTCGGCCTCGGAACAACAAACGCCAGGCAGGCCCGCCGCGCCCGCACCCCCGCGGCTTGGCCCCGCCGGCCAGCGCCCTCGCCGCACAAAGCGGTCTCCCGGGCCGCGCCCAGACCCGCGCCGCAATGCGCTTCTGCACAAAGCGCCGCCCGCCCGCCCGCCCGCCCGCCTCGCCGCCGTTAGCTGCCTCGCCCAGGGCCCAGACTCACCCTCCTGGAATTTAGGCTTCGGGTCCTGCTTCGGCGCCATTTATAGGGATTCGCCGCCGCCTCCTCCTTCTCCCACCACCCCGACTACCGCCCCCCACTCGCCACCCCACCCAGCTCCGCGTCAGACGCCGTGGGCAGCACCAGCTCTACATCCCGGGCGCGATTTGCCGGCGCCCAAACAACTCACGGCACCGCGACTGCGCAACCGCGCCCGCCAACCGTCCCTCCCCCGCCGCGCACGCGCCCTGCGCCGCGCCCCCCGGGGCACGCCGGGAGCGGTAGTTCGAAGCTGCTCGCAGGCGGGGACGGGTCCCCCTCTCATCCCCTCTCATCCCTTCCCATCCCCCACCCCCTGGGGTTGGTGAAGCCCGGGTTGATTCGAGGCGGGTTGGGGGCGCGCGGGAGGCGATAAAGGGCGGGAAAGGCACAGGGTGCAGTCCCACGGACAACAGGGGCCAGCGTGGTGTGGCGCGCGGCGGCGTGCGAGGACAGGTCTGCGTGGGGCTGCGTTAGGCCCCGCGGCCTAGCGACCGTCTGCCCGCTCAGGGCCAGGCCACGTGGCCTGCCGACCCCCAGGCGCTAGCGCGGACCGGCGGGTCCCAGGAGCGAGCTTGGCCTCTGAGACCAAGGCGCGCGACCTGCCACCGAAGGCGGTTTAGGAGAAGCCCGCCGCCCTGCGCTTGCGGCCTTTGTCGCCCGTTTCTGCGAACTGTTACCGAATATGGACCCAGCGCGAACGGCTGTCCCCGCATCAGTCCCCTGTTGGAAAGTCCCGACTTCGCGGAGCTGCAACGTCGCTGCGCTGTGCGCATCGCCCGGAAGGGCTGAGCGCCTCACACCGAATGCGCGCTCCCCGACGGGAGGGAGAATAAAAGCCCGGGGACGGAAGAAAGGGGCCACTTAGGAACCCCCACGAGCTCCGGGGTGGCCCCGCAATCTCCGGGACCCACAGTAACCACGCAGGAGGGTCTGAGAGTAAAACTTTGTTGCGAAAAGCGAGCCTGGCGTCACGGCCGGGAGTCCTGTCTGGGCAGGCATCTGCCCTGACAAAGGTCAATCTCTCCCTGTTGTCCTTTTTCATCTGTAAGATGCCTTTGGGATGTCTGGATAGTGTCCTTTTTCCAGACCCCTCAGGGCATACTCGCTGCACTAGAGCTGAGACCCCAAATGCCCTCCTTCTTCTTACTCTGTGCATAGTTAACTGTCCGATGCCCACCAATTTAAAAGGAGTATGTGTCTGTTCATTTTTACTTTTTATCCAGTCCTAGAGATGCCCTCTTTGCTTGCTTCCGCCTCCCTAATCTATCAATGGGTGTGTGTAACCCTCTACAGTGTCCTTTGACGCTCATGTAGAAAATAAAGATGCAAAACTGCCATTCTCTGGAGGACTTTTTTCAGTCCGAAACGGAGTTCTTCTGTCTGGCCGGGTAGCTCAGCTGGTTGGAGCATCGTCCTGCTCTGCCAAGGCCGTGGGTTCCATGCCCTTCCAGTGACACCCAGATCCCCGCCTCCCTCTCCACAGGGCGTTCTCCTGTGTTTGTGTGTGTGCACGTGTCTCCAAAGTTCCCCGTTCTACCGAGACACGGGGCCTACTGGATTAAAGCCCGGTCTACTCCGGGATGGCCGCCTCTTAACTAATTACAAGGACAACACCCGTATTTCCAAATGAGGTCACATTCTGAGGCGCTAGAGGTTAGGACGTTTACATATGAATTTTAGGGAGGCCATTCAACCCAGAACACCAACCTTTACCTTGGAATGGATGCCTGGTATCCTCACTGACTTCTCATTACTTTACCACTTGGCTTGTCTCTGCTGGGGTTCGCCTTTTGAAAGCGGCACCTGGAGATTAAGTACGTGCCCTCAATAAAAGGGGCCTTTAGGGACCTTCATTTCTGACACCGGCAATTTCCAGGCGTTGCTTCCAAAGTGTGAAATTGCGTGTTGCATCAACGAAAAAAGCATATGGTAACTGTGAGGGATGTCTGAGAATTGTTGGGAATGATGGAGAATATTTAAAACAGGGAAGGACCTTGCAGATGTTAGCGTAACAGCAAAGTTTTGCCCAAAGAAATGAAGTTATTTTAGGAAAACATAATTGTTTGCTTTCAGATGTGTTTTGAGACTAAAACGGCTGAAAAAGTTTTTCCGTTTGAACCACTGGTTTAGGGAAAACAAAGGATAAAACAATCCGAAGGGTCTGTTCACAAGATCGGCCTGACTGACTAAAATCACTCCACCAAGATTTACAGTGCTTTTGTTGGAACGCAGGGTCCTCCGTCCTAAAGGCTCTTAGGGTTGCAGATTGTAGGTCCCATGGATGTGTGGTCCCACAGGAGGATCTCAGGAGAAAATTCATCAGCTTTCCCCGTGGGGCCTTTCAGGTCGTGGCCTCCAGTGATTGGTCAGCACAAAGGCGGCGGCCATTGGTCAGTGTACGGGTCCTGATGTCAGCCTTGGTGTCGCTTGTCTGGTTTGGCTACTTTTCTGGCCCTGGAGCTGAAACACAGCCGAAGCCTAGATGCATTGAATACTTGATTCGGGTTGGAACCTCATTGTCCTGGGGGCTCAGTGCTTAAGGGATATCGTCCGGCCCCCTGGTTCCTTCCCCTTCTCAAGGGGTCTAACCTGCAAGACTAGCAACGTGCCTGGGGCGGAAACGCCAGGGTTGGGGGAGGGCCTTGTTTCCCCAGCTTTGCCTGTTGCTAGGCCTCCGGGCACTTCCCTGGCCTTTCCTGGCCTATCCTTGCTCGGCTCACGTCTGTCTAACTGCCTCCCACAGTTTAAACAGCCCACAGCCAGCCCTTCCCGCAGGCAGAAAGTACACGAATTTAAAGGAATTTACAGATAAGCTTGGCTCCGTTGGTCGAGCGTCTTCCGGCAAAGCAAAAGGTCGGCAGTTCGATTCAGGTCAGGGCACACGCCTGGCTTGCGGTCCTGGCCCCCGGTTGGGGGCGAGCGAGAGGCAAACGATCCGTGTTCCTCTCCCTTTCTTCTGCCCTCCCTCCGCTGTCTCTAAAAACAAATAAAAACCTTTAAAAATACGTGTTTGCACAGTAAACCCCGTGACCTGGGAGGCAGGGCTGCTCTCCAAAATAATCTCCAAAATAATGCAAAATATCGCATTGCATTAAGTTAAGAACAGACATTTCAAAAGTTTTGACAAAGATCAGCTGAGCAATATTTATGAACGCCACAATTTCATACGTTTTCCTGCCTTCTGATTCCCTTTGGCTTTAACACTGCCCCTCAACAGGTCACTCCGTAACAAATATTTTTCCACACCAGATGATCTCACTGTTTAGTGACAACACAAAGTTACTCTCTAGTTTCATGTTTCCTATTTTAACCGGTTTAGGGCTAATAGTTTTTAATGTCCTGAATTGTTTGAAAATATGAAACTCGGAGTGAAACGGGAGGAGAATGAAAAAAAAAAAAAAGCAACCGAACCGCCCAACGTGGGGCTCGAACCCACGACCCTGGGATTAAGAGTCCCATGCTCTACCGACTGAGCTAGCCGGGCAGCTGAAAACCGCCCTCTCCTTTAGGTCCCTTCAAAGGAAACAGACTATTTTCACTTCCTGCGTCATCGACGTTCTGTGTTAAACTGCTTTTCCCCTAGTTTTTAGAGGGTAGTTTTTCACGTCTTTCAAATGTATGTCTCCTGACCGGTTCCGTTCGCACGGACTTACCCACGCGCGGCCCTCTAGCGGTCAGCGGTGGGTGCAGGTGGCCCAGGACCCCGGCGGAGGCAGGAGGGGCCGGGCGCGGAGAGATCCCGGGGCGGGACGCGCACCCGCCGCGGGGACCGAGGGAGCCCGGGTCGCGCCGTGCTCGATACACAAGCAGAGAAGTCCGTCGTCGCTCCCCAAGGGCCTGAGACCAGAGAGTGGGTGCAGAGCTAGCAGACCTCTGCCCCGTGGGGCTTTGAGGCCCCCGGGGCTTTTCTAGGGCCCGCGGGTGGTTCCTCTTAGCCCTACGCCCTATTGTTCACACTAGGGATGACTTAAAAGCTCAAGCCGGCTCTGAAACAATTGAAAATACCGGGCCGCGTTTGCTTACACCGAAACTGAAAGGGAAGACGTGTATCCTACAGACCGTGAGCACCTCGGTGTGGGAAGGCGCAGGATTAGAAGGCTCTCCCCAGGAACGTGAAAAATCAGAGATTTACTCTGTATTTCTAATGGGAACTTTAATACCCAGCCATCCAAGAGCCCCAGCTGAGGAGGGAGCACTCTGCCGGGAAAACAAGATTAAAATAAACACACGTAGGATTAGAAAAAAGCAGAACGTTTAGAAGTGAAGATTATCAACTGGTGGAAGCGTCACATTAATAAGCGGCGAGGCACTGGATGGGCACACGGCCTCCGCTCACACACGCGGTTCCCACATCCTAGACAGGCAACCTAAGCGTGTCATGGGGGCGCCTGGCTGCCACCCCCCTCACTGAAAAAGTAATCTGAGTTTTGCTAGCGGTTTCCTAATCTTCAACAAGATGGCGTGTCTTCAGTAGTGTTTTATGAATTACACAAGACCCATGGTAACGATTTATTCCAGCCAAAACATGTGTCACAGGAAGGAGGAAGGCATGCGGGGATGGGTGGGTGACACCACACGGAAGCAAGGACACACAATCAGGAGAAATTCTGTGGGGCGACGGGCCTGGAGCCCCTTACACAAGTATTATCTCTTTATTTTTGTGGGGTTTTTTTTTTTTACAAGTATTATCTTTTTCAGAAATGGCTTTTGCCATCATAACCAGATGTAATAAGCGATCTTGGATTGGATATTGTTCTGAGGTAAACCAGTTATAAAAGAGATTTGGGAGATCTGAATATAGTTTGAATATTTGAGGAGATGAAAATTTACTGTAATGACAAAGAGGTGGTGAGGCCCTGGCTGGGTAGCCCAGTTGGTTAGGGAGTTGTTCCAATACACCAAGGCTGCGGGTTCGATCCCTGGGCAGGGCACATACAAGGCGCAAACAATGAGTGCATAAATAAAGTGGCACAACAAAGCTGATGTTCTCCTCTCTCTAAAATTAAAAACGAACAAACAAACAAACAAACAACTAAGAAAAAGCAGAGACAGGCCCTAGCTGGTGTGGCTTAGTGGCTTGAGTGTCAGCCTGCGAACCAAGAGGTCACTGGTTCAATTCCCAGTCAGGGCGCAGGCTTGGGTTGTGGGCCAGGTCCCCAGTAGGGGGCGCATGAGAGGCAACCACCCATTGATATTTCTCTCCTGTTCCTTCTCTCTAAAAATAAATAAAATCTTTTTTAAAAAAAAGGAAAGAAAAATTACACAGTATGGTTTCATCCACTTAAAAAATATGGAAATGATTGGAAAAAGCAGATTGCAGATAAATCTTTCACTTTAAAAGAAGGCCACATATGAAGGTATTCATGTTGGATCCTTTGAAAATTTTTGCTTGTTTTTATTTTCTAACTTCCTACAATATATATTCTTTAAAAAAAGGTTGTTTTTTTTTAAAAAGAGAGAGGGAAGAGTAAAAAAAAGTAAAACAAGAATAGGACTTCAAAATGGGACCTACACTGACATATCCCTGTACAACGAGGCTTTTACAGAAGTGAGACAGAATGAGCGAAGGCCAGGAAGCGCCAGGAAGAGGGGCGGGTTGAAGGGTACAGGGTGGGGTGGATTTCCAGGGGAGGGAGAGACTAGAGTCCCCTTTCTGTCACTTCCCCGCTGTGTGTGCTGGAGCTCATCCTTGGAGGGAGATAATGGAAACCCGTGATCACCGGGGCTTGGGAGGATGCATCAAGGTGATGAGAGCGAGCCCTCCGCTCTGCCTGCTGCGGAGACGCTGCTGCTGCTGCTGCTGCTGCTGCTGCTGCTGCTGCTGCTTCGTCGTCTTCTTCCTCTTCTTCTCCTCCGCCACCCTCTCCTCCTTTCTTTTTGTTCTTCTTCTTATTGCTACTATTGAGAGGCCAGGCTGTGCTTGATTTTGCTGAAGGGCCAGGGATGGGGCCGCGAAAGCAGCTACGGGGAGGTGGGCGGGGGCGGGGGGGGGGTAAGTAGGTGAAGCCAGTAGGTGAAGAGAAGGCCAAAGGGACAAGGGACTAGAGGAAGAAAAACACGAGGTGCAGCTGTGAGGGTTGGGGGAGGGAGGGAAAGACAACAGGGTCCGGTGTGAGAGGGGGCCTCGGGTTTTCAGATTTCAGAGGTGGGGCAGCTGCATCTGGAGCCTCCTCGGATGCCGCCCGGAGAGCGGGCGGCAGAGGTGGAGTGAAAGGCCACCCTAGAGGAGGTCAAGGAACCGGGCGGCTCCACGGGTCCCCCAGGAGAGCGGGAGGGCTCCCGGTGGAGCTTGCAGGAGCGAGGGTTAGTCTGTGGGCCTCCGTGGGCAGGAGCTACACAGAGGCTGGCCGGCGGTCAGGGCGGCCCAGCTGACCCCAGCGGCCCTGGTCCTGAAGAGCAGACAGGGAGGTCCCCCAGTGGGACAGGCGGTGGACGGCCAGGGTTTCTAGGAGCACAGCTGACAGAGAGCAGGAAGCCAGCGGCAGGGCTGGGATGTCAGGTTGGGGTTGGCCGGCCTCCCGGCTCCCAGGGGGGCCCTGCTGAGAGGCTGCGGGCACCGGCCTAGCCACAGACAGACACACACTTGCAGGGGAGGAGTTGGGGACCCCGCCTCGTGGGGGAAAGGCTGCCCACTGGGGGAGGGCCAGGCCTCTCTCCTGAGTCGGCCTTGGAGCAGAATCACTGCGGGCCCCTGCTGCCCCCCTCCCAGACCCTCGGGAGGTCTCCGTGTCCCTGTCCTAGGAGGGGCAAGGTCGCCGGGCCAGGGCGCACACCGAGGGGCGCCTACTCGCGCACAGCTTGGGTACAACGCAGGAATTCCGGAAATTCCAGATTCTTCTGGGGGTCTCCGAGCACCCAGGCTGGGAGAGCCGGCTCCGCTCCACCAGCAGAGGGCGCCCCCGGCTCGCGGGCGGGCGGGTGTAAGTCTGTTGTGCGGACCGCGCGCTGGCCCTGGGGAGGCCGAGGCGGGAGAGGCCGGCGGGAGGGATGGGGCGGGGGCAGGAGCCCCGAGCAGGGCGGGGGACGGCGGCCCCTCCCTCCCGCCCTGCCTCCCTCCCACCTCCTTTCTTTTCTTTCTTTCTTTCTTTCTTTCCTTTCTTCTTTCTTTCGCCCCTTCTCGCTCCCTGGTCTTTTCTTCTCTTCTCCGCGGAGGGCGGGCCCTGCAGCCTTTGTTGCGCGCGGGCGGAGTCCGCCGACTCCGGCGGACCCGGAGCTGCAGGCGGGCGGACGGCCGTGCGCGTCCTGAGCGGGACCAGACCAGCGGAGCGAACGCGCGGAGGAGCCCGAGGGGTGGTCGGCATGCCCGGCCCGCGCCCCCGCGCCCCCTGCAGCCCCGAGCCCCTGCGCTCCCTCCTCCTGCTGCTGTGCGCGCTGGCGCCCGGCGCACCCGGACCCGCACCAGGTGGGTGGGCGCCCAGATCCCCGCCTCCGCGCGGCCCCTCTCTCGCCACCGACCCCTGGCTCGTGCTCGCCGCCCCCGGGGGTGAAGGGGCACCGGTGGGGGGAGGGGGCTTCCAGACGCGACTCCACCGTCGGCCCTGCCTGTGCGGGAAGGAGCCCTTCTGCTCCTCGGGCTTCAGCGTCCCCAGCTCGGGCGCTACCGCGCGCGTCCCTCCCGGGATCCCAGGGGCTGGACAGAGCACGGTCTACGCGCGAAGGAGCCGGTCTCTCACCTTCCTCCGTGCGCCTGTGTGGAAGGAAAGCGGGCTGCAGGGCGTTGCGGTCCTCCGGCCCCCCGGCCGCTCCCCCACCTCCGAACGGCCCGCGGCCCTCGGTGGGGTCCGGTCTCGCGCCGCCCTGCACTTCCTGCCTCCGCCTCGCCCGGCCGGCCTCCGACGAGCCTGTGGCTGCGGGGCTTCTGGCGCGTCCGGAGCCGCCGAGCAGCCGGCCTGGGGATTTAGGAGCCGGGGATGTGGGGTCCCCTGGTCCCGCTCGCTCAGGGAGCTCCTGGTCCGAGGGGGCAGTGGGGCGAGCCGAGCAGGAGACGCCCGGAGGGCCGTGACCTTTGGGTGGGGGCTGGAAAGGTGTCCGGGTGGGGGCTGGTGTAGGCCTGCGCGCTGGGGGTAGGGAGACCTGCCCCCTTAGTAGGGAGATGGGGCTCCGGGGAGCCAGTGGGGGGAGTGGCTGAGGAGAGCCGAGTGGCAGGGAGTTTCGTGGGCGGGCGGCGTGGGGCGCGGAGAAGAAGCAAACATTCAGTGGGCACGGACGCGGTGGCGCCCGACCGGGCAGGTGCTGGAAAGGCCTTCATGGACGACGGGACGGGCCCAGGAAGAGGGACTTGGGAGCTCGCTCCTGGGCTGCCCAGAGCTGGGTGAGGGTGAACCAGGCGATGGGGGCGCGAGCAGGAACATGGTTGTGGGGGGGGCTGCCCTTGTAGACCCAAGCAGCTGTGGGGAGAGCGGGGGTCCCCTGTAGTCAGGGCCCCCGGCTTCCACTGCAGGCCAGGCCCATGCACGAGCCTGGCCACCCTGCTGCCTGCCCGCGGGGGCTGCAGTTCGCCCATTTGTCAAACAGGCACAATAGGGCTCTTGGGAGGACTGAGTGACAGCCTGAATGAGTACCACGTGGTGGCCGCTATTTTTATTAATCTGCCAGGCAGCCCCAGGAAGATGAGGGAGTCCTCTGGAGCTGCCTTTTGGGGTGGAGGCAGGGCAGGCGCCCCCCCCCCTTCCACAGCGGAGTGTCTGTGTCCGGAATCCCCAGGGACACGTAGCAGGGGGCCTCCCATTCTGCTCACGCTCAGGGCCCGGGACCCCGAGGCTCCGAGCTTTCTGCCCTTTTCTTGGGAAATGCCTTGGGGGGACCTTGTCCAGTGGGCTCTGCCCACGGAACGCTGCCTTTTGGGGGGCCAAAGAGCACATCTTCGGCTCACTTTCAGGAAACCATGACAATCAGAAAGACTGGGGGTTGCAGGGACTGGGGCCCAGCACTGTCCCCCCAAGATGCGGAGTCGCCCGTGTGAGCCCCCTGGGTGTTCTGCCCACGTGCGCGAGCGTGCGCACACACTCACGCTGGTTAGTTTTCCTCTTTGGCACGAGCTGTGGGTCGTTTGAAGGGCTGGATCATAATGCAGGTTCTTGATAGGGCAGTGAGGGTACACACCAGGTTGGTATTTCCCTGGTGGAAGCTCCCAAGTGACACTTCTGTCACCTGAGAGCGATATGCAAAGTATTTAACACCAGCCAATCAGCACAGATGTGGCCGTGGGCCACGGGGGTGGCCCCGCTTCCATCCCACATAACCTCTGCGCACCCCTTAGATGCACCGCCAAACAGGTGGTTAGAAAATGGCTAAGCTCCCTTGCTAACTTCCCATCGTAGTTAGCGCACGCTTGCTATGTGCCAGCTGCGGTTCCCGTCCCTTGCACACCAGCTCGTGTAACTTCCGCAGCCTCAGAGAGCAGGTGGGACGGTCTCGCCCGTTTCGCAGCTGGAGAACTGAGGCTCTGAGCGTGGGTGTGGCGGCCGGCGGACGGGCTCTCTAGCACCGCGGTCCTCACGCCTTTGACCTGCGTCTTATCTCTGCTCGGCCTCTGACACACTTCTGCACCGGCTGCCTCTTTCTAGCTCACCTTGAATCTGTCTCGAACTGTTGGCCCAAGGTCTAGAGCAGGAATTTTCAACAAGAATGCATATCCCCGGGGACCTGTTTTTGAGCTCTGGAGGCCATTTCTTCCCTGGGATTCAGGCTCCCTAGGTGCCAATGGGCCTCCCCGCCCCACCCGCATGCACTTGGGGGCACAGCTGTTACCTGGAGTGCGTCACGTAGACACACACTGCCGCGGGACACGGAGCGCCGCAGGCCCGGATGACCTCCGCACCCCTACCCCTTCCCTGGGCCGTCGCAGCCGGGCCTGTGACTGTCCTCCACCTCCAGGCCACGCACTATTAAGCGGCCGAGTTGGGACCTAACCAGGTCTTCTTCCGTGCAAAGCCCACACCTTTGACAACGTGCTATCGCCCCCTTGCTTCTCACCTCGCGGAACGCGTGCGCGGCCCCGGCTTCCCTTCTTGTGGCTCGTACCCTTACCCGTAGCGTGTTTGCCCTTCCCAGGGCGTCTGCAGCCAAGATGCCCTCCTCATCTTCACGGTTAAACAGGTCGAGAGACATCTACGTGTGCCCCCCTTTAACGAAGCTTTTCTCCCCTCCCCTCCCCTGCTCACTCTGCCGGGCCCTGAACCCTCCATTCTGAGGGCAAAGGCGGTGCCTGGTGCATTTTCCTGGCCCAGACCCTTTGGGGCACCTCACGCTCCTTCACCACCCCACATGCCGTGGCGGGGCGGGTAACAAGGCGGCTAAATCAAGACCGGTGGGGAGACATTTTCCTTGGAATATGGGGCCTCTTGGTCCACCCCTAGTTTTCCCATTTTTGTAAGAGTTCAGCCATTTACTGCGTGAAAGACAAGACACAGGTGAAGCCAGAGGGAACCTGTGCTTAGTGGCAGCGTGGGAACAGGGCAGGGACGGGAGGGAACCGGGGTGCGGGAGCAGGGCTGGGGGACCCACAAGCCGTCGCTGCAGGGCTGCTTCTGGCAAGTGGCATCGCGGGCCTGGCACGGGAAGAGGATGCACATTTTCAAGGAAAGCTGAGGACTGCGATTTTTGTGTACAAAACCGTACGATTAAAAAGAAGGAAACTCTCCTGAGGACGTATTTTTATTGATTTTAGAAAGAGAGGAAGGGGGAAGGCAGTGAGAGAGAGGCACATGGATGTGACAGAGACACATGGACTGGCTGCCTCCCCCGCGGGTCTGACCGGAATCGGACCCAAAACCGTTGGGTGTAGAGGCGACGCCCCACACAATGGAGCCACCTGGCCAGGGCAAGAACGTGTGGCTTTTAATCGTGGGTGGCTGATTAAATATTTTCCAGTATTTGTGTCGGCCAAAATAAACACCCTTCTCCCCCCCCCCCCAAAAAAAAATCAATGAACTGACAACAAAAACAAGGCTGCAGGCTGCGGATGGATGGAGGCTTTGCCACTCCCAGTGCCCTCAGGGCGTCGGAGGAGCGTTGCCTTCAGCTCTCTAGCCCGATGGCTTCCAAGTGCCGGCTCCGCCGCGGTTGCATCAGGCTCCCCGGAAGGCTCAGGAAAATACCAAAAATACAGGTTCTGGGGCCACAGAGCGCTCCAGGTGAAGCTCTGCTCCCAGTGGGGGATTTCCCAACTTCCCTGAGGCTCATGGTCAAAACACAGCTTCCCGGCTTCCTGGAGATGCTGATTCAGTCGGTGCCTCCGGGACAGGGCATGGAAACTTTTTTTTAATGAGCTCTTATCTGAGAAGTCTGGAAAATCCTTGCACTGTTGTCCTGAAACTCAGAGATCGGGGCGGTGGTTCAGAGCCGCTCTGCAAGTCACAGCGGCCATCCCGCCTCCTGCATCCAGGGGCCTTCTCTGGGCGCAGCCACCAGAGGGCAGGCCTGGGGCTGGGGAGGCGAGGGCGCCCCGCGGGTGTGTCCAGGGCGTTCGGCAGGAGGTCGGGCAGGAGGCAGACGGGAGGTCATGTGGGTTTCTGCAGTCTGGCCCCGATGGAGCTTCGGACTGAGCTGAGAGCCCAGAGAAGTTTCAGGTACATGGCGACCTCACGGTTTTCTCCCCGCAGGGTCGGCGGCCGAGGGCCCGGAGGCGCTGGACATTGTGCACCCGGTGCGCGTGGATGCGGAGGGCGTCTTCCTGTCCTACGAGCTGTGGCCGCGCGCGCTGCGCAAGCGGGCCTTGTCCGCGCACCGGGCCGTGCGCGCCTTCTATGAGTTGCAGTTCCGCGGCCGCGCGCTGCGCTTCCACCTGGAGGCCAACACGCACCTGCTGGCACCCAGCTTCGTGAGCGAGACTCGCCGCAGCGGCGGCCTGGGGCGTGCGCACATCCGCACGCGCGCGCCCGCCTGCCACCTGCTGGGCGAGGTGCAGGACCCTGAGATGGAGGGCGGCATGGCCGCCATCAGCGCCTGCGACGGCCTGGTGAGTGACCAGCGTCGCCCCCGGCTCAACGGGGGTGGGGGGCGCTGTGGCCCACCCACTTCCCCTCCCCAAGCCTCAGGAGCCACCTGTAAAACGGGAGTGAGAACGCAGGCCTCTTTGTCCTAGAGGATCACGTTCCCAAACTTTCGCTTGAGCTAGAATCACCGGCAGGACGTCTCGACACAGTGTCCCACAGGCTAGGATGGGGCGGGGTCCCAAACTTGCCGTTGCGACGGTCTCCCAGAGATGCTGGCGGTGCAGGTCCAGAGACCCACTGTGAGAATCAGGGCTTGCGGTTCACGCAGACGAAGCAGCTCGGAAAGCAGCCGCTCTTCCTCCGGAGTGCGGCTTTCCCTTCTCCGGCAGGGCCTGGGAACAGCATGTCCCGCTGGCCGACAGCATCTCCAGAGGAGATGCCCGGGCTGCCCCGTCCGCCGGGCTGTCGGGGACTCCGCGGAGGACACTGTGACGCCAGCGTTGGCGCGGACCCGTTCCTCCTCCTAGTGGGGGGAGGGCGGGTGGGTGTGCGGAACAGCTTCAGCCCCAAGCCTGTGGCCGCGTGAAAGGTCAAGAAGGACATTCCTAGCAGAGGGCACAGTGCGAACAAAGGCCCGGGGCGCCAGGGTCGGCCAGCGTGTGGGGATGGGGTGGGGGGGAGGGCAGCCAGCGCCAGCACGCCCCATGCAACCTGCAGCTTCTCCCCAGAAAGGTGTGTTCCGGCTCTCCAACGAGGACTACTTCATCGAGCCCCTGGCGGGCGCCCCGGCCCGGCCCAACCGCGCCCAGCCGCACGTGGTGTACAAGCGGCAGGCCCCCAGGCGGCAGGCAGAGCGGGGCGACCCCGAGGCTCCACGCACCTGCGGGGTGCAAGGTATGGTCCGCTGCCTGCCGCTGCTGGGCGGGGGAGGGGGGTCCTTTCCAGAAGCCCCCTCCCGGCTGCATGCCTGGGGCCAAAGGGACACAGACCCACAGACACATGTGCCCTCCATGTGTGCCCGGCCCGAGACCTCTGCCTGTCAGGCCGGCCCCAGCTCATCCCCTACACGGACCCCTCTGCCACCTCCCCGCTGGCCTCCCCCGAGGGGCGCGGTCTCTCCGCGCCCCCGACCCCTCACAGCCTGTGGCACCTCCAGCTCAGAGCCATCACTCCTGGAGCCTCCAGGCCAGGCCGGGCCACATGCCCCCGGCAGGGCAGCCAGCCAGCCGGTGCCTGCTCCCTCCCCTCCCCATCTGGGTCCCACCCGAGAGTAACTGACCTCTCGTACTGGGGACCCAGCGCAAGGGCCGGGGCAGGCACGGAGCGGGCCGCCAGGGGCCCCGAGGGCTTGGAGGCCGCCTGCCCGCACGCCGACCTCGGCAGCTGCGGCCGCTCAGGGACTCTGCTGGGACAGATAAAGGCTGTTGGCCTCGGTTTCCCTGGCTGCATAGAGGGGGTTCCTTCCCGATCCTCAGCCTCATGGGGAAGAGCAGGCCTTGGGCAGGGCGGGGGGAGGGGGTGTCCGCTGAGGGTTAGGCCCGGGTCTGCTTGTGCTGGGATGCACTAGCCCCCCGCCCCTGGGGGACGGGTCCAGAGTTCCCGGCACAAGGACATGTGCCCTTCCGTGTCATGTCTACCATTTCACTGGCCCCCAGGGCTCACCCTCGGAGGCTGATCAGAGTATCTCTAGGCCCCGTCGGCGACCCCCAGGGTCCGAGACCCAAGTAACAAAGCCAGGGCCACCCTGGGCGACCGGGCCTCTTGCCTCCGATCCCCCCACCGTTCCCGCGAGCTCGCTCAGCAGGGGCCCTGGAGCCTCCTGCTCGGTGTCTGACGGCTTCCCCTGCCCCGTTGTCCTCCGCGGCTCAGGGGCCCTGGAGCAGGAGTCCTGGCGGCAGTCGCGGGAGCGCTCGGACCAGCGGCGCCGGCGGCCGCGGTACCTGCGCCAGCCTTCCGTCAGCAAGGAGAGGTGGGTGGAGACCCTGGTGGTGGCCGATGCCAAAATGGTGGAGTACCACGGGCAGCCGCAGGTCGAGAGCTACGTGCTGACCATCATGAACATAGTAAGCCGTGCGGCGCGGCCGCGGGGGGGCGCCGAGTGGGCGGGGCCTCGGGGGCTGCTGGCGTTTGGGGGGCAGCGTCCGCCTGCTGCGGGGCCCGAGCTGGGGGTGTCCTTGACCCCCTGCCAGCCCCACACGGACCGTGAGCCAGGTGGAGTTTGGCACCCCGGCGTGACTGTGCCTGAGCCCGTGTCGCCCAACGCCTGCTTTGCCCCTGGTCCTCCTGGGAGACGGTGGGGCGGTCGCCTGCGGACGGAGGGGGCGCGGGGCCGTCCGCGGGCAGGTCGCAGCAGGCCCCGGGGGCCTCTGTCCTGCGGAGCGCGTCCGCCGGGGCTGCGGCCTGCTCTCCTGACCGTCCTCCAGGAAAGCACCTGGCATTCCCCGCGGTACTTTTCTCATTTCCCACTGTTTTCTTTCTTTCTTTTGTTTTTTGTTATTCTCACCCGAGGACGTTTTTTCTCATTGTTTTTAGAGAGAGAGAGGATGGGAGAGAGAAAGAGAAACATTGACGTGCGATACATCAATCGGTTGCCTTCCGTATGCACCCCGAGCAGGGATCAAACCTGTCCCCTGGGCACCTGCCCTGACTGGGAATCGAACTCGTGAGCTTTCGGTTCATGGGACGATGCTCCAACTCATCGAGCCACCCGGCCAGGGCTCCCGTTGTTTCTTTAAAGTGAGATCATGTGTTGGAAATACTTAGCAAGTACCCAGGACCCGTTCATATAGTCAACACGTAGTCCCCGAGTACCCGTTAGGTAGACCTTAATGAAACCGTCACCTTGATGAGTGTGAAGGCCTGAGAGTCATGGTGCTTTGAGGGTGTCAGGTAGAATATAGCCGCTCCCTCCAGACACAGGATGGAGGGCTGAGAGCTGGGGCGGGCAAGACGAGAGGGCAGGCATTCCAGGCAGAGGGCGTCCGCAGGGCCCAGGGAGCCGGGAGGGGCGTGGGACGCGGAGGGCAGGCCGGCGGGGCTTTTGGCCGCCCCTGTGTCTCACCTGCAGCAAAGACACGGTGTGAGTGGGTTTGCATTTGAACAGCAGGAGACCGAGCTGCTAGGCAGCTCTCGGGCCGGAGGGCCGTGGGGCATGTGGGGACACAGAGAAAAGACAGAGTCAGACAAACCAGGAGGCCGACCGGGCGGGACGTGGAGGAGGAAGGTCAGGGGTGCTGGGTGCCGGCTGCACGTGCGGGTAGTCAGAGGCCACGGCATCACGGTCCCGAGGTCCCCGACCTGGGTTCTGGAACTAATGCATCCCCATTGTCAGGGGCTTTTGTGCCAGAGTGTGTTTGCTTCATTCCTATTTGATCTTGCTTTTCTGGACGGGACCCCCAGAAGGCAGCGCCCAGCTGGCCTGCCCTGCATCTCCGCCCGCCGGAAACCCGCGGCCTGTCCCCGGCGGCGCGCGGCCGTTCTTGTTCTGAGGAGCTTTAGAAGAGCAGACAGCTCTTCCCCACCCCGTCCCTGCGCCTCGCACCCCTCTGTCTTTGGGGGTGGCCTCCCCTGCTGGGCTGCACGGGAGCCCCCCAGTGTAGGCTGGAGAGGCGGGGGTGCGGCCGGGGGTGGGGAGCGGCTGCCGTGGCCTAGGTCGAGGGTGACAGCCTGACCTCCCGGGCAGGTGGCCGGCATCTTCCATGACCCCAGCATCGGGAACCCCATCCACATCACCGTCGTGCGCCTGGTCCTGCTGGAAGACGAGGAGGTGAGAGGCCGCGCGCCCGCACTGGGTGGTGTCGCCTGTCGCCGGTCCCTGCGGGAGGAAGGGGTGCTGTCCTCCCGCCGTGCCCTGTGGGCGACTGAGCCTGCCTCTGGGAGGAGCAGGCTGGGGCTGGAGCTCAGGGGCCGGCGGCACAAGGGGTCACGCTCTCTGCCCGCAGGAGGACCTGAAGGTCACACACCATGCGGACAACACCCTGAGGAGCTTCTGCAAGTGGCAGAGAAGCATCAACATGAAGGGAGACAGCCACCCGCTGCACCACGACACCGCCCTCCTGCTCACCAGGTGCCGCCATGGGGTGGGGGGAGGGGGTGGGGGTCGGGGGCGCGGCCCTGCCCTCAGCACGCGGGCGGGGCTTCCTTTTTGGAAACCATTGTGGACTCTCGGGCCGTGTTCAGAAATGATACAGAGACACGCGGTGACGTGTGGCATCACTGCGGTGCGATCCCCCAGCCAGGAATGCGCGCGGATCGGGGCACAGGTCTCACTCGGATTGCGCCCGCATGGCGGGCGCCCGCGTGCGTGTTTAGTTCTGCGCCGTCCTACCCCGTGTGCTCAGCCGCCGCTCTTTTCAGAGGCAGCGTTTGTGAATTCCGCGTGGGGTTCTTTTCCCTCGGCCAGATCCGTGCCCCCAGTGTCCAGCGGGGCCTGTCGGGCTGAGCGTCGCACAGAGACGGGCGGGCACGCCTCTCGCTCCCTCCCCGGGGCCCGGGCTCGGGGGCGCCTGGCGCTGGGCCAGCCCAGCCTGAGGCCCCTTCTCTCTGCCTCGGCAGGAAAGACCTGTGTGCGTCCATGAACCAGCCCTGCGAGACCCTGGGACTGTCCCACGTCGGGGGCATGTGCCAGCCCTATCGCAGCTGCAGTATCAGCGAGGACACGGGCCTGCCCCTGGCCTTCACCGTGGCCCACGAGCTCGGCCACAGGTACTTGCAGCCCCCACCGCCACGTCCCGAGCTGGGGGCGCCGGGCAGCCGGGCCCAGGGGCCTCAGAATCCCAAGGCAGGGCACCCTGGCCGCACACCGTCCCTGCGCGTCCCCGTCCACACCCTGGCTGCCTCGCTGGCGAGCAGGAGAGAGGCCCTCAGGCTGGCCGGACGGGTCTCGTCTGACCTGTTGGGACAGACCATTGGCCGCCCCTCCCCTCCCCTCCGCCGGCCCCCTGTGCTCTGTGGCCCTAGGCAACTACCCTGCCCCTTCTGGGCCTCTGTTGCCCCGAGGGGTGAGCGGTGGGACGCAGTGGCATCCAGGGCCCCTCCACCCAACACGCCTGCCTGAGGCTCATGTCTAAGCGTGTGTGGTACTGCGCTGCTCAGCTGGTGAGCGTGGCAGCTCCTCAGGCTACTCGGGCCTAGTTGGTTCCAGGGGTCACGGTGTGGGGGTCACCGGCATAGGCAGGGCCTTGAGAAGCTGCCCCTGGCGGCAGGGAGGACTCTGGGTCCCAGACCTGCCCTCTCCTGTCCGTGCCGCCTCAGCCGCCCTGGGCGCTCTGGGGGCTGAATGAGCAGCATCTCTGAAAGCGCCCAGCATCCTGCCCGGCACGTAGCAGGTGCTCAGGAAATGCAGCTTTTCTCACGTCCTCCCCAAGAGGGTGGTCTCTTGAGGAGACCCCTTCTCAGTGAGGCAGGAGCTCACACACCCTTAACTCGGGGGCGCAGCCTTGGGACGCGGCCCTGGGGGTGGGGGTCCGTCCGATGGTCCCCGGGCCCCTCGCCGCCTTCGCGCCCACCTTCTCCGCTCAGGACGCGGAGGCTCAGGGAGGGAACGGGCCCTTCCCAGGGCCACGCAGCTGCGGGGTGGCCCTGGGGCCGGGACCGGCGCCGCCTGCCCCCGCTCACTCGCCCGCGGGGCCTGTGCTCTTGCGCAGCTTTGGTGTTCAGCACGACGGAAGCGGAAATGACTGTGAGGCTGTTGGGAAACGGCCTTTCATCATGTCTCCACAGCTCCTGTACGACACTGTGCCCCTCACCTGGTCCCACTGCAGCCGCGAGTACATCACCAGGTTTCTCGAGTAAGCCCCCCTTGCCCGGGACCCCGCGGCCAGGGCCTGACCGGGGACCGTGGCACGGCAGTGCCCGGCAGGGGGACACGCGGGGGCAGCAGGCGTCCCACTGCGCCGTGACCTCCACGGGAACAGCATCTTCTCTCCTCTCTCTGAGGCGTCACTCGCCCGGCGCCTCGCCCCGGCCGCCAGCGAGGTCTCTCGTTTGTCCGCGCCGTCGTCTCTGCCTCGCCCTGGGTGCTCGTGGAGTCTTGCCTTCGCCGTCTGCATGTGGGGTTCTGGAAGGCGGTGGAGATGCATCTCAGAGGACCACGTTTTCCTAGGCCGTCCACTCCCTGTGGGGTTTGCGCGGGGACGTGGGAGCAAGGACGGTGGCCTCCGAGAGCCGGGGGGAGGGGCCGCGGCCGCGGCGAGAGCGGGGCTGGAAGCAGCGGAGGCCGGAGCCGCACGGTTCAGAACCTGCCCGGCTGCACGCCCTGCGGGCAGACGCGTTACCTGCGCCCCTGAGCCGCGAGCACGGGATAGTGCCGTCCCTGGCTCTCGGGTTAATGTCAGGCTGCGCTGAGCCAACGTCTGACGTGCGTAGCACAGCCCCGGCCGCCTGCCGTATCGCTGCTAAAGGCCAGCGATGATAGGAACAGAACCAGGGAACAGGCCTGGGCGTGGAGCGAGCGGGGCTGAACCCCCCCGGGGAGTGTGGCCGCCCCCATGGGGCCAGAGCGGGAGCGGCCGAGAGGAGCAGGGCTGCTCCCACGGCGCCCCCGGGCTGGTTCCAGCTGCTCCCACCCCGGGCGCCGCCCAGCGCCCTGGATCCTGGACAGACGGACAGACGAGTCTCTGTCTCCGTTCAGCAGCAGGAATGCGTGAGGGGCTTGGCTTGGGGCCTGGGCAAGGGTGGGAGGAGAGGGTGACAGCTGAGCCGCCCGGCGTCCAGGGCCGCGGCCGAGGGGACAGCCACGTGCGGCTTGGGAGGGGCAGCCTCACCCCCCCCACCATCCGGAGAGCCAGGCAGGCGGGAGCTGTCACGCGGCCTGGGACAGGTGGAAGGAGAGGGGCCCTTGGCAGGGATCGTGAGACCAGCCTTCCTGGCCCCCGTGCCCTCTGTCTTTCTGCTGGGGGTGGGATGGGAGGCAGAGGACCTGCCCCACCCAAACGGGTCAGGGACAGAATGAGCCCGATTCCCAGAAGGCGCCACGTGGGGTCAGGCAGTGTGCCCTGGTCCAGGGGGATGCTCCGAGGCCCTGGGACCTCCCCCGCCGGCCATCCCCACTGGGCTCTCGGCGGACCCTGCACAGAGACGGTCACCAGCCATGTAGATCCTGGTGTGAGCAACACCCACATGATCTCAAAGGCCCCCCTGTGCCCGGGGACAGCATTAAAGGATGCCGATGAGGCCCGCTCCCCCAGGGGCAGACATGGGGCAGAAGGCCCCGTGGGTGTGTGGGATCTGGGGAGGGGCACCGACCCCACCTGGGGCCTGAGGCGTCATCCCTGGGAAGGAGCCCGCAGCCGCCCCCACGCTCCCAGGGCCCTCGAGGGAGAGGGTGCTGCAGGCAAAGTGCAGGGCGCACTCAGGGAGCCGGGAGGGGAGGCCCGTGCACTCCGGCCCCGGAGCCAGGGCCCCTGCAGGAGGGGGTGGGCCAGACTGCGTGTCCCGTCCTGCCCTTCACTGCATCCTGTGTCGACTCCCTGACCAGGACCGGCCGGGGCTGGGGGAGGGCCCTGCGCAGGTGGGGGCGGCCCCGGGCTCCTGATCACAGCCAAGCCCTGCCCGCTCTGTCCCCACGTGGGGCTGCCAGCCCGCTATAAATAGAACAACAGGGGCCGAGGGGAAGGCCTGCGGGCCTGGGGTTCCGGGTGTGTCGGCCCCCCGCGGGGAGCCAGCCTGGCTGGCGGCGAGCCCACAGAGGAAGGAAGTGCCGGCCGCCGGCCGCCTGTGGGACTCTCCCCTCCCCAAGGAGATGCTGCTGCTTCCACCTCTGGGCCGGAGGCCATGGACCTCCCGGGTGGGTCTCTCAGGCCGTCCCCCGTCCCATCTCTGCAGCCGGGGCTGGGGCCTGTGCCTGGACGACCCTCCCACCAAGGACGTCATCGACCTCCCCTCGGTGCTGCCCGGCGTCCTCTACGACATGGACCACCAGTGCCGCCTCCAGTACGGGGCCACCTCTGTGTTCTGCAAGGACATGGACGTGAGTGTGGGGTGCCGGGGCGGGGGCCACCAGTCTGCAGACCCCTGGGCCTGGGTCAGGTCCGCCCATGCTGCCGCCCCCAGGACAGGCCCCGGGCTGCATTCTGGGGGGACTGCCAGCCGCGGGGGCCTGCGGGCAAGCCCCGCTCCCAGAGCCGACTCCAAGAGGTTGCACAAAACCTCCCTCCTGGGTCCTGGAGAAGGTCGCCTGAACGGGTGGCCGTGGGCTTCGTACCCAGGCCCCGTGGCTTCTGATGCGGGCTGGACGCTGCTCCTCCCAGCGAAGCTGAGCCTCAGGGCCCCGCAGCACCGCCCGGGGCAGAGAAGACAACAGGGGCCCCCGGGACTCGCGGGGCGGCAAGCGTGCCCTGGGAGGGGTGACAGTGTGGCCCGTGTCCTCCTCCTGCAGAACGTCTGCCACACACTGTGGTGCTCGGTGGGGCTCACCTGTCACTCCAAGCTGGACGCAGCCGTGGACGGCACCGCCTGTGGAGACAGAAAGGTATGGGGGTCGCGCCAGCCCGCGCTCTTAGCGGACCCCTGGCCCTCCCCAGCCCCAGTCCCCATCTACAGAATGGAGGCGTGGGGGCTTCGTTCCAGGGCCCTCCGCGGCGTCTTCGGCTCAGAGCCACGCCTGGGTCCTGTGTACCTGGACGGGCCATCCCCCACCCTTTCCGTCCTCCCCCCTCCACCTTCCCAGGCCTCCCGCCCACCTGTTGACTGACAGGGTCGGGGTGTCCGCCCCACCTCCATCTCTGTCCGCAGTGGTGTCTGAGCGGGGAGTGTGTTCCTGTGAGCTTCCAGCCCAAGGCGGTGGACGGCGGCTGGTCGGGCTGGAGCGCCTGGTCCGCCTGCTCGCGCAGCTGCGGTGTGGGCGTGCAGAGCACCGAGCGGCAGTGCACGCAGCCTGTGTGAGTGGGGGCCGGCGCTTGGGCCGGCGGCGCCGAGGGTGCTGAGCAGAATCGGTTCACGGAGGGAGCCGGGCTCTGTCCCTGCCTCCGGCTGTCAGAAGTGTCCCCGTAGAGGCCAAGCGGGAGTGTCCCGCCTCCCTGGGTCTGGCGCAGAGACTGGAGGGACTCGGGAGGACACAAGACAAAGCCTCAGCTGGCGGGAGGGAGGCAGGAGGGGACAGCGGCCGTGAGTTTAGACCCTGGCCCTCGATGGAGCAGGGTCCCAGCAGTGCCCCTGGTGGAGCTGTGGTTGCAGTCCCTGCTCAGAAAGCAGGAGCCGCTCCGTGGCGTCAACGCGGGCCTGAGACCAGAGCAGGCAGGAGGGGTCGGCAGCTCTGTGACCTGGGCCTTGGGCACCCCGTCTAAGAGAGCGACGTGAATGTTCAGACGCCTCTCCATGAGCCAGCCTCCCGGGTGTGGGGTTCAGCGCCAGCCCCACCCAGGGCCCTGTGTGTGTCACCGACTGTGGCCTGGACCCTTGCCTCGTCTTGGCCCCCAGCCTGAGCTGGGCGGGTGTGCTTGCCAGCACAAGGGCTCCTCAGGATGCTGGGTCCCATCCGCGGGAGATTCGCAGCAGCCTGTGCTGGTTGGTCACACTTGCCGGCTTCCCAACAGCCCCAGCCCCACATTATAGAAAAGGAAGCCACCGGGCAGGGTGAACCACCTGCCCAGCATCACACAGCAGGGCGGGGGCGGGGGCGTGGGCGGGGGCTGCATCCTGGGAGGTGGGCTGCAGGTTTCTGCGTGTGCACTCAGCCCCACCCGGCTCTGCCCACAGGCCCAAGTACAAGGGCAAATACTGCGTGGGCGAACGGAAGCGCTTGCGTCTTTGCAACCTGAAGAAGTGCCCCTCCGGCCACCCCTCCTTCCGCCAGGTCCAGTGCAGCCACTTCGACGCCACCTTCTACAAGGGCCAGCTGCACACGTGGGTGCCCGTGGTCAACGACGGTGAGTCCCGACGGGACTCGGGACTGCGCTGCTGCACCCTGTCCACTGGGGCGCCCCCTCGCGGCGCCCGCGGCGTGTCTGAGCTGCTCCCCGCTGGCTGCCTGCCGTGGCGGTGGGCTTCCCGGCCGCCCTGTGACTCCTTCCCCGTTGTCCTGCACTTGGGCCCCCAGAGAACCCCTGCGAGCTGCACTGCCGGCCCGCGAACGAGTCCTTTGCTGAGAAGCTGCGGGACGCTGTGGTGGACGGCACGCCCTGCTACCAGGGCCGGGCCAGGGCCAGCCGCGACCTCTGCATCAACGGCATCTGCAAGGTGCGCCGCGGGAGGCTTCTCTGCCTGCCCCGCCCCTGGGAGGGGCTCCTCCGCAAGCCCCGCCTCTGAGCGCTCAGGCCTGCCGCGGGGGAGGGGTTTTCTCTGCCAGCCCCGCCCCTTCTCCATCAGCCCCGCCCCCCGGGGAGGGGCTACTCTGCAAACCCTGCCCCTGGGAGGGGCTTGTCTGCCTGCCCCCGCCCATGGCAGCCTCACAGCGTTGCTCCCGGCCCCATGGGCACCCTCTCCGGGCCGCACCACTGGGCTTTCCAGCTGTGCCAGCGACACCTTTGATGGTTCCCCGTCACTTCTCAGCAAAGCCTCCCCCACTCCTGGCACCCTCTCGGGCGGGCCGCACACCCCACCTCTGCCTTTGCACCTCGGCCTCCCCATCCCCCTCGGCCCCGCTGGCTGCCCTGGCTCCCCGCGCACGCACCTCAGCTCTTTGCGGCACATCCCGGCCAGGAAGCCAGAGCCCAGGCGGTCCAGGCTGGACCTGCGCCTGGTTGGGTGACCCCAGGCAAGGTTTGCTGTGTGATAGAAAGGGAGCCCTATCCACGTCGCCAGGTCGCACGAGGTCATTAAGAGGTCGTTACCACGGGGCAGGCAGGGCTCAGCGCCTGGCAGAGAGCGTCACCGTGTGCTGGCGGTTCCTAGTCTCACTTCCAGCGGGAGCTGCCCCCTCACTCCCTGCCACGTGTCAGCTGCTCCTGGGAAGCTGCTGAGGCCTAGAGGCCTGGGCTCTGAGGCCGAGCAGCAGAAGGGCCTGGGACCGTGGCTCCTGTCCCCTCTCCCCTCTCATGCAATCTCACAACATGCCTGGGCCGCCTGGGTCTGTCTCCCACTCCACAGCTGAGGAAGCTGGGGCTTGGAGGGGCAGGGGGGCGTCCCCGAGTCCCCTCCCCCCCCAACTCCGCGCCCCAGTCCCCGGGCCTCTCCTTCGTGTTGCAGAACGTGGGCTGTGACTTCGAGATCGACTCGGGCGCCCTGGAGGACCGCTGCGGCGTGTGTCACGGCGACGGGTCCACCTGTCACACCGTCAGAGAGACCTTCCGGGAGGCTGACGACCACAAGGGTAGGGGCGGGACCACCGGGGCAGGCCCTTCCTCATCTCCCCGTGGTCCGCACTGTCCCCACCCCAGCTGGAGAGAGGGAGCAGGGGAGCCACTGTGCTGGTCCAGGATCCAAGCAGGAGTTGGACACTTGGCCCAGGCGCCACAACCGGTCCTCGGGGAGGGTCTCCCTGCCCCGGGCAGCCCTGGCCAGGCCCAGAGGGTCCTCAGCCCCACTGCTTTTGCATGCATTGTTTAAGTGCCAATTATATATCAAGAGGGGGGACATGGAGGTCAAGTGCTCACAGTCAGACAGGACAACAGAAACTTCTAGCCTCACAGAGGCAGCACAGGGAGGCCCAGAGGTCTGTGAGAGCCCTGGGGAAGAAGTCTCTGGCCTGGGGAGGTCAGGGAAGACTTCCTGGAGGAGGTGGCAGCTGAGCCGAGCCATCAAAGACTCAAAAGGCAGCGGCGTTACCCAGGGCGGTGGAAAGAGCTTGTGCCAAACAAAGCCTGAAGGCGAGACGCGCCAGCTCCCTCTGGGGCCTTCCGTGCTCGGCCAGGAGGCTCAGGTCTCATTCCAGAGAAGCCGCCCAGCCCAGCGGTCAGGGTGCAGACCCCGCAGCCCGATGCGCAGCCCGCGGTGGGCATGCTGCTGCGCGGCGCTGTGCCTCGGCCCCCGATCTGTTCTGTGGGGATGTGAGAGCAGCACTTCCATCACAGGGCGACTATGCATGTCAAGTGCTCGCAGCCGTCCCTGGCGTGGGACGGACACTGGGAAGCGAGAGGACCCACGGCCTCTGTGGAGGGAGGCGGGTGTCGCAACAACAGGCCCAGTGCACGTAGTTGTTGAAGATTTTTATTTACTTTTTTTTAGAGGGGGGAAGGGAGGGAGAAACAGAGGGGGAGATGCATCCATGTGTGCCCTGTGCCCTGGCTGGGAATCGAACCGGCGGCCTTTCAGTTCACAGGCTGGCGCTCAATCCATTGAGCCACACCAGCCAGGGCCACATCGTTGTTTGCGATTGTCACGCTGACTCCCTGAGAGCAGGGCATGGGCCGCTGTGTGACAAAGACCAGCCAGCTAAGGTCTCTGGGGCAGGCTGATGGGACGTGGGTCTTGGGGGCAGGATCCGAGGACCCCTCTGGAGGCGTTGGCGGCTTAGGACAGATGGAGCCGCCTGCGTCTGGGGCAGCTCAGAATCTGAAGCTACTGGGGGAACCCTCGGCGTCAGCCAGCAGGGCCAGCAGGAAGAGAGGCAGGCGGTGCAGGTGGGGGCCGCCAGCCTGTTCACGCCCGCACCCCCCGGCCGCCAGGGTATGTGGACGTGGCGCTGATCCCGGCCGGTGCCCGGGACATCCACATTGAGGAGCTGGAGGAGAGCAGCAGCTTCCTGGCCCTGCGGAGTGAGGACCCCGAGAAGTACTTCCTCAACGGCCACTGGACCATCCAGTGGAACGGGGACTACGACGTGGCGGGTACCATCTTCACGTACGCGCGCACAGGCGAGCTGGAGAAACTCTCGTCCCCTGGGCCCACAGAGGAGCCCGTCTGGATCCAGGTGCCTGCCTCCCAAGGCCGGGGGTGGGGGGCACGGGGGCGGAGCCCCAGGGAGCGGCGGCGGGGGGGCCCAGGGCAAGAGAAGGCCGAGGACAGTCCCGGAGCCTGGCTCCGCCTGGCCCTGCGCCACAGCCGCTGCCTCAGTGTCCCCGTGTCGAAAGCGGCACGGGTCCTGGGGGAGCTGGGGGGCTCCTTCCGGGGGGTGGTGTGGTGCTCACGGGCCCCGCCCGCCCCCCAGCTGCTGGTCCAGGAGAGCAACCCCGGGGTGCGCTACGAGTACACCATCCACCGGGTGGCCGACGCCCATGGCCTGGGCCTGCCGCCCACGTTCTCTTGGACCTATGGGCCCTGGACCAAGTGCACAGTCACCTGCGGCTCAGGTGAGCAGGTGCCTTAGTCTCTGGGACGGGAACACCGGCATCAGCCTCCCGCTCACGGCTTACTAGTGGGGCCGCCGTGCGCCTGGGAGCCTGCTTCTCTGAGCCTCGGCTTCCCCGTCTGTAAGATGGGCTCTCCAGAGCCCGCTTCTGGGGTCCCTTGGACTCGCATCTGGCAGCCGCCGGCGCCTGTGGGGCTGTGGCCACGCATCAGGCACACGTGCGACCGCCTGTCGTGCTCACGCCTGGGCTTCCAGGCGGCCGTTATTGCCGCCCCCGTTTACAAAGACTCTGGGGTGCAGAGAGGCCGCTGCCTGCGGCCCCCCAGATAGGACGCCCTGCGCCGGGGAGCCGCCACGCTCTGCCCTCCCAGCGTGGGTGCCGGCTCTGGGCGGCTCTGCGCGGAGGGAGGGCCGTGGCCCTGTCTCTGGGAGCCACCGAGTCCGTTGCCCCCAGGCACGCAGAGGCAGAGTGCGCACTGTGCCGAGTGGCAGGCGGGGCCCGTGGACGACAGGTACTGCGACCCCGTGGGCCGGCCCGACGACCGCCAGAGGAAGTGCCGCGAGGAGCCCTGCCCCGCCCGGTGAGCCCCGACTCCAGCCCTGGGCGTCCCGCCCCCCCGGGAGCAGGCTCCGCATCGGGGCACCGCGGGAATGGCCTCTCAGGCTCTCTTCCCAGGGCTGGATGTCCACGGCCCCCTGTGTTTGGGTACCCGCGGGGGGCAGGTCCCCGGGTTGAGGGTGGCGGGAGCACAGGGGACCAGCCTCGCGGTGCCCGGTGCCCTGCAGGTGGTGGACCGGCGAGTGGCAGCCGTGCTCCAGCTCCTGCGGCCCCGGGGGCCTGTCCCGCCGGGCGGTGGTCTGCATCCAGAGTGTGGGGCTGGACGAGCAGAGGGCCCTGGAGCCCCCCGACTGCCAACACCTGCCGCAGCCCCCGGCCGAAAGCCCCTGCAACTTCCATGTGCCCTGTCCGGCCACGTGGGCCGTGGGGAACTGGTCTCAGGTGAGCGTGGGGACTGGAGGGCCTGCCCCTGTGCCGCCTTCGGTCTTGGGCTGCACGGAGACAGGACAGCCTTGGGGGGCCCTGGCCAAGGTGGGAGGGAGGCTGGCCAGCCCCGGCCCGGCCCCCACCGCTGTGGCCTGACCCCGCCCCGGCCTCCCCGCAGTGCTCGGCGACTTGCGGGCGAGGCACGCAGCAGCGAACGGTCCTCTGCACCCACGACAGCACCGTCCCCTGCGACGAGGCCCAGCGACCAGCCAGCGAGGCCGCCTGCCCTCTGCCGCCCTGCCCGCAGGCCCTGGACCCCGAAGGCTCCGGCAGCGGCTCCTTCGGCCAAATCCTGTACCCCGACGTCAGCTTCAAGCCCCGCCACCTGGCCCCTCACCCGCCATCCCCATCCCCCCTCAGCAACATCATCGAGGAAGCGGGGGAGAAGGAAAAGGCGGCAGAGGGCGCCCAGCTGGGCCCGCCGAGACCCGTCTTCGTGGACGACTTCTACTACGACTACAACTTCATCAGGTTCCACGAGGACCTGTCCTACGAGCCCTTCGAAGAGCCCGGCCCAGACCTGCCTGGCACAGAGGACTGGACGCCCCCGCCCCTGAGCAGTCCTTCTGAACCCCCCGCCGGGGCCCCCGAGCCTCCCACGGAGCTCCCCGGGGCCGAGGACCAGGAGGTGGCAGCAGACCCGACCCCTTGGCCCAGCCAGGCCGGCCTCTCCCCGCCCCTGCCCTCGGAGCCCACGCCCTGGAGCCCTTTGGGCAACTTGTTGCCTGAGGAAGACACCCCCAAGGTGGCCTCTGACCTGGGGCCCCCCAGCTTACCCTGGCCCCCCACTTCCATCGGTGAGATGCCCGTCGCCCCTGCGAGCGAAGATGAGTTCCTGGTCGGGGAGCACGGCCCGAGCCAGCCGCCGCCTCCGCGGTGGGAGGTGACCAACGAGGTTTTGGAGGGTGAGGACGATGCCGGGGGCCACCCGGCGCCACCCCTGCCCCAGACCCCCACGGCCTCGCAGCCAGGGGCCCGGGGCTGGGACAGCTCCCTGGGGCATGGGGCACCCTCGTCCCCAGCCCCAGGCCTGGCTCTACGGGACCTGCAGACCCCAGCACTGCCCGGGACCTTCCTTCTGACCGCCCCCACGGGCCCGGGGCACAGGCCTCGCGGGACCACCGGGAGCCCAGGACCCCCGGGCCAGCCCGAGCCCCCCAGCCCTGAGGCGCCCCCAGGCTCGGTGCTGCTGTCCACTCCGGCTGGGGACGGCCCTGCCAATGACGAGGAGCCGCCCTTGGACCTGCCTCTGACCAGGAACGCCAGCTGGGAAGTGGGGAACTGGAGCGAGGCAAGTGTTGCTGCCTCAGTTTCCCTTCTGAGCAGTGGGGGTGGGGCCATCTTGCTGTGTCCCCGGAGTCCCCAGAGGCCCTTCCCTGACCAGCTCGGGGCCCCAGGAAGGCAGGGCAGCGCCCACGAGGGGCAGCGAGGGCGTTCCTCTCCCTCCCCGGCCCAGGCCCCTCCCGCCCCGCCGGGCCCAGCCCAGCGCCCGCGGCCCACCTGGCTCTACCTCCGGGCTGTGCCCAGCTCTCTCTGGGCCTGCAGGGGTCCGAGCTGCAGGGAACCACGCTGCCCCCACCCACCCACACCCACGCAGCGTCCCAGATTGTCACCGCAGCAGAAGTGAGCCCTTTCCAGGTCCCCGACGTGGGGGCAGGAGGGACACGTGAGGCCCAGCGAGGAGCCCAACTCCCCCCAGGCGTCCTGTCTGGGCAGCCGGGCCCCTCACCTGCGTTCCCGTGAGCAGGGACGGAGGTGCTGACGGGCCTGGACTCCTCGTCCTCACCTGGGGGTGTCCCCGCGGGAGGTGGGTGGAGGGGCCCATTTTGCAGACGGGGAAACCAAAGCCCTGGCTGCGCAGACCCCTGCGCGCTCGCTTCCCCCGGTGGTTCCGGCGGGGGCGGGGCGGGGCTGTGGCCCCGCCCCTGACGGCCCCTGGCCCCGCCCCCAGTGCTCCACCACCTGCGGCCTGGGCGCCGTCTGGAGGGCCGTGCGCTGCAGCTCGGGCCGGGAGGACGACTGCGCCCCTGCGGGCCGGCCCCAGCCCGCGCGCCGCTGCCACCTGCGGCCCTGCGCCACCTGGCACGTGGGCACCTGGAGTAAGGTCTGTGAGGGCGGCGGGGGCCCCGCGCAGCTCCGGGCGTGGTCTCTTGCTGGCTGCACCCTTTTCTCTGTATTTCCCACCCCCGCGACCTCCCGGTCCCCGACCCTCCTTCCGGCCCATCGCGGGTGGGGATGTCCAGCCCCGGCCTTTCCCTGGGACGCGAAGGGCGGGCCCGGTTGCGGGGCGGCCTGAGGCCTGCCCTGCGCTGCGCATCACCGGCCGTGGCAGTGCGTGCACGCGCAGTGTGTCCTCACGCCCGACACGCCTGTCCTCGGCCCCCAGTGCTCCCGCAGCTGCGGCGGAGGGGTCTCCGTGCGCGACGTGCAGTGTGTGGACACTCAGGACCTCCGGCCGCTGCGCCCCTTCCACTGCCAGGCGGGGCCTGCCCAGCCGGCGGCCCGCCAGCCCTGTGGGGTCCAGCCCTGCCTCACCTGGTACACCTCTTCCTGGAGAGAGGTGAGGCCCGGGGGCCTGGGATGGTGCGGGTCTGGGGCCCCAGCCGCGCCCTGACGCCCCCTCCCGCCCGTCCTGCCCCCAGTGCTCCGAGGCCTGCGGCGGCGGGGAGCAGCAGCGGCTGGTCACCTGCCCGGAGCCCGGCCTGTGCGAGGAGGCACTGAGACCCAACAGCACGCAGCCGTGCAACACCCACCCCTGCACGCAGTGGGCGGTGGGGCCCTGGAGCCAGGTGAGGCGGGCGGGGCCGCCGCCGGCGCCGTGGTGGCCAGCGCTGCCGAGGGGCGGGGTCCTCGGTCCTTGTCCCCCTGGCTGCTGGGTGGCTCTGCCTCTCCGTTTGTAAAAGGGGGTTGTGAGGATCCCACCAGGAAACAGCGAGGCCCTAGCTCAGGGCCTGGCACAGGTCGGCCCCGCGCTGGGAAGAACAGAGCCCGACTCGGGACGGCAGCCTCCTGCCTCCCTGCCCGAGGCAGCCTGGTCGAGTCCGGCCGGAGTGCGGGCCGCAGTGAACGCCCAAGATGGGCCGGAACTGGGTGTGGGTGTGGCCCGACCCCACTGGGAGGCGCGAGGGGTCGGGCTGGGAGCAGGGAGGGGCCGTCAGCCCCCTCCCCCGTGGTGCCTGAGGCCACCGGCCAGGGGGCGCTCACGGCTCACCCCCTCCTCCCCGCAGTGCTCGGTGCCCTGCAGGGGTGGCGTCCGCAGGCGCCTGGTCAAGTGTGTCAACACGCAGACGGGGCTGCCCGAGGAGGACAATGACCAGTGTGCCCACGAGCCCTGGCCCGAGAGCTCCCAGCCGTGCGGCACCGCGGACTGCGAGGTCGCCGAGCCGCTGCGTGAGTGTCCCCGCCCCACCTGGGGGAACTGGGCGGACGGGGAGCCGTCAGGCCATCGCCGCGACGGCAGGGGCCTGTGGCGGACTGGGTGGGGGCGGGGGCCAGCTTCCTCGAGCGCGGGAGGACTCGGGGTCTCCCGGTGGGTCTCCGAGGTAGGTCGGCATGTCCCTGGGCGCCGCTTCCCCCTACTCTGGTCAGAGGACAATTACCGGTCCCCGTGGGCCACGCCTCCCACCCAGGGCGCGCTGGCCCCCAGCTCCTGGCGGCCGCTGGGCCAGCTGGGTCCTCCTGGAGGAAGGGCTTGAGGCACAAGTGGTTCTGGACACACACTCCCACGCACACACTTCCTGCTGCCCGACCCTGGCGCTGCCCAGCACAGGACACTGGCCCTGGAGGCCACCTGGGCCCCACAGCTGGCAGCCTGGGGCTGCACGTCCTCGCCCTCCTGGGCCGGCGGCCCCCCTCCGTGGGCTGGGGGACACTCGGGCAGTGTGGGCGTCTTCCCGCGTAGCCACTGTGACGCTGTTGCGGCGTCGGGAAGCGGGTGCAGGGCCGCCTGTCGGTGGAGGGAACCCAGCGGCGGCTGCGCCGTCAGCTGTTGGTCCCTGGCCCCTAGCTCAGCAGGGGGCCCTCGGGGCCTTGGGATCTGCACCCCGCCCCCCCCCGCCCCGCCGTGCGCCTGGAATCCCTGCAGAAAGGCCACCCGCCCAGCCCCGCGCTCAGCACTCAGCCACCTCAGCCCCTGGCACGCGGCCCGGGGCGGCTGCGGGTGGCCTGGCGGTTGCCTCAGGGGCATGGCTGGGTCGCTGCTCCTCTGGGCCCCCCGGGCTGGTCGCTGGGCCTCTGGGCGGCCGGCCAGGGTCAGGTGGGGGCAGGGCGGGAACGGAGGCCCGGTCAGGCCCGGTCAGGTGGCTGAGCCATGAGCTGTCCCAACAGAGGACGTCAGTGCTGGAGCCAGCCAGGAGGTGACTTGGACGCTGAGATCCCGGAGTCCCCAGGATATTTTGATGGTTCGTGGGGGGGACATCTGGAATCCTGGAAACTCCAGGGTGTGAGGTCACCCAAGCGAGGCAGCTGATGGCACGGAGGGGGGTATGGACTGAGGAGGGAACCGCGCCCCGGAGGTTAAGAAGGAACAGGGTAGACGTGCGGCTTGGAGCTGCCTCCGGAAGCCGGGGTGGCAGAGCCCGCCTGAGGCCCGGGGATGTCCAGGCCCAGGGAACATCTGCTGGAGCCAGCAGGGCCGCGCGGCAGCTGCACGCACTCAGCCGCACCGGGGCAAGGTCGGGGTGGGGGGGTTGGAAGCCAGCCACTTCCCAAAATAGCTCCGGCTCCGGCCCAGCCCCAAACCGACCCTGGCCCCGCCCCTCCGCAGGCTGCGAGCGGGACCGCCTCTCCTTCGCCTTCTGCGAGACGCTGCGCCTCCTGGGCCGCTGCCAGCTGCCCTCCATCCGCGCCCAGTGCTGCCTCTCCTGCCGCGCGCCCGGCCGCGGCCGCCGCCAGCGGGCCGCCCGCCGCTGACCTGCACCCTGGCCGGGTGGACTGACAGGACGGACCACTGACAGCCGCACAGACCTCAGTGCCCCCCCCACCCCCGCCCCGCGCGCCCTCATGGTGCTACCCCGCGCCTGTCCGCAGCAGGCTGGGGAACCCCCTCAGAAAAGGTATTTTTTTACTCTAACAGTTTGTGTAACACATTATTATTATTATTGTTATTATTATTATTATTATATAAACAAGCATCTACCGTGTCAGCGGGTGGCCTGGCGTCCTCTTGGGTGGGGGGGTTTGAGGGCTGAAGCTGCCCCCGCCTCCCCACAGGGGCCGATGACAAGGCAGAGAACGCGACCGGCCGCGTGGGCAGGAGGCCTCGAAAGGAGGCTGCGCCCTGGGGGGGCGTCTCCGTGCCCCCTTCTCCGGCCGCCCAGCCCCCCTCCCGTTTTCCCAGGGCCCACGCTGTCCTCAGCAGGGGCTGCCCCCCACCCGAGGTGATGGGGGGTCTGAGGGCCCCACGGGCACGGCCCTGCGCCAGACTGGGGCACAGGCGGGGAACCGGGGGCCTGGAAGCTTTGAAGTGTCCTGGGCCCTGGGGCCACTCCTGGCTGCTGTGTGTTGGGGACAAAAGGGCCATTGAAAGCCACTCCTTGGGGATTGAGACCAGAGGCCAAAGCATCGGGACTGGCCCTTCTGTGAGAGGCGAGTCGTGGCCGCTCCCCGCAGTAACGGGGTGCTGCTGGGCCCCATGCCCTCTGAGCACCCATCACCCCATTTCCGGCCAGAAGCCCAAGGCTCTGAGGCGGGTGACGGGCCCAGGGCACACCCGAGCCGGGAGCCCCACCTGCCGCTGAGCTCTGGGCGCCCGGGCCGGGCAGGCGCTGACCCCGAGCAGGCCCCACGGCGGCCCCAGCAGAGGGCCGTCTGTCCCGGGTCACTCAGCAAAGCCAGTCGCCAGGGACTTGAGTCCAAGAATCACCACATCATCGAGGGCGGCGGGGTGACAGGCTTGCTTCCTGTCTGCGCCTGCAGACGCCCGGCTGGCCCTGGGGGTGCTGGGGACCCGCGCTGAGCAATGGCTTCCGCGGCCCCTCACAGGAAGCCGGGAGCAGGGCCCCCACTTGGAGGCCCCAGACGCACAAAGGAGCCCGGGGGTCAGCCCCCGCTCCGCCGGGGGACCTCAGGAGCCCCCAGCCTTAGCGCGTCCTGTCCTGGGAGGAGTCTGGAAACCCTCCCTGGAGCCCCCTCCCCCGCACCATGGAAACAAATTTGGTCTTAATCACTCCCGTGTGCTTTTTCAAGGATGGGGGTGGGGGATGGTGTCCCAGGGGCGGCTGGGCCTGAGCTGTCATCCCAGCAGGAGGCAAACAACCCGTGACTCAAGCAGGGCAGGTCACACGCGGCTGGAGGAGAGCCACCCGTCCTTGCGGCTGGGCCCGGCACCGCACCCGGCCCTGGCCTGGGCTCAGGCGGGATCCTCGGCACCGGCAGCCCGGACGGGTGGGAGGAACATGCCTCGGCCAACCTGGTCACCAGCCCGTGACCAGTGACAAGCGTTGAGACAGCCTACGGAACATGTGCCCTTTATGGGGGTCATGGCACCCCCAGTGCCGATCCACAGTGCCTGCGTTGTTGTCCAACCATGGCGACCCGCCCCCGACCCCCGGCCGGCGCCGTAATGAAAACAGTTGGAGAGTGAGCGCCGAGGCCCGGCTGGGCGTCCGGCTCTGATCTGACACAGCCGCCTCTGGGGGTCACGCCAGAAGCCCGCTCCTCCAGCAGTAAGGGGCTCCCTCGCTGCCCCCCCAATTCTGCAGGGACGAAAGGTGTCGATATGCATAGAAACCCCAGGAAGGGCTGTGACAAAGCAGAAATGTCCCCAGGACCTCCTCCGTCTGTCAGAAAATAGCCACCGCTCCTGCCTCTGTCCTGCGGTCGGGCCGCGGGAGCGGAAGGAACACATAGTCGGAGCACATGTACGTGCAGCGTTGCTTCCTTTCCTACTTACGCCCCCGTCCTTAGGGATGCCTACCTCCCACCCAGAGGGTCCTGCTGCAGGGAGGTAGAAGGTCAGAAAGGCACTTTAAATGCCAAGTCCCCAGAGTACCTTCTGGGACGCATGAGACGGGCCGAGGAGAGGCCGCGACACAGCCCTCCGTGTGGGCTGACCAGGGTTGGCCCCCAGCGCTGCTCAGCCGCCGGAACCAGCAGCAGGGGCCGCGTGAGCAGCCCCTCTGCTCCAACCACAGGCCCCCATACTTGGAAGAACGGTGTCCAGCCCCCGCTTTCCTACCAAAAGCACTGTTCTATCCACATTCCGCACGGACGCCTCTGGTCGGTGGCTGCTGACGGAGGCGGAGCAGGACCACAGCCCCGGGGTGGACTGGAGCCCCGGGCATGGGCGCCCGGTGTCCGCTCAGCGGGAAGACCATGCTGGGTGCTCCGAGGGCTCCAGCGGGCCCCATGTAGACATGGCGGGTCCTGTGTAACGTGACGTCCCCTACGCACACCTGACTCAGGATCCCCGCCCGCCGATTTGTGGAAATGCACCCTCAGCTGCACAGTCTGTGTCCTCGGAGCTTAACTCACGGGGGCTCAGTGCAGGGGGAGGCAGGGCCACACCAGCTGTCCTGGCCACTCGGGGAGACCCTCTGCGGCCAGCCTGGTCCCGAGGCCTTGAGTTCCTGAAACTAGCAGCTAGGGACACTGGCCCCCAGCCCCTCTGAACCCGCTTACTGTCAGAGGGCCTGGCAATGCACTTGGCTCAGGGAAGACCGACTTCAGTCAATTCTGTAGGTTCTGTTCAGTCTGGCAGGAAAGCTTGACACAGCTGCTTTCTAATCTGAGCTACAGACAACTGTCCCTTTGGTTTGTTCTACAGCCTGTAATACCATGAATGTCCACAAGGTGGCGGCACTTACTGGCTTTCTAAAAAATATACACTTGGGGGAGAGGGAAAAAAAAAAGGAGCGGTCGACTTTGCTAAGAATCTTAATTGGTTTCCAGGAGGCTTTCGAAAGCAGTCTGTTATTTTTTACTGTGGCTCTGGAAAAACAGCCTCCCTCGCAGGGCATTCGTACTTGCTGTATCCTCGCCCCGCGCCCTCCTCTGTCACTGTTTCCTTGCCTTGGCTCAGGAATAGCTTCATATGGGTGGACCTGGCTATGCAACGGGCGCAGAACGACCGACTGCAGTTAGTTCTGTAGGTTCTGGCACGTCTGGGAGGGAAGCAGAACAGACCTAAGCGCTAACCTGAGATCACAGGAGAACCTCTTTTCTTGAACTTAATTCGTTCCACAAGACTGAGAACCGATTTGTTCCAAAACCAAATTCCCCCCCTAGGTATCAGCATGAAAGGGTTATCGGGTCAAGAATCGAAGGTTTGTTCCACAACCGAGACGTTTCTTTCCCTGAAATTTTTTTTCGAGAACCGAAAAGTTCAACCGTCTCATTTGTCCCTGTCCCGCTGCCTGCAATACCACCTATGTCCACAAGGCGGCACCATTTGCCTACTTTTCAAAAATCCCCTCCGTGGGAAAAAAGACAATCCGGTTCCCGACTTTGGTTTTGAAGGAGTCTAGGAAGGTAGTGGGTAATTTATGGGTGGGAGGGTCTTGAAAACTAGCCCAGCTACATCTGCTCAGGCCCTTTATATGGGGGTGGCCAAAAACCTCATGTAGTTTTTTTCCATAAAAGGCATCTTTCCATGTCACATATAATTTTATTGATTTGGATATTTTGAGTATGTGAGCTATTTCCTGTGTGGTATAATGTTGATTGTTCTCAATTAACGTCTCAGTTTGATTGCTATCAACTTCAGCTGGTCTACCCAATCGTGGAGCATCATACGGTGAGGAATCTCCAGCATGACACTACACAAACCACTTTTGACATGTTGGATCAGTCCCACAGCACCTTCTTCATGCCCTGCACAACTCTTTTCTTTCTTTCTTTCTTTTTTCTTTTTTTTTCTTTTTGCATTTCAGTACTGTTTTTACCTTCCTTGAAACAATAAACCATAATGTGCTGGAAATGTTGTGTATTTTCTTCCATCTTCAATATTAAAATGGCTACACAAAAATTTACCAATTTTGATAAGATTTTTATTCATGCACGCTGGTATGACAGCTGTCACACTACAATCTAACAAAATTGTTTCAAGTGAAGTTAGAAACAACTAATGGGACTAGAGCCATCTTACGGAAAAAACCAAATGAATATTTTGGTCAATCCAATATTAGTACTGCCTCCCCCTTAATGCTTTTTATATGGCTGTTTCCTTAACGCTGTCTCTGGAATGGCTCGTTCCTGGAGGACCTCGCGGTGCAGGTGGCCCAGGGAAGACTGAACTCAGTTACCTCTGCAGGTTCTGTTAACTGAGAGGGAAACAGGACACCCATAGCCCCTGATCTCGGCTATAGTCAATTGCCCCATTGACCTCTCTTCCGCATCCTGCAATACCAAGTGTGTCCACAAGGTAGCAGCATTTACTTGCTTTAAAAAAAAATCTTGGCCGATTTTACTAGGAATCTCGATTGGTTTCCGGACAATGTTCACATAGTCTGTACAGCTGCTGCTTTAAAGAATGGTAAGATAATATATTGCAAATCCTATGAACCATTGAAAGCGCTTATGTATAGTTTACATCCAAAAGTCATCTATGTAGCCCATTTCACTCAATTTAAAAGCCAACCTCCACTTCTTTGTCGTTCTATTACTATGTTTTTATACAGAATTAATGCTAACAATTTAAGCCATCCTAGAGAGAAAATAGGTGTGAAGAATTCTTTTCACATCTTGGATGTTCTAGGTCATTTTTAAGGACTTAAAATTATTTGTTCCTCCTTAATCTGAAACTCTTCCAGCGCAACTTCTGACCAGCAAACAGGTGTGTTCCTGCGGCGCTGTGAGGCGCACTGATGGCGGAGCATGAAGCCAGGTTGCAGCACAGTCTGGTTCTATCTACTGACAGTTAACAAAGAGTTAACGAGCACTGTCTCATCTGCTGAGAGCAGTACATGCCTTTACCCCACAACTCCTGAGAACATCTAAGAGGGAAAACCAATTTCACGAACAACTTTTAAGAGAACCTATACATAATTCTAAGAACTGCACATATTTAGGGTGCTAGAAAAGATATTTTCTTTTGTAAAGCACCTATGATTAAATTAATATAACAGAGCTATAAAAATATGGCTCACACTTAGGAGCATGAAGCCATCTATATTTTCTATTGACTTTCTCTAAATCCTGCTACTTTTATTCATTTAAATAAGAAAAAAAAATGCCTCCTGGCCTAATCAATTATGATTATTTAAAAGGACTGGCCCTGACTGGTGTGGCTCAGTGCATTGAGTGCTGGCCAGTGAGCAAAAAAACTGCGAGATATGACACTATTTGGCACATCAAATTCACAGCTAATGAGCTCCCTGGCATATTATACATATGGAACAGCACAGATCATCCCCCAAATTCAACTTGCATATTTTTAAATAAACGAAAAGACCCATAACTTGGTCGGTGGCTCAATTGGTTAGAACATAGTGTCAATACGCTAAGGTTGCAGGTTTGATCCCCAGTCAGGGCACATGCAAGAATCAACTAATGATGCATACAGAAGTGGAACGAGAAATAGATATTTCTCTCTCTGTGAAAAAAAAAGTATAAATAGAGATTTACAGTAAATATTCCACTACAGAGCCCACGAGACTGGAGGCAGCCTGATCGCAGGCGCCGCCCAGGCAGCTGCGCGGCCGCAGGCTCTGGAGGCGCCTCCTCCAGCTGTGGAGCCAGAAGCCTCCGTGGGCGGCGGCGGCCTCTGGGGCTGCTGTGTGCGCGCGAGGGTTCCTGGCTACCCCTCCTCCGGCGTCCGGGCCGTGGGAGCTCGGGTCTCGAACTTAACTGGCCCCTCAAGGCTGTCTGAGAAGCGATTCCTTCGAAAACCGAATCATTTCCCCCAACTAGCAACATGAAAAAGCTGTCGGGTAGAGAACCGAAGTTTCGTTCGACAATCGAGACTTTTTTTCCGTGAGCAACTTGGGACGAGAGCCAGACTGTTCAGGTTGGAGAGCGGAGGTTCCACTGTACAGACAACTGTCTCATTTGTCCTTGTCTTGCCAGATACAATACCAACTGTGTCCACCAGATGGAACCATGTACCCACTTTTCAAAAATACGGACCGTGGGAAAAAAAATTAACCGAAATGATTATGGACTTTGCTATGGACCTTGACAGCTTTGCAAAAGTCTAGGAAAGTAGCGGGAAATTTGTGGGTGAGAGGGCCTTGGAAAGTAGCCCAGCTGCATCTGCTCTGCTCTTCGTACTTAGCATTGCCTCCTCCTTAATGCTCTTTATATGGGTGTTTCCCTAACTCTGTGTCTGGAAGGGCTCATTTTTGGAGGACCTGGCGATGCCGGTGGCCCAGGGAAGGCTGAACTCGGTCACCTCCGCAGGTTCTGTTAAGTCCGGGAGGGAAGCAGGACACACCTAGCCCGCGGTCTGGACAAGTGTCCAATTTGTCCTGTTGTGCCAACTGCAATACCACACATGTCTACGAGGTGGCACCGTTTACTAACTTTTTTAAAAAGTCTTGCGTTGGAAGTGGAGAAATGCGTTTTGGACTTCGCTAAGAGCCTGTGTGGCTGTCCAGGAGTCTCGGTATGGTCCTCGTAACATGGAGTTGGCGCCTCTGGAAAAAGACCCCACCTACGACAGCCCCGCGTCTTGGCACTTGCTCTTTTTCCCCCAGAATTTCATGACTCAGCTCTTGACAAAGACTGTGGGGTGGCTTTCTTGCCGAAGGGCCTATTGATCAAGCGGGCCCTGAAGAGACTGGCCTCCGTTTCTTCTCCGTTTCTTCTGCAGGTTCTGGAATTCCGGGAGAGAAAGGGACTCACTTGCTCCTAATCTGAGAAAACCAAGAATGCATCTGTCTGCCCCTGTTCGGCCATCCTCAAGGCCTTGCACCCAGGGTTTCCTGCAGACACTCGGCTGGCCCAGGAAGGCCCCGGGGACATGCTCAGAGCAATGGCTTCTGCGGCTGTCCACAGCCCAGGGCCCCACGTGAGAGGCAGGCAGCAGGCCCTCTGCTTGGGGGCTCCGAACCCACAGAGCCTGGGGGTGTCAGTCCCCGCTTGGCCCCTGCGGTTGTGCTGGGTGAACCCAGGAACCCGCAGCCTCGCTGTGTCCTGTCCTGGGAGGTGATGGCTCACCAGGCCCTCGTCTGCTCGGACAGTCTGGGATTCCTCCCTGAACCCCCCGCCCCCGCACCATGGAAGAAATTTGGTCTTAATCACTCTTGTGTGTTTTTCCACAAGACTCAGGCAAGGCAGGTCACAGACGGGGGAGGGTGGCTGCCTGTCCTCACAGTTGGGGGCTACCCCAGCTCCCGGCGGAGGTCCAGGCCCCTGCCCAACGCCCCACCCCGGCTGCCGCCCCACCGGCAGCTTGGTGACAGCTTGCGGGGCCTCTGCCGACAGCGGCCCCGGAGGGCGCTCATGGCGGGACCCACGAACCCGACCTGGCAGGTCAGAGAGGCACCCCCGGCCCTGCCCCCGAGTGACTGCAACTGCACATCTTGTCAGAATGTTACACAAATTAGTTTATTTTACCTTCTAACAGGACAATGCCAACGTGGAACGGGAAGACAGGCACAGACGTCGCGGTGACAGAAGAGCGGGGCCTGCTGGCGGCGCCTCCAGCGTCCACCTCCCGGCCGCAGGGACGCCCGCGGGCCCGGCCGCCGTGCAGGAGGGCAGGGCCCCGCACGGCGATACACCGTGCCTGCTGAAGGGACACCGGAGTGGCCGTCTGCCTGCCCTGCTTCTTACATGGACACGATGTAGTCGAAACCAGAGCCGTCCCTGGGGACCGCGGTCTTGGCTGCTGTGGGACAGCTGTCAGCAGGACCCCGAGGCGGCGCCGCCGGGGGGCGGAGGTCGGCGATGGGCGAAGACAGCCCAGCCGGGAGAGCCACCGAGGTTCAGGGCCACATAAACACACACGAGGGAGTCATGCACACGAAAGAACGTGTTATACAAAATACATGTATATGAACTTGAAAAACCTTGATAAAAATAGGTTATAAAAATATAAACTGTAGTGAAATATACAAAAGTATCAACAGATGTTTGACCCATTTAAAAAAAAAAAAAGCCCAGCAACATAAAGGCGGCACCGCCCTGCTGTTTGAGGGCGCGGGGTCCGTCGGCCACGGCGTCACGTCAGCCACGGCAGGTGCACCCGCGGCGGCGGCAGAGCGGCCGGTGGGCCACGCAGCCCCTCCCAGCAGCTCCAGGAAGAAGTGGTGCCTCAAGCAGTGCCCTCAGACCCTGCAGGTCTGGAGGAGTCGGCACCATCGGGCCCCCGGAGCCGGCCCCGCGCGGCCCCCAGCCCTCCCTCCTGGCTGCGTTCTCCCCAATGTCCCTTTGGGGCCTTTGAAGGTGCATCTTTTCAGGGCAAAAGTGGCAAAACAAGCCTATTCCCAAAGGCGGCGTTTTGGCCCGGCGGCGCGCAGCTCCAGGAGAAATGAGCGTGGGGACTAAAGTCTGAGGGAAGCCGGGCCCCAGGCCCGGGCACAGCAAGGGCTTCCGGGGATAGTGAGGTGCTGCCCGCCCCCCGCACGGGACCCGGCTCCAAGGTAACCTCCCGGAGAAGCCGGGGCTGAAACTCCTGCTCCCGGAGACCCGAACGATGGAAAGCCCGTTTCTGATACCTGACAGGAGGCAGGCTTTTTTTTGGCCAAATACAGACCAGCTCTGTCTGCACAAGACAGAAGCTGAGCTCAGTCTGGTGCGTGGGGGCAGCTGCTGGGAGGCCGAGCGCCTTCGAACGACACTGGTTCGCCTCTCAGCCTGCGCGTGTTTGGCACATGTCAACCAACGATTATTTCCAATGCCTTCTGGGTAGTGTAAGAAACTCCATGTAAAACGATTTCTTTCCTATTTGAAGAATGATGTGCTGTTTGTGCGGCAAGGACGGCCCACAGAAAGACGGAGGAGGACCCCCTTCCTTGTGCAAAGATGCAGAGCTCCAAAAAGGGGGTGCGTGGGTCTCCAGGACCCCCGGGGCGGCCCCACATGCCGGACGCCCTGCGACCCCACAGCAAGGCCCAGGGAAGGGGGGCCTCTGGGTCGCAGGGATGCTCCGGCCCGAGCAGAGGCACGGCCCAGCCAGGCGGGGGGCCGCTTGCGCGCACCGGCTGCTCTGGAGGGAGCCGCAGACCCCGCCCACTGAGCAGCTGGACCCCTGCGCCCCCGGCCGAGGCTGCCTGGCAGGACGGTCAGCCGCCTGCGGTGTGTGGCCCCCAGCAGGCTGGTGCGGCTCCTCCGGGCGGTTGCTGAGCAGCGACGTGCTCGCCTTTCCTGGGAAGTCGCTTTGCCGCGGAAGCGGCCACGTTCTGGCCTAGGAGTCCGAGCACTGGGTGTCCTCCAGGGCGCGGCCACCCAGCGGATGCTGCGCTGCCCGCGGGGAGAGGGGACGCAGCCCGGGAGGCGGCCCGCCTGGGGCTTTCGAAGGGCGCGGACGCCCCCACGGGTGACCCAGGCTGCAAACAGGCTCTGCGAGGCGCCGACGGGGGGCCTGGCCGAGCGCCATCGATCGCAACACGCGACGGGATCCGTGGGACCGATCGCGTGGCAGAGGGGGCTGGAAACCGGTGGGGCCCCGGCCCGTGGCCGGGAGCGAACGGAGGCTGCGGTGTGGTCTGGACGGCGGCCCAGCAGGCGTCCGGGGACCGAGGGGGCGGCGCGCTGGGCCCGCACGAAGGAGCCGCCTGGCTGGGAGCGGGCCGCTCAGGTGTCCTCCTCCTCGTCGCTGCCCAGCGCGCCCTTGTCAGGGCTGGCGTCGCGCTCTCGCAGGAAGTCCTCCCGGATGGCCTCCAGCTCCGTCAGCTCCAGCCGCACCTTCTCCAGGTGGTAGGCGCGCCGGTTGCGGATCTGGCGCAGGGGGAAAGGGTTCAGGTCCCCAAAGGAGATGCTGATCAGCTTCCTGCGGGGACACGGGACAGTGTCAGTGGGGCCCGGGCGCGGCGCCCCCGGGAGGCCAGGCCTGCTCACGCAGAGGCTGCCGGGCGGCCAAGCAGGCCACCCAGCGAGGCCGGGGCGGGAGGGGCGTGAGGGTTCCCAGACACTGCAGCTCCCGGGGCGAGAGCACCGGGCCCCCCGCCCCGTCTGGCGGAGCCTCCCTCCAGGCCCCCACCCCTCCCCCGGACGCCCTGGTCTCCCAGGGCTGCCTGTCCTGCTCCAGCCCAGCAGGCCCCTCGCGCATCTACCCTGCAGCGCCACAAACCCCCTCAGGGAGACGCGCAAAGTCCTGGCACAGCCGACGAGGGCTGAGCGCAGTCAGCTGCTGCCACACGGACACCAGCCCCGGCCCGTCCGCCTCGCGGCTCCCACCCCCGGGTCCCGGGGCTCCGTCCGGTGCCCTGGCCCTCACAGCACGGAGCGGCCCCGCCCCACAAGGTCCCCACCTGTCACCCCGATGCTGGCAGGGGGCCTGCCCGCCCTGCACTGAGTCAGTGCTGCCACGCACGTCTGCCCGCTGCCACTGCTGCGGGGCCGGGCGGCTGGAGAGCGGGTGGGGCCATCGGCGGCCTGCGTCTGAGGCAGGAGCAGAGGCCTGGGGCCGGCCGGCCGGGCGCGCGGACTCTCCCCCGGGGACTCACCGAGCGTCGAGGATCGTGCGAGTGAAGTAGCGCAGGTACTTGAATATGGACATGGAGTCTTGCAACTTCAGGATCTCCTCTTCCTTGTATTTGAAAAGCGCGAGGGCAAAACGGAAAATGACCTGTGGGAAGGACAGGGACGTGTGTGCAGAAGCACCCAGCCTCCCGGAGCCTCGGGAGCACCTCCCACGGGTGGGGGTGGGCGTTTCCCACAGAGCAAGGGCGCTGCGGAAGCCCCCCACCGAGTGCAGCGGACACGTCCAGTCAAGAACGTACGCAGAACTGGAAGTCGTTTTTACATAAAATCAAAGCCGCGGTCAGTCGGTCGGCTGTGAAGCTCAGACGGCTCCACGCCTCCTCGCAGTTTTTATCCCAACGTGAACCTAGGCTGTGAACCGCTGACTTTTCAGTACAGGGAGAGAGTGAAAATATGGATTTTTTTACGGATTTGTTTTGGGGGCGCTGTGTTTGAGGCCGGGGGACTGGATCGTGGTTGCCCTGCAAGTTCAACCAGTTTAGGGGAACCTGCCCACGTCCTTTAAGTACGTCATCTGCTGACTTTCCTGCCTGTGGCCCAGTAGCAACCCCGGGGCAGGTCCCGGCTGAGGATCCCTCCCGACAGCGACAGCCCGGGGCGCGGTCCCACGGGGGACAGAGTGCGGGGCGCACGCACGCTCCCTGCCGCTGAGGCCGCCCGTCGGCGGGGCCCTCGGCAGGGCAGGGCGAGGAGCCGTCTTCCGCGGGGACGCAGGCGGGCCAGCCCCAGACCTGCGCCTCCCTCCCAGGCCGGCACGTGTACTTGCGCACGTGTGGGGACTCCCCACTGCGGGGGCCGGTGTGTGTGCTCCTGGTTCATCTGCATATGCAGAGTTTAAAAACAAAAGCCAAGTCCACATGCCCCGACGTGGAACTCTCTCCCAGGTAGTTTTTTTAAAAAGCCTGTATTTTAGCCCTGGCTGGTGGGGCGTGGTGGATTCAGCACTGGTCTGAGACCCAAAGGGTCGCCAGTTCGATTCCCAGCGGGGGCACCTGCCTGGGTTGTGGGCCGGGTCCCCAGCAGGGGGCGCGTGGGAGGCAACCACACATGGGTGTTTCCCTCTCTCCTTCCTTCCCCTCTCTCTGAAAATAAATAAAATCTTTAAAATTTTTTTTAAAAATTAAGATGCCTATCTTTAGACAAACACAGAAAACCTAGGGAGGGACGTGAGGCACACCCAGAACAGAGACCAGGAGGCGGGGGCGGAGAGAACCACCCCCAGACACACGCCCTCGGTTCCGAGCTCTCCTGCCGCTGCGGCCTCCGTCACCGGCTATCGTTGGCGTGAGAACCGGTCTTTACAAAGCACACAACGGACGGCGCGGGCGGCCCATGGGCGTGAGGCTCTGCAGGGGCCCCAGGGCCTGTCCCCGTCCTCTGCACACTGACCGCAGGGCCTCCGCGTCCCATCCCCACGCCGGGGCGGCTCAGCCCGCAAACCCGCAGAGCCCCCGTGTGCAGGGCTGGGGGGCTACGCGCTTCTGACGGGCACGCAGGTGACCGACTGCGTGGACCCCCGTCCCCCGCAGTGGCACGCCTCGCCGGGGGGCTCGGCGCGGGGCGCCGTCGCGTGTCCGCAGGGAGCCGGCCACGCCGCCGCCACGGACGCCGCCAGCGGGCAACCCACCTTCGGGCCCTCGTACAGAAAGGAGTCCCATATTTTGAAGAGGACGTCGCTGACGACGCTGTCCACGAACACCACCAGGAACCAGTTGAACGTGATGAGGGTGTAGTCCACCTTGTACTGCTCCAGGTGGGCGTGCAGCCGCGGCAGCTTCTCACTCATCAGGTCTCTGAACACCCGCTGGTCCACCTGCAGGGAGCAGAGGGCAGAGGCGTGGGGCCCGCCGCCCCCAGGCCGTGGGGTCTACAGCCTGAGGCCCGCCCCTGCACTCCACGGGCCCGGGGGGGGGGGCAGATGCGCGAGGAGCCTGCCGGCGTGGCCTCGCCCGTCCACCTGCGGATCCAGGGACGCGGCCTCAGAGGCGACCTCCGCCCCAGGAGCTCGGCCTGCCCGGCAGCCGGGTCGGGGCTGTGCCGGCGCTGAGCCGGGAGGGCTCGGGCCGGAGCCCTTCTTCCTGGCTGGCGGCCAGCGCTCTTCCGCGGGGCAGGGGCGGCGTCCGCCACGGGGGGTGAGGCCCCTTTTCTGCGGGTGTAGTTCTGCCCTCCACATTCAAGTGACAACTACACATCTGCATGTGCGTCTCGCCTGGCGGTGGCGAGCGCAGCGGAGGACAGCTGACCACAGGACCGAGTGACGGCCTCGGGGCTGCTTCTGCCGGGGTGTCCGCTGAGGAGGCCGCCAGGGGGCGCTGGCCCCCACGCGCGTCCCCGGCAGGTGGTGGGCGGCGCCTCACGCGCGTGGCTGCCCAGAGCCTGGCGCAGGGGTAGGAGGACCAGGGATGGCTGCGCCGTGCGCCTCCGTGGCCCTGGCGCCTGGCGAGGTCCCAGGCCTGCAGGTGTGCTTAGCGGAGGGACCGGGCAGGGAATGTGTGAACCGCAGCAGCGGCAGCGGGGGCGCGCGCGGGGCCCTGCGCACAGCGCGGGGCTGAGCGCAGTGAGGCCGCCCGTTCAGGAGCAGCAGGGCCGTGCCCGCCAGACGGGGACGGCCGGGTGCGTACAGGCTGTCGGCTGTGGGGGTGTCTCAGCCCCGGACTGGAACGGGCACCGGCCCACGGGGGCGGGGCGGACGCTGGGCTGCCGGAGACGCAGCCAGGCCGCCTCCTGATGCTGAACCATGTCAGGGTTAAGAGGAAAAAAAAAAGACAACAGGAAATATATAAAAACGCTCACTTCTCTTTACCGAGCGAGACCCAGAATCTCAACAGTCAGGGGAAGGCGCCTCCTCAGAGTTTACACGGGTGTTTGCGAGGTGACATGATGCAGATTTTATCTCAAATACCCACTTAAAACAGGCCTTCCCCTTGGCCCGTAACAATAACATTAACGATAATGTGACTGAGTCCCCACGACCTTGTCAGCTTGACATGAAACTCTCTCAGTGCGTCGTCAGAATTCAACCTCAAACACTCTTACGGATGGGGAAACTGAGGCAGGGGGGCCGTGTCGGGGCCAAGCCGCACGGCGCCCGGGAGGGGGCCCTGGCTGCCGGCCCAGCGTGAGGCCCGCGGCCCAGCTCCCCGCTTTTTAGCTCCTTGTGGCAGAGCTGCAAGTGGAAAGCAAAACCCAGCGCCTCCCAGACGTTGACCACAGAGGGACTTCCCCAGGCAGACGGTCACCGTGGTGACAGCAGCTGAGCGGCCAAGCAGCTGACGGGGGGCGGCCCGGAGGCAAGGGCAGGAAGGACCCCTGGCCGGGCGCTCAGCTGGCCGGCTCAGGGCCTGGGCGGCGTGGACTGAGCCCGTGGCCCCGGGGCCACAGGCGGGGCGTGGGGGGGGGGCAGGGAGGAGCGTCTGGAGACAGCGGCCCTGGCGGGGCTGCCCGACCGCAGAGGGACACAGCTCCGGCGGCCGGCCCGCGGCGCGGCCCCAGGAGTGGCGGGCACGGACCCAGGGCCCGGCCAGAGCTTCCTGAGACCCTCCCACCGCGCCTCGCTGCTTCCTGGGCCTGGGTCCTCCCGGCCGCCCGGGCACCTGCCCGCATCCCGGCCTCTGGGCCTGGGGGCGGAGACCAGGGAGGGCAGCGGCCCGCCTCCCCCAGCGAGCCAAGGCTGGGCCCCCGCGCCTCCACCAGCGGCTGGCGGGAGCCCGGCGTTTCCGGCCGTACCTGGGATCCTAAGAGCGTCTTTGTGTAGTAGTCCCGAGGCATGAAGACCTCCACGATGGTGACCAGGCACCAGAAGGCGTCTTCCTGTTCCAGGTACAGGAGGGCCACGGCCACCAGCCTGCAAGCACAGGGGACGGGTGAGGTGAGCGTCGCCGGCGGGTGCCACCTCCTCGCAGCCACGGCTCAGCCCCCCGGCGCCGGGGAGGCCACCCTTCCGCCCCTGCACTTGGTTTCAGGGACGGACGGTGACAGTGTTTCCCAGGGATCGGCCAGCCTTGTGGAAAAGAAGTTTTCAGGGTCAGATTTTTGCTACTGCAGCTAATTCTTGGAGCTTATGGTTCAAGACATTCCAGTTCGTCCTTTTATGCACAAAACATCCAGAGATGATGTGAGAGACAAACGCACGAGAGTTTAAAAACAACTTTCCTGATGCTGTTTTGGTTAAAAAGGGGCTTCAGACCAATGGACCCTGCGGGTCAGCGCGGCGGGGGAACGGCCGCTGTGGGAGTCACGACGGGCGCGTGGCTCTGGCCGCTCACGCTGTCACGCGTCACGAGGTGGCTTGTCCAGCCATCTGCGGTGCGGTGCGCGCGAGCAGGCGCCGGGGCGGAGGAGGGAGGGCGAGGCGGGGAAGCCCCTCCCGTCCGAGGCCCAGAGCCTCTGCCCGTGCAGGAGGCGGCCGTGCCTGACTCACAGGGAAGCCCTGGAGCCGCTTCTCGGAATGTGTGTGTTTTTCTTCGTTAGAGGAAATTATAACAAAGTCAAGTAACATTACAAAGTTAGAGAGAGAGAGAGCACTGGGGCGGGGGCAGCAGCCCTCAGCACCCGCTGCGCCCTGCCCTGTCCCCACGCGGCTGGGGACGGGCGCCCGCGTCCCTGAGAAAACACGACAGGCTGTCAGGGTTCTCTGCCCACGGGAACAGGGAAAGGCCCGAAGACAAACAAGGTGGGGCTTCTTCATGCTCAGCTTCCACTGCTGGGGCTCTGCCTGGGCCACTTCGTGACCCACAAAGACCCCGGGTGCCCAGGAGGGCCACCGGGGTTCACGTCACACGCGCAGCACGAATGAAGTCATACGTCTGGCCAAGCCCACGTGTGACAATAACCACAGGGAGAAGAGAGAGAAACCCAGTTGTGTCAGATCAACGGGACTTCGGCGTTAATACTTTCTCGGAAGCATGTGTGTGTCTCTCAGTTATTCTAGCTGCACTGGGGAGGGTGCACAATGACAACCAGCTCCGCCCGGGCCAGGGGGCTCCGTTGGCTGGAGCCTCACCCCCTGCACCAGAAGGCTGTGGGTTTGATCCCCTGTCGGGGGGTGTGTGTGTGGCAACTGATCAATGTTTCTCTCACTCTCTCTTCCCCTTCCTCGCTCCCTAAAATCAATACACATCTCCTAGGAAAAGGACTCAAAAAAAAAAAGTGTCCGCTGGCTCACTGCACGCAGCTCCTTCCTCCCATGAAAACAGGGGGTTTTCTCGGCCACGCGGACGGGGAGGGCGCGGCGGGCGGCGCCGGGAGCCCAGGGGCGGGCGGCGCCGCGAGCACCCACCTGTTGAGGCCCTGGCAGTAGCCGATGTCCGGGTTGCGCCAGGAGAAGGCCAGCAGCACGTTGCGCAGCTTCTGCACGCCCTCCGAGGTGGGGCAGGAGTAGTGCTTGTTGTTGGGCAGCGTCCGCAGCAGGTCCAGCTCGATCTGCTTGGAGGCCGGGTTCTGCTTCTCCAGCGCCTTCTGCAGCAGCCCCTGGAAGTAGCCGGGCTGCGCGCTGTCCCTGAACTTGCGGGTGCGCAGGCCCACGCACCACTTCCACACCTTGGAGCGGTGCTCGTGCGGAATGCCCGCCCGGATCAGGTTCTTCAGCTCCGGGGAGCAGGCCATCTCCCGGTTCACGGTGCTCGCGAAGTAGTTCTCCCACTTGACGCCCGTGGATACCTCCTGCGCCTCCGTGAGGCACAGGCTCTTCAGGTCCAGCGCCCGGACCTTGGCCACCAACTTCTCTTCCTCGTCGTCCTCTGGGACCGTGCGGAACCCGTAAATGTCATATTCGCTGGGGAGAAGAGCAAAAGGGAGAGTTGAATGATGTGATCGCCGCAAAAAGACCCAAAAGAGAACCTGGAAGTTGGCGCCTGGGGTTTCACGTCTAACCAGGCATCTCAGCCTGTGACGAAGTTCCCCACGAACAGGGTGAGGAAAACTGGCCCTCTGCGTGGAGCAAAAGTAAATTTAACCTTTTTTCTTTTCATCCTCACCAGAGGACACTTTTTCCCTTGTTCTCCACAGAGTCAGAAAGGGAGAGAGAAAGGCATTAATTGGTTGCCTCCTGTACTTGCCAGACCAGGGATCGAACCCACAACCTTTTGGTTATAGGATGATGCTCCAACTGACTGAGCCACACTGGCCAGAGCAAATGAAAACTTCTTTTGATAGGACACAGTAAAAAACAACAAATCTGAGATGGTTTAAATCCGTAAATGTGAAAAGCACAGAAGACACACAAGCAACACCATGAAAACAAGGGTGATAGACTTGGCTACGTGAACACATGTGTGTGTGTGCCATACGGATACATGCATAGCTTTCATGTTTGAACAGCGTCATTTTAAAAAGTGAAAAGACAAGGGAAGAACGTTTAAGAGCTATTAGGGTGGAGGGAACTTAGTCCGCAAGGACGTCCAGCGACGCTGGGTGGCGAAGGAACGTGGGGGCAGACAGATTTGGTTCCAGAGCCTCAGGCAGGGAGGATGTCCTGGGTTGTTGGGTGGGACATGCCGCCAACGACACGGTCAACGTCACCATGGGAGCCCTTAGAAGTACAAGGGAAAGGGCAGAGCTGGCTGGAGAGATGCAGCAGCGGGAGAGGCGGGAGAGGTGCGGAGCGAGGCCTGGGAAGCCTGGATGGCGGAAGAAGGGGCCAGAGGCTCGGGGACCCCGGCTCGAGGAGCTGGGAGGGGCCGCCCCAACAGCCCGCAAGGGGATGGGGACCTGGCCGCAGGACCACAGGGCCCTGTGTCCTGCCCACGGGCGAACTGCCACTGCTGCCACCACCCCACGCAGCCGCCAGCGCTACCTGACGAGATGCGGCTTCACGAAGGCCTGCTCCGGCTGCTCTGAGCCCTCGACCTGCAGTGCGTCCTCCAGGAGCTGGGCTATGACGTCGCGAGCGGGCCCCGGCTCCTCTGAGCAGACGGGGGTCTTCATCTCTTGCAGCAGGATCAAGTACTTGCTCTCTATCTGGCAGAGCTTGGCTTCCAGGCTGGAGTACTGCAGAGAGAGCGGCCATGACCTCCAGCCCACAGACCCGCAGGAGCAGCGCACCTTCCGTGTGCAGCTGCCGGGGGCGACTCGCTGCGAGCTGCCAGGAGGGGACCCGGAAGCGCTAAATCAAAGACGGGAGACAAGTTTACGCCACGGGCCACCTGTCACATGTGACGTGCCCTGCCGTGGGCCCCCTTCCTTCTACGGGGCCTGGCACAGAAGAGGCACTGCTGATAAGACACCAGGATGCCAACATGGGTGTCGGTCCTGGACGGGCGAGAGGTGGCCGCAAAAACCAGGCCAAGCCGCATCGCCACCTTCTTAGGACAAGGGCCCAGGACTGGCCCCCACCTGCCACCATTCGGGCAGGTCAAACACAGCCCTGGAGGTCGTGCAGAGCGAGGTTTGGGAAGCTGCCGTGCGGGAGGCAGGTGTCCCGGGACTCCGCAGGACTGTAACTGCAGTGTCTGTGACGTCGCCGCCTTGCGCAGCTCGCCGCAGCCACAGTCCTGCCTGACCTGCACAGCAACCCTGCCGGGCTCGCCGGGGAGGCCGTGTCCTCGTCGGCCCCCCGTGCAGAGAACATACAGATCCGCCGAGCCCCATAGCATGAGCCACAAGTGCAGATAACTTCAATCTGCAGACTCGGAAGAGTATTTACCTTTTTTCTGTAAACGCCATTGCATGTGTGAACGGGAGTTGCCCCTGTCGGCACGGCCATCTGTTCTCATCGCAGACAGTGACACAGCAGTGCTATGCACTGCGCCTGTCTTAGCTCTGCTTTCCCGTGCCTCCCCCCACGCGCGGAGCTGGTTTTCAAGTGCGTCCATTTCTCAGTGGCTCCCGAGCCTCGCCGGCTGCCAGGTAACGGAGCCCACCCACCCTGACCCACCTTGGCCATGAGATCCCTCTCTCTCCTTTCCGCATTCCTCCGCAGCGCCGAGAGTTCCAAAATCTCCTTATTTAGAAATTTATTTTGGGTTTTGTACCCCTGCAGGTTATCCTGTTGAAAAAAAAAATCCATCAATTCACATTGGTTCAATGTTGACTAATTATTCACACAGACATTTCACGGCCTCCCCTAAGAGCCCTGCTGAGTTAGAGCCAGTTCTGAGGAACTGAAAACTGATTATTGGGCACTTTCTGAGGAATCTCTGGGGCCACCCTCGGCAGCAGCAGCAGGCAGGCAGGCAGGGACCACTGCTGTGACAAGGGAGAGGAGAAATGAATTCATTTAATGTGGTGATTTTCCTGAGCTGGCCACAGAGGGACAAGACGCAGTCTCTGGAACAGTTGTACAAACAGACATCTCAGCTGCCTTGAAGCCAGAAAGGGGAGAGCGCTGAAATTGCTGGAGCAATGGCAACATCGCTGGGCCGCCTTCCGTTCTCCAAGGAAGCTCCCTAGGAGACTAGCAACTATTTGACTGTAGCTCGCGGAGGTCAGTAGCCACTGGTAATGGTGACATTGGTAAGGGGTTTGGGGTCTCCTGTCCCAGCAATCAGAGCCCAGGCCTGCTCTTACCTTCAGCCTGTCCAGCTCCAGCTGGTCCCTGCTGGCAGGGGCGGCTGTGGGAGAGCTGGGCGGCCAGGTGGGAGAGGCCGCACTACCCGCGCTGTCCTCGCACTCGCTGAGCTGCCGCGACAGCTTCATGATGACCTCGTCCTTGGCCTGGATGGTCTCCATCAGCATCCCCAGCTTCTCGTTGAGCTCGCCCACTGAGCTCTTCAGCGTCCGCACCTCCTGCTGCAGGCTCTCCTTCTCCAGGCCGAGCTTCTCCAGCTGGCCGGCGAGACCCAGGATCTGGTCGTCCTTCTGGTGCAGGAGCTCGAGCGTGTCCTCGGGGACGCCATCACACAGGCGGCTGCTCGTGAAGTACTTGTCGTACTGGGACGACCGCACGGTCTGCTGCAGCAGCCGCACCAGCTCCTGCAGCCAGGGTGGGGGCAGGGGAGGGGAGCGCGGTGCCATGAGAAGTCTGCATGGAGCAACCACTGGAATCTGAGCGAATGCAGAACCGTTACTGGAAGCATTTTAACACCAAACTTCCTCTTGAAGAATCTCAGAAATAAAGTGGAAAAAAACTTACTCCACAGAGACCTTCCATAGACAATAGTAGGAAACAGGAAGTAATGGGCATACACACTGTAACTAGCAATGGTTCCGGGTGGACGCTCACCCGTGTTACACAATGGGAGCTCCAACACCGAGTCACCGCCTGCTGAGCAATTAGGGGTGTTAGGTCTCATTAGCGCAGAAGGAAAGAGTTGTTTAACAGGATGTGGGAAGGCTTTTAATTACTGTTCCTAGACTCTGGGCTGAAGCTCAGGGTGGGAGAGGGCGGGGCGCAGATAATGCCCTCCTCTGGCCACGCAAGGGGCCTGCCCTCTCCTTATCTTGGAACAAGCGGTCAGACCCAGCGGCCACGGCAGCAGGCAGCTCGCAGCCGGGGCGCTGCAGGGAAGGAGAGGGAGCGGGAGGAAGAAGCGTTACCTTCTGGCTGGACAGCTCTTTCCGCAAGCGCTCCAGCTCTTCTTGCAGGCCCTGCAGCTGTGCGTCGGAGGGCGGCTTGCTGGCGCCACCGCTGCCCGGTGTCCCCTCGGGTGCAGGGTCTCCGCTACTGTGACGACTTTTGTACGAGCCAATCATGTCTTTCAACGGGCGTCTTCCTTTGTAGGGAACCCGGCCAAAATCAAAGGGAAACCCCGAGCTAGTTACCCCTACGGAGAAACAAAACTTGTTCTTCAAGGGCAGGCCAGGTCCTCCTTGGGGAAAGCCCCACAACACGGGCCCGGCTCTCGCCTGTCGCCCTACAGGGAGCCTGCGGCCCCGCCAGAGCTGCCTCTGCCCCTCCCACTCTACTTAACAGCCCCGCCTGAGTCAGAGGCGCACCCCTACGGGAGGCTTCCTTACCAGACTCCTCCACGTGACCGCTTTAAAAGAATACACTGTCATTTGATTGCTCAACCTTTGCCTAAGACAGATGAAAAAGGCGGACGACGCCAGGGCACAGAGAGGGACCAGTGACAACACAGCACACGCTACAGCTCTCCCAAGGGTCTCTGGGAACGCTCAGTTATTTTCCAAAACCTATCAGTGCTTTTAGAAGTTCACTGCTGCACCTCTGTGTCCACGTCATGGGTCCTTTCAGGACCAAAGAGAATAGAGACCCAGGCCAGGGACAGATGTGGGTTCTCAGCACCTGCGGCACCCTGGGAACATGGCATCCCCGCCCCAGGAGCCCCGTGAGGGCACCCCACGCATGAAGCTGGGCGCAGGTTCCCCGGGCAAGACTCCTAGGCGACATTCTAGGCACCGGTAGCTTCTGTCCTTGTTAATATGTCCTTAGTAAAAAATGAAGCAAAAAAGTCCCCAAAATGTATGTAAAAACTATAAACACACGTTTTAAAGCATGACTATTATTTTCTTCCTTAAAAAATGGTGCTGAAGAATACTGAGTGATCCGAGGAAGTTTTGGTGTAGGTGGACCGGGATGCACGTTTGAATATAACGAGACGACGCACAAGAGCGCGTGGTACACAGGCCCACGGGCGTGCAGTCGGGACGCCGGCACGGGGAGCCGCGCGGTGTCAGGGGCTGTGAGTGCGGCCGCGGCCACGCGCGTGTGGCTGCCGTGTGACCATAAGTGAGCGATATGGTTCTGGTTTGGGGACTTTTCAGTAGGTTATGCTTCCCGGAAAAAGTTTACTTAAGAACAGGGGGAAAATCCAAGACGGGGAGCCCCCTGCTGGGAACGACATGGACAAGCTGTGGGCCAATCCTGGAGTCGACCGAGGAAATACCCGCAAATGAGCCAAATCACAGCACGGAGACACCTCTGCCCGTGTCTCCGGCATGGGCATCCGCCCCCGGGGTCAGCGCTGGGCAGGGCCCAGGCGAGCGGCTACGCGCCGAGGCGTTGCGGGGTCCCCGTCCCTGCCACGTCACTACGCCCCCGGAGTTCCTCCCCAACCCTGCTCATTCCCAAAGTCTGTGCGGGGACTCGGAGCCCACCCCTCGCTGCCCATGACACACAGCCCCGCCTCCAGGATGCAGGCCCCGCCCACGGGGCACGCTCCTCTTGCACCCGCCACACTGCGCCTGCGGGCTCTGCCTCGTCCTGTGGGGCACAGGCAGGCTCCGCCTCAAAGCACGTCACGGCGGCCCCTTCCCAGGACAGAGGACACTTCCTCAGTGAGCACAGGCTCCCCCACAACCCTTTCTGAAGCGCCACCTCCCATCCCTGCGAGGCCTCACCAGGAGCAGCCCGCAGGCAGGACTTCAAATTTCCTATTTCACATTTGAAACATCACTATTCCCCTAACGGATGAAAGGATTTAGACCACAAATGACTGATAAAGGCATCAGGCAAAAGGCGGATGGATACCCTGCCTGGAGCGGCGCAGCGGCCTGAGCGCCGGCCTGCAAACGGAAAGGCCGGGGGTTCGATTCCCAGTCAGGGCACAGGCCTGGGTTGTGGGCCAGGTCCTGAGCTGGGAGCATGTGAGAGGCAACCACACACTGCTGTTTCTCTCTCTTTCTCCCTCCCTTCCCTTCTGTCTAAAAACAAATAAATAAAATCTTAAAAACCCGTGCGAGCGGATCAGGCCAATCCTAAACCCTGACCCACCTTTGTTTTTCCAGATGTGGTGCAAAAGGAAACACACCCCAAAGTATTCTTGTCATGCCTAAAGGTCAACCGGAATGTGGGCAGGCTTCTGCCATGGCGACCAGTAGGCCAGAGACACGGAGAGGCGGCAGCCCGTTAGGAGACCCCAGAGACACACAATCGGCGAAACCTTCGGCCCAAAGACCCTGCTCAGCACGCGCAGCGCGGGGAACAGAGGGGACGGACAGGGAGCTGCGCAGAGCAGAAGAGCCCCAGGCAGGCAGAGCGGGGGCCCCGCCTGGGGGCCTGGGGGCCCGGGGGCCGCCGACTTCAGCAGGCGGGGGGCGGGCAGGCACGGGAGGAGCCGCGGGGGAACGAGGCCGCGTGCCGGCTGTGCTGCGACAGCCTGCAGGTGGGCTCCGGAAGCTGCTCTGTGGTTGCGATCTTCTTAAAGAGTCGCTGTCTCGTAGAGACACATAGTAAAATATCCACAGGCACTGGGCTGCTATCCAGAATCCCCTTTAAAGGGGCCCCACCGACGGTGGCTGCCGGCGGAGGTCGGCGCTTCGGGGACAGAGAGAGGCCCCAACGGCAGAGGCTGGACCGCAGGTGCCCCAGGATTCACGACACCTGTCTACTTCCGCGTACGCATCACGTTTCTGTAACTGACTCGTTTTGTTTGTTTTTTACCCAGTATTTCTGAAAAGAGCACCATGGACATCCCGTCTCCTTAAAAAGTTTAAGAACCACAGGGCGGGACAGTCGTTCATTTCTTGTGGCGTCTCCTTTCCGGGCCTTTGTGCTTTATCCCCCCAAGGAAACACAGGCCACCCCTGGACCTCGTGCTTCTAGAAACGCCTGCTCCGGAAGGGCCTCCGCCCACCGGTGGCTAACAGGGGGCCGCGGGAGCAGGGCGCACCTTTGCTGCCCTCGGGCGGCTGCTTCCTCCTCTCCTCCTGCGCCGCGGACTCCTCCAGGTCCCTGGGGCTCGGGTCCAGCAGCTCCCACTCCTCGCTGGTGTAAAACACACTCTTCCGGCTCTCGTGCCCTCTTCCAGGGCGCAAGGAAGACATGGAGTTTCTGTTGGGAACAATCAACTGTCACTATGGAAAAAACTGAAGCAAAACATCATTTCACATCAATGGGGTCGGCAAAAATGGAAAGATCTGAGACCCCTGCATGCTGGCGAGGACACTGTGTCCTGTGGGGGGTGGGCGGGGGACTCACGCAGCGGCACACAGGCTCCTGCACCGGCTGAACGCCGTCCTGCCCGTGCGCGCAAGGAACCAGAACGTCCGTCACAGCTCTGCTCACGCTGGTGAAAAACCGTACCACCCAGACCCTCCAGCAGGGAAACAGACAAACGGAAGCGCATCCACACAGTCAGAGAGTGTCCGTCAGGGGAAAAGGATGAATTCCTTCCACAAGTATTTCCTGCGTGCCGACTGCGTGGCCGGCGCTACTCTGGGCGTTCAGGGCAAACCAGCGGACGCGACAAGGATGCCTGTCCCTGGGGACTGCACTTTCTAGCTAAAGCTACATGTGCCGCATGGATCGATATTTTGAAAATGCTAAAACAAGAAAAAAAAATTAAAGACTGGGATACACAACAGGATATTGTTTTAAATCTTCAAGATAATACTATGAATAGACACTTATAGATAGATACACATGTAGTAAGACAATTTTTAAAAACCTGCGTGTGAACGGTACTCCTCCAACACAGACACTGGTTGGCTCTGCGAAGGGCGGGAAGAGACGGGGGCCGCGCGGAAGGGGGATCCACACTGTGTCTGTCACATTTTCACTGTTTGCTCTTTTTTAACTCAGCAGAAATATGGCCCAGTTATACAGCTGGATGGCGGCTGCCCAGGTAACCAATTGACTGTAGTCTCTACATGTTCCTCCACTAAAAATATTCCGTTAAAACTTTTATAAACTAGGTTGGGACTTCTGCTCCCAGCGCAGGTGGAATAGCGGGGACGGGGTTTACAGTCCCAGGAAAACAGAAAAAGTGAACAACATGCAGCCGACAGCGATTCTCAGTCGTGGGACCCCAGGCGGGGGGCGGGGGGCGGGGGCGGGCTGAGGGGCGGGAGCCCAGCTGCCTGCCGGGGGGAGACAGCGCCCCGGCCCGGGGCCGGCGGGGAACAGAGTGGGGCGGCGCCCGCAGGCACGGGGCGGGAGGAGGGACCTGCAGGGGCAGCGGGCGCGGCTCGGGGGTCCCCCAGTCCCCAGCGCAGCGCTGCCGGCGGAGTGTGAGACAGGGAGACTGGGGAGCCAGCCGCGAGGAGCAGCGGCTACACCCTGAGGCGCCACGGGGCGGCAACCGTGTCCGTCCACCGGCCGGAGCGAACACACACCCGAGCCGGGGCGGCCCAGACCGTGGGCACACAGGCCACGAGCTCGGCACTGAAGGCTGCTCTCACCCTGCCTGAGGCGGCTTCAACGGGGGGTTCCAAAGTGTCCGGCTGTTCCTGAGCCATGAAACGTTGCCCCAGAACACAGTTTAAGAGTATGTATAGAATACAAAAACATCCAGCAGCCGTCAAGGCACAGGCTCACACTGCCGGGCACCCCAGAGAAACCCCCCGGGCTGGCAGAGAAGCGGGGAAACACCACCGATCACGAGGAGAGAAACCAGTAACGAGAAACAGACGCAGCAATGACAGACGGTACAACTCGCGTACAAAATCCCAGCGGACACTATCAGACGTGCTCCGGGTCCAGTGTCGCGCACGGCTCCCCCGAGACTCACTTGAGCTCCGCGCCCCACTGCTTCAAGGAGAAATTGAGGGAGTTCGGGTTCCCAGGGGCCGGCTGGCTGGCAGCCTGTTCTCCCACCAGCTCCCCGGGGGCCGTCTCCACAGCTAGGACATTCCTGGCCTTTTCTGCAGAGGCATTTGGGTGTGGGTGACCGGGATCTGAAAGAGAGGCAGATGAAGGAGAGGTGGTCACACAGCTTCCACGTGGCACTGGACATCTCCCCGGACACTGCACCGGCGGATGCGCTTCATAAAAATCTGTGCTAGGTACCCCATGGCGTGCTTTTAAGGAGACTGCGTGGAAACTTCTACGGTGGCCTCGGCGCTCTGCCACCGGTTTGGTCTAAAGCAAGTCACCGTTTCTCCAAGGAAGGCTGTGGTGCGGCTCGAGCCACCAGGTGCCGGGGGCCTGGGTCCAGGGAAGGGGGAGACCGCGCGCCCCTCGCTGCCCTGCGGCTCAGCCGTCCTGATCCGGAGCAACTCCCAGGACCAACGGGTCCAGCCAGCGAAGTGTGGATCAGAGCGCACCACGCTCCCTTTTCTCTGAGAAGGAGGGGGTACTAATAGATAAATATTTGCCAATATCGGCAAGTAGTGACGTTCTTTAACGTGTGCATGTGGCAGGAGAGCGGTCCCGTACAGTCACAGGCAAATGCGTTAAAGCGAAAGCGTGGTCAAACGTCACACTGTGACACTCTAAAAGGAAAGCTTTTGAGTTTTTTAAGGCTGAAATTATATAATACCCAAGATTGGCTGCAAAATAACAATACTTTGTTATTTAACAAATACATAAGAATAGTTGCATCAAGTAACGTGCAACTTGCTTCAAAAATCACAGAATGAAGTAGACTGGGGTCGCGATGAAACCGGGAGGGTTATGAAGTAACTGCTGAAACTACCTCACACACACAGGGGGTAGGCGTGTGTTGTTCTGCGTGTTTACAATGTCTCACGATAAAAACATACTTTTTTAAAGCGTTGACCAGATTCTCTCCACCGACAAGTACTTTGCTTTCCCCCCCACGTCCTGCTCCCTGAGAAGAGGCCAATTCGCAGCCGATCACAACTCACCCCAAGGACTGACCCACGGCTCCTCCCCCGGGGGCGCCTCTGGGTGGAGACAGACCCAGGAGGGAGCTGCCGAACAAACGGTGGCAGCCAAGAGGGCAATGTCCTTCTAAGCAGAGGGCACACGCCCCCGTCACGGAGGGCGGGAGTCTGTGGAGGTCGCTGGGCACCGGCAGAGCGCGCGGGTCCCGGGAACCCCAGGCTGAGGGGCCCCTGGAGACGGCTGCCCCCCGCGAGCACACCTTGCCCCGCAGGCCGGGCACCCCCGACCGCGGTCCGCGTGCAAGGAGCACAGTGGGCGGGTGCCGGCTGCGTTGTGGAGCGGGGAGGCTGCATCTCTGTCGGGGGGATGCGGCTCTGGCCAGGAGTCGACACGGGAGAAGCCAGCGGGCGTGGGAGACGGGCGGACGCGGGCCAGGGCGGAGAGCCACCCAGACTCCCGGCTCTCGGGACCCAAGGAGACCGAGCAGCGGCCCCAGGGGAGGGACACACGCAGGATGGCACGGCGTCCGGCTGAGGTCGCAGGGCGCGCGCCCGCCCCTGGCGGCCAGCCCTCCTCGGGCCCACGCTCTTCTGTACGGCACTTGCTCTCAAGATTTCACTTGGAAAAGGAGTTCCAACAAACAAAGAGAAACAAGATCAAACGCCGCCAGGAGGGACAGTCGGCTCGAGCTGCTCCCCTCGTCAGAACACGGAAGCCCGGCGCCCGCGCCCGCGCGGGGCGGCAGAGGCAGGGAGGGGACACGGACCCCGCCCGGCTCCCCGAAGGCCGGCCTTTCCTGGACCCCTCAGGCGCAAAGCGGCGTGAGCCTTGTCTTTTTTCCTTTTCTTTAATGTCTGCTTATTGACCGCGCGCACGCGGGGGACGCGCTCCCTGGCCCACGCCTTCCTGTGCGCGCCCTGACTGGGGACCGAACCCGCGACCTCGTCGTGTGGGGAAGGCGCTCTGACCAGCAGAGCCCCCGGCAGGGCAGAGCGTTAGAGCTCCCAGCCCAGCCGGGACGTAAACCCACGGCCCTGCGAGAGCCGGGCGCAGCCTCGCCTTCCGGTGTGGGCTGGCGGCGAAGGGGCAGCGGCCCCTCTGCAGGGTCAAACTGTCGAAAGAAAACCCCAAGATTACCGAGAAAACCCCAGACCTTGCAGCAACTCTCGCCCACAGTGGACATGCTTCCTGGGGAAGTCCAGGCCCCGGGGAGGGGGGGCGAGCGCGGGGAGGGCGGGTGGAGACATGGGACCGGTGACCAGCGAGGACGGTGGCACAGAGGCCGTTTCTAAGTGTGATGATTTGAGGTGAAACAGACGCTATTCCCCAGTTTTTGCCGTTACTGTCGATTTTGTCTGGTTTGCGGTTTTTAGAAGGCCGCGTGAGGTTCGCCTCAATGAAAGCGGAGCTGCTGCCTTCCCCTCGGTGCCTGGGCCGGCCCCAGCTTTCGGGACCTGCCCCGGGGGCACAGGCGCGGGCGGCACCCTCCCCGGGCAGCCGAGAGGACGGGCGGGCACCCCACGAGCCTCAGCGCACAGCCGCCCGGCGGGGGCCCGGCCCTCGGGCCCTGTGCTGGTCGCGCACCTTCTCTGTGCTTTTTAAATCCTCACCTGAGGATATGTTCACTGATTTTAGAGAGCGAGAGAGGGAGGGAGGGAGGACAGGGAGAGGAACATCTATCGCTCCGACGGGGGACTGAACCCACAGCCGTGACGCGGTGACTCAGCCGACCTGCGGCACCCCCGGCGACACCCCAGTCAACAGCACCCCGCCCCCCTCCCCCGCCTGCCCCGGCCAGGGCTGACCTTCCGTGTTCTTCCTAAACACTTTCAAATGCCGACGTGACAACTTTGAGCGAGCCAGGCAGTGCTGTGTCCACGTTCCCTGGGTTCGGATCCCGGCCCAGCCTCCGAACCCCGGCCCGCGCGCGCCCCAGGCCGCCGCAAACAGTAACCCGCCGGGGGCTGACACAGGTCCCTCTGTCGCTGACTCACCTGTGGTGTCTCTGGCCACGAGGCCCTTCGAAAAGTCCCCCGGCGGCGGGGAGGTCCTGCTGTGCCACGTGGCCGAGTCCAGGCCGTTGCAGTACTCCCATCTCTTCTGCTGCAGCTCCTGCAGCCAGTAGGCCATGAGCTGACGGTTGGGAGCCTGGGGAGAGAGGGCAGGGGAGGACGTGTCACGGCTGCCACCAACCTGCGGGGCTCAACACCGACGTTCTGCGAGGGCGGCCCGCGTGCCCCGCCGCCCGAGAGCGGGCGTCAGGAAGAGCTGGCCGAGAAACGTCACTGTTCGCGTCAGCAGCTTCTGCTCACGATCTGTGCCGGCCAACAGCGGCCTTACTGTGCAGCGTTCACCCCGGTAAGGAGGAGTCCCTTTGAGTTCTACGATCACGGTACGATAAGGCACGTTCCCCTCCAAAGGGTTTGGGACGACTGATGTCCCTGCTGCGCCCCCGCTCGGAGGGCTACACAGCCCCAGCGCTCGCAGGCGCGGGCGGTGCCCGTGCCCGGCCAATCACACAGCGGTCCCACCTTCGGCCGGCACCGGGGGTCGCGCAGAGAGAACCGCGGGCGAGCCCCCTGCAGGGAGGCGCTACAGCGGCTGAAGTGCCCTCGAATTGGTATTTTTAAAGGCAAGGACACGGAGCACCCGACCCGTACCCACTGCTGGCGGGTGTCTGCCGGGGACCCAGCCTGGCAGTCCTCACAGGTGCGCAACCGCCGAGTGATCCAGCAGCCACCTCCCAGGCACTGACCCCCGACGAGCAAAAACGTGCATCACATGAAGACCCACTGCCGGTGCTTAGAGGCTTCACCCATCACGGCCCAAGCGGGAAACACGCCGACGTCCGAAACCCGGAGAACAGATGCCCGGCAGCTCGCCGACACCACGGAAACCCGTGTGCCTACGAGAAGGAAGCAACCGCACATTCGCCCGACACGGATGAACACGTGAGAAAGACGCCAGGCCCCAAAAGCCGTGCACGGCGAGAGCCCACTGAGGTGACACTATAAAATGCAAAATTATAAGCACAGGAACCAAATCTGTGTTGCCAGGGCTCGGGGTGAGGAGAGTGGGGGAGCGCCGAGGCACAGCACGCGAGAATCCGGGGCGACCGTCTGCACCCTCCCCGTGGAGGTGGACATGCACGTCAATGCATTTGTCAGGCTTGCAGAACTATCGATGACAAAAAAGGAATTTCACTACATGTACACAAAAAAAGAAGTAACACCACCAAGACAAGGAGGGAAACCCCAAAACGAACCTGCTCAAAACAGACCAGGAGGAGCCCCGCGAAGGAGGCTGCGGGCGACTGCGGGGAGCTCAGCCACGCGGCGTCCAGGGAGGCGAGCGGACGCTGGGCTCCCAGCCCCCAGGACCGGGGCCGGTGGGCAGCACCTCGCCGCCCTGCCAGCAGGGGGCGGCCCCCGGCCTCTGCGCACGGCCCGGACCACCGGCCACTGTGCGACCTCTGGGCACAGACAGGAAGTTCCGCACCCACGTCACCCGCGCGCCCCCCACATTCGCTGTTAGCGCTCCCGTTGGGAATGACAGGCCCCTGGAGACAGGGCCTGGCCCCGCCAGAGGGACGGGGAGACAGAGCAGCAGCTGCGGGCGGCTGTAGCAGGTCGGGGGCGAGGCGGGCGCGGTGCCCGGAGGGCCCCGGGCGCGGTGCTCAAAGTTCTGGGCAGCTGCCACCTGCGGAATCACACGGTTCCGTGTGGGCTCGATGCCTCCTCCCCGATACACGAGAACTCCAAGATGTCTCCGTCTGCCCAGCATCTAGCTCAGTGCCAGACACCCAGGAGGGCAGTATCTGCCGAATAAACAAATGCACGAACAGATCCTCGTGAAGCAGCAGGCGGCGGCAGAGAGAGGAGTGCGTGCCAAGGCCCCGGGGCAGGAGCCCGCGGGAGGGGCGGCCGCGGGGGGCGCGGGCTGGGACCCCTGGGGCGGCACTGCCGTTGAAAAGCGGGGAGAGGATGCAGGTCTGCGGCACCCGTGAAGCACAGGGTGGACCAGTGGCGGGGGGTGCGGGGCAGCTCAGCCTGGCTCTGGCAGAGAAAGGAGAGGCCGGCGCTGCCAGGGAGGGAGAGGAGAGGGTCCGGGAGAGGCCGCAGCCGCAGCCACTGCCGCCTCGGAGCCCAAGCCCGCCCCCCACCCCTCTCACAGGCCCCTCCGGAGCCCCCGCTCCCACCCTCAGCGTGGAGGACAGTGTGTGTGGGCTGGGGGGTGTCTGTGTGTCCCCGTCCTCCTGCCGGCTCCCGGGCCTGGCTCCCATCTCCGCCCCGGGGAGGAGACCACCAGGGCCGGCCCAGACCCCCGCCCCCCGCCCCCCGCGCCTGCCCACGCCGGCTGCGGCCGACCCGTCTCCCCTCCACAGCTGTCTCCTGCCACACAGAACGGGCTTTGCACGGGAAAGCCTCCTCCCTTCACCCCTCTGAGTAATAACTCCAACCGGGGAACAATTAGTAACCTGCCAATCATCTCTCACCAAGTTCCTGGGGCCAACAAACCTTCCAGGTCACATGCTCTCAATGGCTGACATATGATTCATGTTACAAAAACCTGGTCAAAGGCAGGCAAAACACCCCGAGACAATGATTAACGGGTTCCTTCCATTTTTAAAAACATGTAGAAACCACCGAGAGCGCCTGACTGCCATCCCGGGGCTGCTGAGCGGGTGTGCGCGTGGCCGGGGGCGGGCGGGGGGTGTCCCGTCCCAGCTCTGGGCGCAGGAGGGCCCCGCTCTCGGGGGGCTGAGCCCAGCACAGAAGCTCCCGGGCCCGGAGGCCTCCCAGGGCCTCTGCCTTTCCCATTGGGCGCCTTTCCCTTAAACAGAGACGGGCTGGGTCCGCGCGGACGCACAGGCAGACCCCGGTCTCGCGGCGACGGGCGCCGTGTGTCCAGATGTGCCCCGCCCCGCAGCCCCGCGTGCCTGCGGGGCGCGGGAGGCGCGGCTGGTGCCGCCGGGTGGCGTGATTTGGGTGCACTGGGCCAGACAAACGTCAGACCGGTCGCATCCGTGCAACGCGGGCCCCTGAACGCTGAGAGGTGGGCGTCGCGGCGCGCGCTGTGACGACAAGCAGAGCCAGGCTGAGAGCCAAGGGCGGTGGGAAAGCCAGAGGGCGAGGAAGGGCCTGGGGTCCCCATGCAGGTGGAGCGTGGGGTTCCTGGGGCGCAGGCAGCTAGCACGCCCTCCCCACGCGGGCTCCACGCCTCCGGGCAGCGCCCCGAGCTCGGCTGCGCCCTCAGAGGCCTGCGCCGCCCTCTCCCCACGCTCAGCTACTCGCGCAGCTAAAACCCCAGTGCACGCTGCCACCGACCACCCCCGCTTCCGGCGGCCCCCGCGAGAGGCGCTGTGGTGCTCCCCCCCCCCCCCCGCCGCCCCCCGACGGCCGCAGGAGTGTCCTGGGGGTGGGGCAGACGAGGGCGGGGGACGGGGGGTGGGGTGGGGGGGAAACAGCCCCGCTCTACCCGCAGCGCTGCGCCCCCGTGCGGCCGGAGGTGGGACTCCGCCCTGGCAGCTGACCGAGGACCACGTGGCGCCCCAGCTGCCCCTCTGGACTTTGTCCCCCACACCCAGACGCCTCTCTTGGGGAGCCAGGCCCCAGCCCGCTGTCCCTCCTGGGACCCCAGGGGATTCCTGCCCCCAGCCTCGCCCTCTCCTCGGAGCGCAGGAAAGTCCCACAGTAAAGTCGTTTGATCACAAGTTCACGCGTGGCCACACGCACCAGCCAGGCACGGGCGGCGCTCCGGGAGGGGCGGAGCCCCCACAGGAGCCAGGCCTGCACCTCAACCCCATCGTCACTGAACAACTGACCCGGCTCTCTCTCCGCCTGGGTCCCCCGCGCGATGGTAAAGGGGCATCTACCGAAAGTGAGCACCTTCCAGAAGCCGGGACAGGGCTCCCCTCCGGCGACCCACGGCCGCCCTCCTGGGGGAATCTCTAGGCTGGCCCAAGGGAAGGAAAACGGGAAAACACCACGTGTGCGCGACAGCGTGGGTTCCTTCACTTGGCCTCCCCTAGGCGGGCGTGGCGTCCACACCGGGGACACAGAGCTGGGTGGGGCCCCGGGACACACTGAGAGCACACGGCATCCTTTGTGCCATAGACCATCAGAAACATCCACAACCACGACGGGAGGAGGAACGTCCACGCCTACGTTTGAGACGTCCTCATGCATTAAAGAAACTTTAAAAGAATCTATGCAAAGTTCTAAAAGCAGTTCTTCAAAGAAGGGCAAAGAGACTGTGAAAATCATCTGAAGTTTAGCCTTATTCTGAAATCAGACACAGGGCATGAGGCTTTGCCCCGCCCAACAGGAAAGCAGAGTCTAAAGAAACGAGTTACACCAGCTCTGTGCTACCAGAAAGTCCAAACATAAGGCTATGCAGGTATAAAATATTTATGTAGCATTTCAAGTCAGATCGGTGGGAACAGTATTAATTATTAAACAGGAAAGCTGTCTCAAAATCTGGAAAGAAATGAAGGCATGATGAGTTATGACTAAGGTAACAATACAAAGGAAAATAAAGGTTTGATCCGTGACAGTCTCACCCGACGCTATGATCTACTTACTGGCTGAGGACTCTGGAGCCTCATCGTGGGGGGTCACACCCCCACCCTGCCACTTGCTGGCCCCGTGAGGCACTGTGCCTGGGACTCGGATTCCTCGGTGTGAAGATGTGAACAATCTCAGGGCCCAGCGCCTCGTGTTGTTACAAGAGTCCGGGAGTGACTTCGTGTGACGTGCAGAACCCACGCCCACGGGCTCGCCACGGCCCAGCTCCCGGGGGCGCCGTGCAGACTCGAAGCTGGGCCTTGCTTTCCGGGGAAAGAGGAGAAGTGCCTGTTCCGGACGAGACCCACCCTCTCAGCATTTCGGCAGGAGTCAGGAGTTCCTCTCTGGTTTGTCTCTAAGAGCGAAACCCCGATGACCCCGGCCACAGTCAAGTTCACCTGAAACCCCGCCAGGGTGCAGGCGGCGGGGGCCGGGACGCCTCCCCGTCGGGGCGGGCCCCGCACACCCGGGGGCGGCCCCCGCGTGCCCCCCGGGCCACAGAGCGCACAGCGCTGCTCTGAGCACCCGCCTCCGAGGGGGCTGCGGCGGCAGGAACAGGCCCGCATTCGGAGAGGCGAGGTG